GAAACGTGCTCAACTACGCCGCGTTCTGTATGGCGCCCAGGACGAGCGGAGGAGCTGACATTGTCACGCTCAACGTGCACATGGCGGTGTGCGGGGAGGCGCCACGACGAGGCCGTCGACTCTACGAAAGACTAGGAGCATAACCTTGGTGTGGTTAGCTGGCGGCTCACACAGCGACAGCTAGTAGCTCTGCTAGTATTACTCGGGAGACCGGTCAGCGGCGGTTGATAGACCCATGCCCACATGCCTAAGATACTGCCGCCTTTCATTGCCAAGCACCGCCTTCAGTGCGAGCGGCGGTCCGCGTTAGCTAACAGAGAAGTACCAGGATGCAAATAGCGACGCTCCAGCGCCCCCAGGTCATTCCTGGAAGAACCCTGCCACAACGTGGGTTCTCGTACAGCCTCGGGGAACGTGAGGTGATGTCTTCTAAACCCTAATACACCTCTGCGCACCGGCCCCAAGCCGCTGGTGCCCTTTTATACCCACTCCCCCATCTGTAGACTCGCCGCCATCGTGCTAACACTCCCTCTATCTCGCACTCTGAGTACCTCTGACGTCCGCCCGCTATGGAGCTCCTTGAGACGTCGATTAAGGCGCTCGAAATTGCGAACCTCGCAGCGGACAAAATTCCCATCCCGGGGCTCAGTACCGCCGTTGGCTGCGCACTCAGTATCGCGAAGAAAGCAAAGGTCCGTGCACTCCGTCCACACTCGAATGCCTCTGTGGTAACCTGCGCTTCACTTAGGATATTAAAGACACTCGGGATGACTGCCGCGCTCTCGCCAAGCGTGTTGCGGACTTCGTACTTGCAGTATACCAGCAGCTCAGAAATGGGAGCAGCGACACGGGGCTCAAGGAGTATGTCACGATGTTCCTGCTGTGAGTTGTTCCGTGCTCAATCTCTTTATCATTCTTATCGCGCACAATTCAACACAAGGAACCTACAAGACATTGAGAATTTGATGGACCGCCGCCTACGCCCCAGAACGCGAGATCGCATTCGCTTTGTGTTCAGCCGTGACAAGATCGCCGATGAGGTCAAGGTGCTGACCATGAGGCTCGAGGACTCCTTCCGTATGTTCATGGTATAGTCCGAGCTGATCACTTCGCGCTCAAGACCACTGATGTCACGATTGTCGCTAGATGCGGGCTGCACTCACCATTGACGACAGCATGAACACGCTGACGAGCGGGAATCTCCGTCTAATGCAGCACATCGACGACTCAGCACGCGTCGGAGAAATTGTTGTCAGAGACACCGGAGAGATCCGCACTGGCCTGTCAGACCTCACGCAACGCGTGAGAGGGAGTGCCGCATTTGATGGAAATGTAAGCATTTGACTCTGCATACCACTACTGTGGCCCGTTAACGATCGACGTCGTAGTTCCGGCTCTTCGCTCACGAGAATCTGGCCTACTTAGAGCCCATCGGCGACTCAGCAAAGCTGCATCATGACATGACCGGGCGACACGGAGATGAACGTACCCTTGTCAAGGTGGTCGCTCGCTCGCAGACCGGCCGCGTCTTCCGCTACCGCGCCGTCGTGGAGGCCGCGGGTGACCTGACAGGAACACAGGTGGTCGTATACGAATATCCTGATCGCAAAAGTCAGCAGTTTGTGGAGGCAGTGAACCTTGCGAGGCAATCCCGCCGGTACGTCCAAATCGCTCTACCTGGGGATGTGCATCTGACCGACATACAACAGCCATCCTAATTTGCTGGCTATGCTAGGATACTCGCGTCCAGGAGATCCAGACCAGGTCGCTTACATTGTGATGGAAGGTACGGCGACATATCACTCACAACGGCCAATATTCAATGTCTGTCTCCGCGGCTGACCTGTTCTTCGATAGACTGCATTCCTTTTGTGGAGCATCTCAGCTCATTTCGTGGAACCAGCAAGTTACGAGTGATCATGCAAATGGCACGTAGCCTCGATGTCCCTGATACTGTTACGAAGCTGACAAGATCTATAAAGGAGGCAGCGATTTGTGTACGTATACCTCAACTCAACCAGTGATCCGGTGGATGTAGTCGAGTTCTGAATGTATCGGAGGCAGATGGCCATCAACCATGTTGAAACTCAGGTGAATCTGCGTCGACTGTTGCCCATGCGTTCATATTGGGTATGATGTACCTGCTACAAAACCACCAGGTCTACTGACTTACCGCCCATATGTCATGTCCATGCAGGATACAAATGAAGATATCCATACCATCAGATCAGACGAGGTGGTTGTTGATCACCACCGTGGAGGCCGTATCAAATGGGCTCGGGATCCCCTCGCACTTGAGAAGCCAGACGATCTTCAGGTAGGAATCATGACCCTCATCATGCGCCCACTCTCACTATACCTATACACAGAGAATAGATGTCCCAGTTGCGCAAGAAGATAGGATGGGCAGGATAGAATGTACGGCATGCAAACGATTACCTGTAAGTGTGATTGCTGACTACCGTGTCAGTTCTTCGTGCCATTGCATCTGCGCACGTGGACATTCTGGTGCAGCATTGGTTATCATGCATCCTGAGCCCCACTCGAGAATACATGTCAGACCTCCTCCCAGGTCGCTCATGGTGGTATGTTTGGGAGCATATTGCTGACTATTCACGGTATCCACTCGGAGTGTGGCTGGGATGCAACAGCTTTGACGAAGATGGGACCTGTCTGTCTGCACAAGATCCCGTGTTCGAGGTCGCTGTAAGAATGCAGAGTGTACCAGAAGTACTTCCCAGTCCCGGGCAAGGTGAGTCGCTGCGAAGTACACCAATCGAGCGGTCTCACCAGTCAGCTCACGAGGGCAGAAGGCCATGATTTTGAGCAGAGGTTGCACATGGCCGATTGGTTCAATATCCCGGAATCGGACCTTGACGAGATGTGCATCGAAATCGAGCTAGGCACGGGCGGGGGCCAGACAAGATGGAAGAGGTGAGAACAATATCCGAGCTGCTCGCACCGCGATCTAGTTCATCTCAATCAACCCCTCAGATACCAATTTTCCCGCATTCCTGTGAATACGACACTTCTATTTCGGCAACTTGTACGCGCGCCGGACAGATTCGATGCAGCCTCGAGGATGCTGCATGCGCTACCGGATCTATCTGTCCTTCAAGGACAATACGCGTGCATCGATATAGGTGCGCCCGTTCTGTCTTTCTGTGTTTCGGTCGCTGATGGGGATGTCTAGCTCAGGCCCGAGCATATTTCACTGAGACTACCATCACGATGAGCGCGCATGCCACTGAGCAGGTATACCCACCACTTTGGTTCTTCATTTTGCAATTCGACGGCGGTGACAGTTCCGCTCACGACTGCAATATTCCCACCGGATTCTGGTCGTCGGAGAAGTATCCCACCTCCGTGCCGGCAGGTATCATCTTCGATTCGACACCACAGTTTGAGCCCATTGAGGAGGGCGTGGAGGCCCCACTGTTCACTTCGACGCAAGTGCTTGGAGACCTCGTATTCACCACACAGACAAAGTACGCACCGGTGTCGATTTAGGGCTTATATGTCGGGTATTGTACTGATACTGCACATTCCGATAGGATGGCCACCGAATTTCTGCAGCTCGGTGAAGACGAGCTCTTTGCATTCAGAGAGTACCAAGAGAGCCATCATACGACTAGTGACACCCATGCTAGCAACTCGGATGACTCTGGTGGAAATAGTGTCGCAACGGACAATAGCGATGGAGATGGCACCGGAAACTCTGACGCCGAATCCCTCGCATCGGGCTCCAGCAACGATGATCACGTCCTCGGGGTGAAACACAAGTCTCCGGAGTCGGACTATGAGGACGCGACGGACGCGGGAGACGATAGCGCGGAAGAGTATCACAGTGCAGAAGAGGACGAAGCCACGGGACTTGCATGTGGCGAGTATCCGTCTTGACGTCGCAGAAGTATGTACCGCTTCCGCCCCCTGTTGCGGCTACTCGTACTCATCCTGCTCACCCTGCAGCCGGTGCGGCCGTGTATCTCATGCTCGAAGATTACGCTCAACGTATCTCTTCCACCCTTGTCCATCTCGCCCCTGACTCGCCTTGCGCACTCGCTTCGTTTCCACACTGTAACCCCACTCGAATGCTCAGTACTGCCGCCATGTTTATCGATAGCATGCTTCGAACCTTTCGCAAGTATTATGTGAATGAATTTTTTGGCGGGGCGCTCATAGGAAGGGCTGGTGTTCGAAGCCGAGCCCGCACCGTAGACGTGGTTGAACCTCTCGCGCTCCTTCGGCAGTCGAAGAAGCTGTCGCCCCTGCGGCACTATTTCTCGTCGCATATACACCCTCGGATCGAGTCGTAGCGACTGCTGAATGCACGCACGGCAGCAAGTTTGGGGCGGCGAGCTCTCACTATGGACGCGACAGTGCCCGCGAGTGGACCGTGTTCCCCATTGTGTGTCAATCGTCAAAGCAGGTCAGTAGACCATACCGCCGTGCCACAGCCATCTTCCCGATGCATTCGAATAGCACATGGACACACTCCGGCGTTGTCCGTATAGAGTACTCGCGGTCGCTCATGGCAAGTATGGAGATTAACGCTCTCGAGCGCAGTCGCGGACGCCACGCAAATTCCGCCATGGACGGGGATACGGAAGTAGTAAGATTGCTCAGCAGGGAGCCCGGGCACGACACCTACGGTCTGAACGAATGTCTACATTGTATCGAGCATCCCCGCGAGGAGCGCGCGTCCCGCTCCGAAACGTGGGAGCGTGCGGCCGGAGAGCGACGGGAAGTGCGAGCAGGGATGTGTTGGACGCGGCTCCGCATGCCATCGATGCCTACACGCACGCCCCCATGTCTCCTTCGCAGCAGCCCCAGCGAATCTTGAGTGCTCGAGCAGCGAGCGACGAGTCGGAGCGCGGAGTGTCGCGCGCCAGAAATCCGGTGACGAGGTCGCTATGGACGCGTGCTGCCGCCAAAGCAGGCTTCCAGGTACAGGCGAACGCCCGCGCGGGGCCACGGGCGGGTAGACGAGCACGCAGACGAGCGCGAAGGGCTAGCTGTTGGCGCGACGCGCATGGGGCGGGATCCGGCCGTGCCCGATCCGTGTTCTGCTGAGATGCATGGCAGCGCTTGCGTCGCGCAGTGTTTGGGGTTGGAGTGCTGGGTTGCTTGTTCGTTCCTAGTACCGCCTCTCGTTTTGTCCGCAGCGACATGGCCCTTCCTATGCGGGAACAGACACGCCCTACTAGGACCGTGTTTGGGTACGCGAGGGGCGTCGGTCGTTCCTGGGGTGGAGTTGAAGCCTAGAAGCAACGAATCAGCGCTGCACTGAGCGGCGTCGGAGAAAGCGAGTGACAGAGCACGCGGCGCATAAGTGGTCGGTGCATGCACGTACTACCCGCGTGGTGAAAATGATGATGCTGAAGACCCTGTGTCCTCGCTCTGCGAGGTAGGGTGCGCCGCTGTCCGCTCTCAACGATGGTGCATCTCGAGTGAACGTCCCCACACCTAAAAGCGCGCTGACACCGCTCGTGATAGAGGTCTCCTGATCGCGACGTCGATCTGCTCGTGCAAGCAGCGACAATCGAATCCGATACCATTCCTTCCAGCGCAGACGATGCCGACATTGACTGATCGTACGTACCTCGGTGCGGCCCAGTCTCCCGTCGTGCTGGCGGCATCGCCGTGTTCCGCATCATCGTAGAGCGGTGGCCTCTTGTCAGCCGCGGAACACCGGGGAGGTTATGTGTGACGCGGGGGACATGCGTTGTGCACTCACGAAGGCGGAGACGGGTCGAGACGTGCAGCGCACACCTCTGCGTATTGTTCAATACGGGCTTGTAGATGGGGTCATCGGCGGGCTCGCACGACGCTAAGCTATGTGAGGGGAAGTTGCTAGCCATCGATTATAGCGCGCGGGCCGAAGGACAAAGACGACCCGCAGGGCGGGTGTTGCTCAATCTGCATATACCAGCGACGATATATGAACGATTCTTCTTTACAAACAAAACGAACGCATACCTACCGCATCTATGATCTGCGGTTCGTATATGCGGAAGATTTAAGTTTAGAGCGTAGAGGTCGGTGACCCAGCGCACCGCGGTTGTTGCTCGTCTGACGCTGTTTTAAGGCGCAGGCATGGCTCGACTATCCAAGAGACGCACCGGGGAGGCGCTCCACTCACCCTGAGGTTGACGTAGATACTATGCGCGCGGATATATCGCTTTATGTGGCAAGTGGTGTTAGGAATACTCATACTCGTCGTAGTCGCCATCCAGACGGCCTACTGCACCCACATGTATGACGCTATGTCCAGGGATCGTTGACTGATAGACGACGTACCAGATGGCAATGTCCGCTACATCGTCGTATCCAACATCCTGTGATACTCCTCGACGTGCGCTTCAGGTCTCTGATTGGCGTGTAGGCACGAGGATGCGGGCCAAGGACGTGCTGACAAAGTGAGTGCAGGTCTCGTTGCTGTGCCAGCAGAGGCCGAGGAGGGTGAGACGGCGGGATACGTGGCTGTAGAGAGAGGCACTCGGAGAACGGGCGATGGACACCGTGTCGAGCCAGAAAAAAGGAGAACTCCAGGGGAAGGCGGGATGGGTGCAGCAGTAACGGCGAGAAGGGAGTCTGCAGACGGACTTACATGGGAGCCGAAGAAGAAACGCGCTCGGCATAAGCGCCCGCGGCCCTGAATTCTCTGCACTCACTCGCTCTCCCTATTTGCCTCCACTGTGCGGCTAGTACTGCTCGACTGCGACTGGGTCTCTCTCAGCTTTACACCGGCAGGAGCATCACATACGCGCATGTGTTCGCCCACGCGTACCGACTTACTCGCTCTCTCCCACGATGTGGTCCGGGTGACAGGATCTATGATGTCTTCTGCACGCCAACATGTTCCTTTGACTGCTCAAGCAGGCGGATTGTCGCAATTACGGCATCTCCGAAGGCGGATAAAGGTGTCCTAGGCCTGATAAGCTTCGAGTCTTCATTTGATCATCTGGTACGCTCTGCCGGCCGCACCTTTTGCTACCTTGCCCCAGACGATCCTCAGCAACACACATCTAGTACTCCGCGCCGTTGTTCAGCTACTTACATGCCATCTCTAGAGCCTATTGTTATGCTCCTACGGGGAGCGAAAGCGGTATCAGCCGAGATCCCTGTTCCAGGCCTCAGTTCCGCCCTCGAGGTCGCTCTGATAATCGTCGAGAAAGCAAAGGCATGCTCGTTCGATCACTACATCGGAAGACCCTTGAGACTGACCACGTCTCGTTTAGGAGATCAAAGACACTCGCGACGGATGCCAGTCTCTCGCTGAACGAGCCGCGTACTTCTGTCTGGGTGTCTACGATCAACTAAAGCAGTGTAGCAGCAATACACAGTCGATCGCGACAGAGGGACACATAGAACTCTTGCTCTGGTACGCTCATGCACTCCTCTTGTTTTTCCTGCAGTACTTGACGGCTTGTACTTTTGGGAACAGCACTCTACACGGTATAGAGTGCCTCATGAAGCGTCGTCGCAGGACACGGGCCCTCAGCTTCGTACGGCGGCATACAGACATTGCGGACGAGGTCCGAAAGCTCAGCGCACAGCTTGAGGATGCCATCAAACTGTTCATGGCAAGTACAACAATCGCGTGCATGCCGCCTTGTCACTGACTTTGCTACGGGTCCTAGTTGCAGACTGGCGTTGACATTGAGCAGAGGATAGGCGTACTAGCAAAGTCAAACGATCGGCTCCTGCAGCATGTCGAGGACTCCGCGCGTGTGGGAGATGTCCTCATCAGGGAGACCAAGGGCATCCGGATTGGTGTATTGGATTTGGCTCAGCGCCTCAACGCCAGCACGACGTTTGACGGTAGAGTACGATGAACTACATTGTCGACATCACGCCCGGCCGGTGCACTAATAACCACAATCATAGTTCCGGCTCTTTGCACAAGAAAACCTTGAGCTGGTAGAACCCATTCGCGATGCGGAATCGCTTCCCGCTGTCACGAGGCAAGCAGGTGAACATACACTCAGCTACGTAGAGACACATAAGCACGCCGGACGCGTCGTCCGCTTCCGCGCAATCGCGAAAGCATCCGGAGAGCTGTCCGACACCCAGGTCGTCGTTCATGCATACTCCCATCGCGACCAGGGTCGGTTCATGGAGGCCGTCAAATCGGCCAAGCAGGTTTGGTGAGTTCTATCCCAATATGTGAATGCGTATGTGTGTGACTTTCATGCGCAGTCATCCGTATATATTGGCGATGCTGGGATACTCCCGTCCCGGACGCCCAGACGAGGCATCATATATTGTGATGGAAGGTACGTTTGCAACTAATCAACATCGTCAAGAGTTGCATCACTACTAAAGATGCTATGATATCAGATTACTGTCTATTCGAGGAATACATCAGCTCTTTCCACGGAACGCGCAAACTGCGCGCAATCTTAAAGATGGTACGTATCGTTGACGTGCGTCTACTACGTCTGTGCAGTTAACACGCGTCAGACGGTGGAGATGTGCGTACGTGACCGCATTCAGGCCCCACCGCAAAGTACTTTCCGACCGTTTGACGGACAGATGGCTGTCGACCACTTGGAAACATTAGAGCTGCGTCAGTTGTTTCCAAAGGAGTTTTGGGTACGACGAGGCCCGCTGCCCGCGCTGCACGTAATCTCGATCCGCTGAATCTGCTGTCAATTTCGCGTACGTATCCAGATTTCCACCACACAGCACCCATTTGGATTCGGTGAACTTGTGTTTGATCGCCGCCATGGGGGCCGCGTCAAATGGGCTCGGGGTCCCCTCTCCCTTGGTAAAGCGATCGATCGCGATGTGAGCGTCAACCCTCCTTTGCGTGCTCCTTCTCTCAACATATACGTTCACAGGCATACGTCCCCGCAACACAGGCAGAGAGGGCTCGTCTGCTGAACGGTATGTCAGCGCATTCGTTCACTCTATGTACGGCATGTGACTGCTCTTTCAGCTCTCTGGCCCGTCATGTCTGAGGACGCTGGCACAGGCGCGGTGGTGCACTGCTGGTTCTCCGAAATGGGAACGAGCTTTCGGGCAGTGAATCCCTTGATTTCAGGACGTAGCATGCGCCGCCGTTCTTGGGAAGTCAATGCAGATCCGAATCATCCCCGGGTGGCACTTGGAGAGTGGTTGGGAAGCGCTCGCAACGACGATACATGGTCCGCGTTGTCCGAACGAAATGCCAGCTTGCGCGTCGAGGCCGTAACCTCCTTCGAAAGGGTGCCGCTTGTGGTTTCCCGGCCAGACTCCCCCTCGGAGGCTCCCGCAGAACCATCCCAGCACAATCGCGACCACGCTGAGGGCGAAGATCATCTCAGCACAAAGCTGTGGGAAGCTAAAGAGCTCGACATTCCCGAATCAGACTGCGGCGAGATGTGCATCGACGTCGTGATGGGCGCAGACGGGACGAGGTGGAAGAGGTGCGAGACATCTCTGAGCTTCAAGCCAGGCCCTGATTGATCGCTTCTAAACTCCCTTGCCCAGGTATCAGTTCTCTTGCGTGCCCGTGGACACGACCCTTCTCTTTCGACAAAGTGTCAACATCGCAAACCGCGGAGACGCCATCTCGAGAACGGCCCCCTCAGCACTAGGCATAACCGATGCGGTAGGATACAAAAGCATAGGCATAGGTGCATCCAGTCTCCATCCGTGCATCGCCGCCACTAATCCAGGTCATCTAGCTCAGCAATTCGTCTACTTCACAGAAACAATCGCCAAGATGGACACGCATGCCGCAGCGCAGGCGCCTCTGCCGCTTTGGTTCTTCATGCTGCAATTCGACGCCGATAACAGCCTGCGGGGTGCCGCTCGGGACTGCAATGCCCCGTGGGCCTTTTGGTCGTCGGAGAAGCACCCCACAGCCGTTCCGGCGGGCATCAGATTCGACCCGACACCGCGCTCCGAGCACGTCGAGGGGAATTGCACGGTCCCATGGTCCACCTGGACTCAGGAGCTTGGGTGTTTCTCCTTCGTTATCCAGAGCAAGTACGCACGAGGATCGATGTGCATGTGCTTCTTGGGTATTATGCTAACTCTACACACCTATGTCAGAATGTGCACCGCGGTTCTGAACTTTGGTGCGGATGAGCTATTGGCTCTTAGGGAGCTCCAGGGGAATCGTCACTGCGCTAATCACACTGAGCGCATGAACGGCTCCTCAAACGACGGCGACGATATCCCAGCCCATGTGTTCTCCGAGTTGGCGAGTTCGCAATCCCCGGACGGGACAGAATCGGAGTGCGAAGGCGAAGAATACTATAGCGCGGATGAAGATGAGGACGTACGATGCGGAGCCTAGCGTGTGTCTTGATTTCTGGAAGATATATATTGTAGGTGTCATCAGCCGGATCCATCTGTAGTAGAATGCTACACGCGCATCGGTATAGGTACACCCGTTCCGCCTGTCTGGGACACGCTTCAAAAGGGCTCGCTTCCGAGGCCGGGCCCGCAGCCCAGATGTGAACCCCTCAAGCTTCTTCGGGCGATCGGTGCCGTCGCTCCATCGGCGAGGCATCATGTGCTGTCCGTCGGTGCGATGTATAACAAGCTCGCACGAGATATAAGGACGCCGCGAGCAATTCAAAAAACAAAGCATTCGTCACATGTAGTCTTCCTCGTCCATATCGTCCAAGAACCAATTCGCCAGAAACTTGTCTCGCTCCTCCCCTTCCGGAATCTTCTCGAAAACAGCCTGTTTCAGAATCGCGGCGCGGGCCTTGGCGAGCTCGTAGTGCTCGGTAGGCACCCACGTCTCCGTCTCAAAACCGATCGCTGCTTGCACGGTCTCGAAGTTCTCGTCGGACAGCTGCAGCCGTTCGCTAAACTCCTTCGTTTTGCGTACGTCGTCGGCTTCGAACGCGACTGGACACGGTACACCTGCCCCCGCAAGCTTGTCCCACTTCTCCGTCGCCTCGATTAGCAGCGTCTTCAGGTCGTGGGTCTCGCCCTCCCAGGGCGCACCGCCTCGGTCGAAGAGGCGACGGGCGAAGAGAGACACCGGGTCCAGCAGGGCATCGTGGTGGCGCGTGTTAAGCTTCTCCGTGCTCTTGGCGTAGTGGAAGTGCACGAGACGGGCGTGGTGGCGTCCGAGTGCCGCTATCAGCTCGTCTTCGTCCAGCGTGCCCACGTTCGCCGGCAGCGACGGTGGGAAGAGGTACTCCGAGACCGGGTCACCGTAGTTCTGCAGGCGGCCTGGTATGGCGGCCTGGAGGAATAGGGGTAGGATGGAAGTGTGTTGCCAGTCGAGCATGCCGACGATCTCCAGGCGGCCAGATTCTGGCGAGGCCGATACCATCACGTTGCTGGGGTGGAGGTCGGGATGGCGGATACAGAACGCATGGAGGGATGGGTCTTCGGGGACGAGCAATGGGGCCATGCGAAGGTAGCGCTCGAGATTTTCGATGTGGTCCGTGGGCGACTGCTTCTCGTGCTTGTAAGCTTCCCTTCTCGCGCGCTGGAACGGAAGCAACGCTTGTCCGAAGCGTTGCAGATATGCAATTTCTTTACGTGCGGCTGCTGCGAGTACACCCGCCGTGTCTTCGTCTGCATGGTAATTTCAATCAGTTCCGGAAGGTTCGACAAAACCATACCTGAGGCGGTGAGAGAGGGAGGGGGGTAAAAAAGTGACGTACACGGGCCTCGATCCACATCGAGCTGCGACCTCCGCCCATACCACATGTGCAAGCGCACATCTGGGCCGACGCAGAAGCGCTCGCCGTCGAGCAGCATTGGGGTGATATTCGTCCTCCTCCTTGTCATCTGCTCCAGGTCGTCGGCATAGTAGAGGCTGCCACCGGCCGGGAAGGGAATCGACATGATGCGACACTCGAGCTCGACAACCTGACGCAAAATGGAGGCGAGATCCGCTTCCTTCAGCCCCATCCACATGTCTGTGAGCTTCAGACCCTTGACGAACTCCATAAAGATGTACTCCGTCCCCACCACGTCGTCCGACGTGGCAGTGTAGGCGTACACCTCTGGCACTGGCAGGCCCTTGGCGCGGAGGAAGCGCATCGTGGCAACCTCGCTGGCCACGGTGTAGAACCTGGGGACCGTGACGGGGTACGGGATGCGAGCGATCAACTGGAACTCATCATGCATAGTGACGAGGAAAATGCGGTTGAATCCGCCCTCGTCGAGCTTCACTATAGTCTTGACATCCTGGGACGTGCGACCGACAGACTGCGCGGCAAGTCGTCGAAACTCGTCGACGTTGAACTCGAGCCTGCGCTCTGCGAGACGCAGTTCGTTATTCACACTGAAATGTGCAAAACTCACGCTATCAGAGACATGTAAACTTACGCAATATGTGTACGACTTACAGCCAGGATCCCGACGTGTAGTTGAAGAGTTCAGGAGGGCCTGGCGTCGTACTTGAGAGCGCGCGACGTGGCAGCTGGCGAGAGGTCAGAGCAGGGATGGGGATGCACAAAGACAGACGGGCTGAGCGCAACGAAATCGTAGTACTGCGAAGGATTCCTGAACGCGCCAGGGAGTACCGCATGGTGAGGTTCGGGAAAGCAGCGCTGTGTTGGCAGGCACTACAGACCAAGCAAAGCGGAGGGTGTTCTAGACTCTGGGTCCAATTCACTCGAGTGCGTGTCGAGTAGTTGCCACTTTTCCACCCGGATTTCCCGGATTTTTATTCCGACAGGGGACAGGGATTCGAAAGGACGAGTGAGCGACTCGGACTCAAACTTGCTGGCAGGGGAGGACCCGGCGTACTCGGCGTACTCGCGTGGCTTTGTTTGGCGCGCAGGCGCCTAATACGGGATATTCGCGACCGCGGCACTGCGCCGCGTCTGTCTCTTCAACTTGGTTTCAACCATGACATGCTCCTGCTACTTATGTATATGCACCTCATTGCACTGGCCTCTCCTCACCCTCTTTCATGCAACCGTGTCCATATCGCGTGGACTCCAATACTTTGAGTCAGTCGGGACTGCGCGACCCTCTCGACTTTGCGTCCCACCCTATGCAGGCTACCAACAGGTATGTACCTCTGTTCCGGCGACACCGCCCGCTAAAAACCATGGGGCCTCACCGGATGACAAGCTCCGTTGGGTTCTGATCGTGTGCGCGCAGCTAACCGCTGGCGGATGGGGTGTGCGATGACATGTACTTTATACACTAGCACACCAATGTCCACTCCTGTGCACGTCCGGAAGGCCAACTCTGTCACGCAAATGAGGGCCCGAATGTCAAGATCATTTTCCTACCTTTGTGCGCTGCTGGGCGTTTGTCAAAACACGACCGCATCTGCGATGTAAGGGAGTCGCACGGAGAGACTGGTACCGCTGCGGGACGGCGATATCCAAGATATCAGGCCAGTCTGACGCTACCGCCCGGCCAAGTTGACGTGTCTCTTCCTAAGGCGCCGTGCTCCAGGCGTCATTCCGTATATTGATTATCATATCCATCTTAGGGGGACATGCGGCCCGGCTTTGCTGGTGAGCGTACAGCCTTTCCATTTGCTTCGGATGGCTATCTCGGCTCCGCAATCTCGTACGTCGCCTGTGTCCAGAAAGAAAAGAAAAACATCAATATTGGCACACGACACCGACTTGAAGGATACCACCATGACATCAACGGTGAGTGTTATCTATACTGCGAAGAACCGCTCGAAATTGTTAAGAAAAGAGTGCCTTAGGATGTCCGCTCAACCGTATACGAGGTGCATAGCCCATGTTGGGCGTTGGCGTCTTGCAACTTCTTTCAATCGCACCTGGAAGAACCTCGTCATATGTCTGTGGGTTCTCGCACAGCCTCTGGGAACTCAGGGCAAGGTCTTCGAATACGACCTGTGCCCTGCGTCGTATAAAGTCGCGCGTTGACAGGTCATAGAGCATCGCTATTATCGTCACACATCCACCGTCATCTACAGGCTTTCCACCCGGCAGTGCGATCTCCTCATTACTTGTCCGTCATGCTGATCCTCGAGGGCTCGATCAAGGCGCTGGAACTAGCGAAGCTTGTAACAACGGGCCTTCCATTCCCGGGGCTGAACGTCATCCTCGATATTGCGCTGAGCATCGCGAAGAAAGCCAAGGTGAGCATGCTCGTCCTGCACTCACCTCGCTGTATAGTAAGCTGGAGGTCGTTCAGGAGATCGAAGACACTCGAGACGACTGCCGAGCTCTCGCCGAACGTGCCGCATCCCATGCGCTGGCAGTATGCCAGCAGCTAAAGGACGGCAGCGGTGAGACCGCGGAAAAAGAGCACGTCACAGCGTTTCAGCAGTGAGTATTAGTATATATTTTCGATCTCTTTATATTACTCTGATCTTATTGCATTCGAAACAAGTAACTTGCAAGACATTGAGAACTGGATGGCCCGCCGCCTGCGAACTCTTAGAAAGCGAGATCGCATCCTGCTCCCTTTTAGACACGGTAAGGTCGCCAAGGAGGTCAAGACGCTGACTGCGAAGCTCGAAGAGTCCTATCGCATCTTCATGGTACGCACCGAGCAGCTCCGGTCGTGCTCGATCGTGCCGACGTCATGATTGTTGCTAGATCCAGTCTGCGCTCTCCGTCGACCAGAGCATGAACACCCTCAAGACCGGGAACATCCGCATGATGCGGCACATCGACGACTCGGCCCGTGTGGGGGAAGTCGTACTGGGAGAGACCAGAGTGATCCGCACCGGCCTCTCGGCCCTCGCCGATCGTGTCGGAGGGAACCTGATATTCGACGGGACGGTAAGGATTTGGCATTGCATGCCATAATTGTGCCCTGCTAACGACTGGCGTGTCAGTTCCGGTACTTCGCCCGCGAGAATCTCGCGTTCTTGGAGCCCGTTGCAGACTCGTCCTACAAGCCGCAGCATACGGATACAACCCCCGGAGACGACCGTGCTCTCGCCCAGGCCACCGCTCCGCCACGGGCCGGCCGTGTCTTCTGCTACCGTGCGGCCGTGAAAGCGGCCGGCGATCTCACTGGAACCCAGGTAGTGGTGTGTGCATATCCCAGTCGCGATGACCAGCGATTCGTGGAGCATCTCAACGCCGCCCAGCAAACACGGTAAGTCGAGATCGTTTGCCTGGGGCTGTGTCTGTGCGTCTCTCACTGCCAGTACCGTGCCCACAGTAATCCATTCGTTCTATCTGTCCTGGGATACTCCCGTCCAGGCAATCCATGCGATGCCGCATACATCGTGACGGAAGGTACTTCAGCGGGTTATGCACGATGGTTGATCACTGCTTTCATGACTGACCTATTCGTCGATAGATCACCTTCCCTTTGCAGAATATCTCTGTTCTCTGCGCGGAAGCAACAAGCTACGAGCGTACCTGAAAATGGCACGTAATCAGTATCCTGATCACTCTTATGAAGCTAACGTGGAGGCTCTGCATAGAGGGTAGCGATTTGTGTACGTTGAGCCGCTAATCCTCTGCACGCAGTCGAGTACTGAGCATACTATGAATAGATGGCCGTTGATCATATGGACAAGATGGAACTGCGTCGACTACTCCCCTTGGGCTATGGATTCTGGGTACGACGGACTTGCTACGATACAGTCTCATCTACTGACTCGCCGCTCGATCATCGCGCTCACCCAGGAATCGACGGCATATCATAATTTTGCGTTAGACGAGCTCGTGATTGATCACCATAATGGAGGTTGTATCAAGTGGGCACAGGATCCGCTCACGCTCGAACACACGGCCCGGGATTCTGACAGGGTTAGTACCGCTATGCCCCTCAATATGTTCCGCTCTCACTAGCAGCATACCTATGCACAGGATATAGACGTCCCAGTTGAACCAAGCAGGCGGACATGCATAATCAAAGGTACGCTACGTACACAGTAACATAGGTGCGATTATTGACCGCTGCCGCAGATCTTCGTGCTGTCGCATGTGAGCGCCTAGACGTCGTGGTGCAACGCTGGCTATTGCAGATATTCAAACCCTTGGAACTGCACTATTTTTTCGTCCCAAGCCGTTCGTGGCGGCGATCTTGGGAAAAGGTCACTGATCGTCCGCGGTACCCACTCGGAGTATGGCTCGGACGTAGGACGCCTTGCGAAGATTGGACCGTTTTATCTGCTCGGAACCCCGAGTTAGAGACCGGTGCTACGAAAGTGCAAAGGGTACCGCAGGTACTCCCTGGTCCCAGACAAGGTGAGTCGCCCCCAATACACTCATCAAGTAATCTCGTCAGTCAGCTCACGACGCCAAAGACTATCGTGATTTCCAGCAGAGATTTAGTATGGCTAGATTGCTTGATATCCCAAAAGCGGACGAGGGCGAGATGCGCGTCGATTTCGAATTGGGCACGGGCGAGAACCAGACGAGGTGGTCGAGGTGAGAGCGGCGTCTGAACATGTTGTCCTCTGATCCTGATCGCTTTTGACTGAACTCACTCCTTAGATACAAGCTCTCCTGCGTGCCCCTGAACACGACGCTCGTCTTTCTGCAACGCATACATGCCCTGCGCGAGCTCAGCGACGCTGCTTCACGGATGGTTCGCTTCTTACCGGATCCATCGGTAACGGAATGCTACGCGCACATCGGCATGGGTACGCCCATGCTGTATACTTGTGTTTCTGTGGCTGATAGCGATGTATAGCCACACACCGGTTCTATTACACCGAGACTACTGCCACAATGAGCACGCACGCCGCTGAGCAGGTAGTCCCACCACTTTGGTTCTTCTTGTTGCAGTCCGGCGGTAGCGATAGCTATGCTCACGCCCGCACCACCCCATGCGGGTTCTGGTCGTCGGAGAAGTACCCTACTTCCGTGCCAGCGGGCATCATCTTCGATCCAACGCCACAGTATGAGCCCATTAGGAAAGGCGAGGAAGCGCCACTGTTTACTTCGACACAAGTACTTGGAGACCTCGTTTTCACTACGGAGACAAAGTACGTACCGATGCCGATGTGGCCTTTAGAGCCTGTTGGGTAGCGTACTAACATTATATACTGCGCTAGGATGTCCACAACGCTGCTACAGCTCAGCGAGGACGAGCTGTTAACACTGAGAGAGCTCCAAGAGAGCCTCTGTCCGACTAGCAAAGGCAATGCTAGTGACTCAGACGACTCCGGCGCGGATCGCTTCGCTACATACGACAATAGCGACGAAGATAACAGTGGAGACGACTACACCGAATCAAGTGGCAGCAGTAACAGCCCTGCCACAACAGTGGAGTTCGAGCCTACGGACTCGGATTATCAGGACACGACGGACTCGGAGTACGATAGTACGGAAGAGTATTACAGTGCGGAAGAGTACTAGGCCACGGGATGCGGACGGCATTCGTCCTGACAGCCTGTCGTATATTACCACCACGTACCACGGGTGCGCTATGCCATCTTCGCTCATTGCCTCATCCTGAGCTAACATCTGCTCCTATCCAACAGTCGGCGCGGTCGCTGTGTACTCCACGCTTAAGGCGCTACGAACGTTTCCCCTCGTCTCTTCGGTTTTCGACTAGCTTTGCGCATTCGCTGCAAGTTCTTTATCACGGAAATCCGCTCGCACACGTCACGCCTCTATCCTCGTGGACGATGTCTCGAAACTTTGACGCTTGCGTATAGGTTCTTCACGGTTTCCCAGACGATTGTACCAAGCCCCGCAGGAGAACCTGTCGACTTGCCGCAGATCGATAGCTATAAACCTTCGAATTGGGTCACTTCAACTACCTAATGTACAGAACAGTCCGTGGCGTAAAGAGTTCTTGGTCGTATCAGTGTGGGAACCCTATGTGGGCTAGCTATGTCCATCGACAAAACGTGCATGTCAAGTCCGTAACCGTTCGTGAACGAAGCGAAACTCGAAACTCATGCCCTGCTGTCCATGCACACACACACCCTGCCTAGCTAGATGTGCGGCAAGCGCACTCGTCGCAGATGGATCGCGATCAAAATACGGCTGGACCATTGATCGTAAACTCCGGGCTAAAGTTGCCCGAGTCGCCAAACACTGTCCTCGACATCAGCGACCAAACGAATACGATCGAGAGAGGGAGGAGCTACGCACGGACGACGCTGTAGTCCGAGTCGGGGATAACCCATGGCACGGTGACCTCGATACGGCCGAGCAGGATATCGAAGCCCGACGCGAGCACCACTATCGTACGCCCCGCTGTTAGCGCAAGAACCGAGACGACACGAGCCAGCACGTACGCGGAGTAGCCAGGTCGCCCTTGCGCAGGAGGATCGTGCCGACCTTGTTCGTGATGTTCACAGGCGCGCTCGAGGTGTCCCTGCCATGCGCGCGCGATATCGATGTCAGCTCGAGCTCGTGCGATATAACCCTTCGCCATCCGCGACGGCGCCGCTGGAAGTATACACGCACCAGGTGACGTTGTGGCGCTGGCCCTTCGTCCAGACGGTGCCCGCGTGCGGGTACAGCACCGGCGGCACGAACACGTCCCGCTTCTCCAGGCCCGCGAGCAGCGCGGTGGGCGCCCCAAGCGCGAGCTGCACCCACGACGCGAGGAGCACGAGCGCGAGCGCGGCCTTCACGAACATCGACGCAGACTGAGACATCGCAGCGGCAGGTCGTGAGTGTCGTGAGTGGGGATGCGGGAAGCACGTCGGACGGTCAGCGCGAACGGGGGCGTATATATACGCCTGACATATCCGGCTAGCTGCCTGCTTCTAGCGGCCGCGGTGGTCTCATGTCTCATGTCGACTCGCCCTCTGCGTTGGGCCCCTCAGCCGGTGGGACGATCAGATTTCCCGAGCCCGTCCTCGGGCGGATCGAGGATCCTGTGGCCCGATGGGGCAGCGAGCGTGCATGTGCGAGGGCGCGCGAGAACCGCCGCGGGCAGTCAGCTGCCTCCGCGCAGGGGGCGATTGGGCGATAGAAGGGGGAGAAGCCGCACGAGGCGCGCGCCGGAAGGGGGGCCGCCTATGTACGACTGTCTGCTCGTCTGCGCTCACGCGTACGCGGGCGATCCAGCTCGGCGAGGACGAGCCAGCATGGGAGCGCCGCTGGGCGATGCGGCGTATCTGGCGCACGTATATGGGAGCGTACTTGGCAGACCGCAGCCCAGGCGCGGGCTGGCTGGCGGCGTACACGTACGCCAGGGAGGGGCGTGTGCGTGCTCAAGAATAGGTCCATATGGTACAGCTCATACTCCAGCCCCGTAATGATACAAATGTCCGCGCTGCTGACGCGCACGTCAGGGTATGTATATCTTCGAATAGCCCTCCACGCTGTGAAAGGGGGCACTGCTCTCAGCATGCCTCGTCTCCGCGCTGGCGAGGCAAGGGGCACGTACCTCCGCCGACAACACGGGCACGTATGCTTCGACGCCGAGGACCGCGACGCGAGGTTCTCGCGGCAGTCATCACACAACGCAAGGCATCTGCGGAAAACGACGTTCAGAATTAGAGATGGGACTTCCTGCGGGGGCGACCACTCACCGGCACGGCCAACAGATGATGTCTCGCGGCTCGACCGTGCAGATCACGCAGTTGCGCGTGTGCTCGGCGAACGCGTCCGCCCCCCTGGCCTCCACCTCCGCCCGCTTCGTGCGTCGCCGCTCGAGCACGAACTCATCCCACTCCTCGTACTCGTCCGTACGGCGGGCCCCGGACACCAGTCGTCTGTACCCGCGCCGCGTCAGCGGTGAGGGGGAGGTGTCGGTCATGTGTGCGAGGAGGAGCGGCGCAGAGGCGGCCTGGGACGCTGAAGTCGAGAGATCAGCATATAGCTGCGCTTGCTCGCCGCGGTGCTCGTCTTCCTCTCCATCCCCACCCTCGTCTTCATCCTCGCTATCGGAGTCAGAGAGGCCCGATGGCGTGGCTGGCGATGTTTCTCGGAGACCGTGTAGGCCGCTTGGTTCGAAGTCTTCGTCATCATCGCTGACAGGCTCTCCCCGCAGAAACCTGGCGTACGGGTCGTCCTCGGGGCCGCCTGCACTCCCAGAGGTAGCGGATATGATAGGTTCGTCCAGCACAACGACGGAGGTCGACCGTTCCCGCCCGCCTACCCCTGGCGATCCGCGCAACCACGCCGCGCATAATGCCAACACGCGCCTCGCCGCCCTCCACACGCTGAGCAAGAAGGCGCCAAAATGGCGCTGCCACGCGACGTTGAGCACCGTGTTCATCCACACGTCCGTCTTCGCGCCCTTCGCCTTCACGCTCACAATCTCGTTCGCGAACCCCTTGCGCACCCGGCGCGCCGCCCCGCGCAGCTCGTACGCCGACGACAGCGCCGTGACGCCCGTCCGGTCCAGCTCGAGCTCGCCGCGCACGACGTCCGCCCGCGACAGCGCGGCGGAGGCCCCGGGTGTGCTCGCGACGCCGCCGACCTCGTTCCCGAGCCCTGCGACAGCTGTCGCGTCCATGCTGGCAGTGCCGAGGCGGAAGAGCGCGACGTTGAAGTCCTCGTCTGCGCGCGGGAGGATGGCGGAGTGGCCGAACAGCGGGCGGGAGAGCGAGCCGGTGAGCAGGAGCTGCGTGAGCGCGTTAAGTGCGACGGTGAAGGCGACGACGACGAGCATGACGGACTCCACGACGCGTGCGGCGAAGGTCGTGAGCGGGTACGCGGGTGGCGAAAGCCAGACGACGTAGTGGAAGTGGGTCAGCGCGAAGACGCCGATTGCGCTCGAAACGATGAGGCGGTATTGCGTCCAGCGATGCTTGACTTCGAGGCAATGCATGATCGTCAACTGAGGGATGGTGAGTGAAAGCGCACGCATGTCTGCTTATTATACTGACTTGAATGAGCGGGAGCATGATTGTGATGATGACATGTACGTCTGGCCTGGATGGCGCCTCCGTTTCCTTCTGCGATAGGTTATGTGCAGCCGAGCAGACATATAGCTGGAACGCAAACGCAAACTAAGAAGAAAGTACATCAGCACTGCGGAGCATCAGAATGCATGACAGCAACTTACCAGATTGAAGGGCGAGGTATCGTTCATGTTAAGTCCCTCAAGACCGGTAGTGAGGGTCCCGATACATAGGGCGATACACGCAGAAAGAAATGTGTACCAGCAGACATCCTCCATCTTCTTGCTGACCGCCCAAGCGCCGAGTGACTGCAACCACGACGTTTCAAGGGCCGCGAAACCCTGCTGGGCCTGTAGCAAAAGCGCAGCCCAAAGAATTACCGCTTTTCCAAGCAGGTACATGGAAGGGACACGCAAGAGCATCCTAGAGAATGTCGAGGAGAAGTCGACGGGGAAGAACCGGGCCATGACAAGCTGGTGCCATGAGAGATGGCGGTCGCGCAGGCCGAACTGGTTGCGGTGTATGCGGAAGCCCGGCGGCCGACGTGGAGGGACGACGATGTTCTGGATGCGATTGAGCACGAAGGCCTGATCTGTCGTTCAGTCAACTTCTCCTTGTATGAATGAGCGCATATAAGGGAGGGGGAGCATCCGAGGATGAGAACGGGAGCCACCACCCGAGCCGGTGTCTCAATGACTTTGGCAAGAGCCGCATTTCCCAGACGAAATCGCCATAAATTATCGCCGCGGCATGGAGAGGCATACCCCGACTCGAACATTGTGTATGGGTACTCACCATGATAAACAACCCGACAAAGTAACCCGAAGTCAGGAAGCCCCACATCCCAGGAATGGGCGGTCCGTCATGAACGCTGGTCCTAGATCGCCTTTGGCCGTTTCCATTGGTGCTAGAGTAGGCAGAGTGGTGTGCGGCATCATGTAGGTCCATACTGATATCGTCGAGTCGGCGGAGACGAGCCAGAGCACGCGAGGGAAGGCTGAAGAAGCGGTGGGCGAGCTTCAGGCTAGCATTGACGAACGCGGAGGAGTTGTAGAAGCTGTCTGTCGCCTCTGGGGCGACAATATCTGCGACTGCATCCATCGCAGCATGCGCGCGCGTGGGCAGGGAGTGTGGATGGTGGTGGCAGGAGAGCCGCCGTGTGTGGCACGATCCAATGATGCATGCACTCGGCTCTCCCGGCGCCTCTGCCGCGTCTCGCGTGCGTTCGTGTGCGGTGTGTCCTTTATATCATCCGACTTTCTCGGAGCACACGATGCGGGGAAGAAGCCTTGCATAAAAGAGCAACACAATACTACCTACGATACATGGGCATACAGAATATCATAAGCAGGGTGGAAAACAGGGATCATGGAAAGAGAGCGAGAGCATAGCGTCCATAAACAGGGGATTCGGCCACAAGCGAGACGCATCAACTGTCTTTTTTTGCCTGCATACACGACAAGTGCTGTCAGCATGCATCCTGCCGCATAACCTCAAGATACGCACCTTCGGCTTCTTGTTTCCTGACAGATTGGACTGCCCAATTTTGGTTTGCGACTTCGGGAAGTTGGGAAGGAGATTGGGCGACGCAGGTGGAGTGGGCTGAATTAACGTGAAGCTGATCCCATGCGGCTCGGAACTATGCTGTGAAAGACCGTTGACATCAGCGACATAGATGCAGTGAAAACACAGGGGTATTTACAGGTGCATGCGGGTGCACAGACTTGTTGTTGTTGCTTGACATCGTGAACGTTCTACAGCGATGAAGTCTTTGACGGGAGAAGGTGCTGACAGGTGGCGACGGACGCAGTATGCAGGCAAGAACCGACCAACAGTGTATTGCGCGTGGCTTGGTTTTATAGTCAATACGCAGCGATGCTCGGGCGCCGCGCAACGAGGCACAATGGGCGGAGAGGCGCTTTCGATGGCCCCAGGGGTCTCCTGAGCCGCTCGATATTGGTCTAGGCAAAAGAGCACAATGGCTGGTTTTGAGGGTTCTAGCAGTCTATGCGCGCTGCCGAGGGCCTACACCATGAAACGTGTTGGCAAATGGAGAGCCATGCAGCGACATGACCCCCGATTGGCCACGACCAACAGTGTGCAGCTACGGTTTCGTTACGATGCATCAGTACTCAGTGGTAGTCGTGTAGTACCGCCTAAGCACAGCGCAACGTTAGAGTGTTCGAACTGTGACGATAGGAGATTGACGGTACGTTGATTTTCGGTGGCCCCACAAAGAGCTCGAGCTCGATAGTATTGGGTATGTGGCCTCCGCGTTTGAGAAGAAATACATTCGAGGGGGTACTTGAGTGAACGCCGACCTGCGTCAAGCAGAGAGCACGGTTGGGTGGTGGCCTGGGAGTAAGTGACTTTCGCGGGAGAGAGACGGCATTCGTTTAGGTCGATCAATCTCGGCCGTGCTGGCCGCATGTACAGACCTGCAAATCACATCGGATCCGCTGAGGTCACATCTGGAAGAAACCCGGAATGTGACAGCGATATGCAGAAGATGTGGGCCACCCCAATTTCGACACGCACCGCTGTCGAAACCGACATGTTACTCCCCGCGGGCCTGACGTTGTGCCCTCGCGGCCACCAGACCACGATGTGCATACAAACTCGCCGTTCGGGTCGAATGCACTGTATAACCATTAGTGAGTGCCCCTGCGACGATACCTGCGCCAATCCGCTCGCTACCACCGCACCCAGCTGCACTCCGCCCTCCGCGGTATCCGAGTCGCATTGGGAGGATCGCAAACGGCATATCACAGCAGCGACAAACCTCTCGAGGTGGCAAATGTCAGATCTGACAGCAAGTTAAACAGAAGCTTCAGAACTCGCAGAGGCATATAAGACGAGGACGAAAGCTCACCTCGCCGCCACGGGTTCATCCCCGCGCCACGAATCCGCCTCGACCTTCCTTTCGTCCACGCGCACTCCAGGAACCTATGTCGACGCCCAAAGGCACCGCTGCCCTGGCACGTCTCGCGGAGCCTCCTTCTCCAGGCATAGAGCGTCCCGCTAAACGCCGTTTGGGTCGATCAATCTCGACCGTGCCGGCCGCACGTACGGCATCTACCGCCTGCGTTCGATAAGTGCCAACGTGGTTCAGGCTTTCCCCCCTTCCGCTCCGCACCCAGCAAGGTATCTGCGTTGCCAGTCAGCCGCAAACAATGGCGGTAGAGGCGCACGGAGGCTGGCAGGTGGTCGTCGCACGTAAGGCCGGCACAGGTCTCGATCGCGCACAGATGCCCAGCCAACGCCACGGGCGCTCCCCAACCTGACTCTCCAACTTTTTGCTCGTCCTTCTCCAGAGCACTGCCACTGCTGCCCCCCGCATACCACCATCCTGCAAAATGGTGACCTCGCAAGACTCTGAGCCATGCATACTAGCTGCCAGGCTCCTCGACCGCCTCGCACGTGGAGTCGACACGCTCGGGTTCGTGACTCACACAGTTTTACATTGCTCGCAGCCGTGCTGACATGCAGACCCCGCTGCTTCACAGACTCGGCGCAGTACGTCCTCTGGCGGTGCGAACTCGACTCACGATGCTCACCCTGGTCGTTTTCAGCTCCAGGACCTCGATCACATAGTCGCGAACAGCCTCTCGGTCGTGAGAAGCACGATCAATAACCACAGACCTGTGCACCAACTCCCCGTTGAGGTCCTCGGGATCATCTTCCGCCACGCCCTGCCCTCCAACGAAGGCGGATTTCGCCAGAGCGGTGCGAAGGAGCCCGATATGCACGAAGAACGGCGCGAGCGGGTCGCCTTAACCCAGGTCTGCAGGCGATGGCGCGACACCGCGTCCCAAATGGCCGCCTTCTGGACCCTCATCGACGCCTCGTCCGTGCAGTGGGCAACCACATGCTTTGAACGCTCCGGCACGATGCCTCTGCACGTCTTCCTCCGCTACCCGCTCGACAGCACCACCGAAACCCCGCTAGCCTCTGAAGGCGCCCGAATCCGCGACCTGTTCATAGAGTTCCCCAAGGATCGCCGGTCGATCATCCCCACCGAGCTCCCGACGTTCCTCCCCGAGGTGCCCAACATGGAAAGCCTCTCCATCGTGACCCGCAGCCGGGCTTTCGAAGAAGGCCGCCCGATGGTCGACCTCTCGCAGTGCCCACCGCTCTTCCCGCAGCCGCCGCCCCGCCTACGCACGCTCATCCTCAAGAACCAGTGCTGGTTCCCCGCAGTCCCCTACGAGCAGCTAACGCACCTTCACATCGCACAATGTACGCCCGTCGACCTCCGCACGCTCGTCGGTCTCCTCGCGCGCTGCACCGCGCTCGAGGCGCTCGTGCTCGCGGACGTCTATCTCGCGAGCGCACGCGCGGTCCCCGACGACTGCACCGCGCCGCTCCCGCACCTGCGCCTGCTCGCGCTCGGCATCCACCAGTCGCGCCTCTCAATGCGCCGCATGCTCAAGTGCCTCGTGCTCCCCGCCACCGGACTCACCGTACGCATCTCCGGGAACGAGGCTGCGCGCGCGCTCTGCGACCTGCAGCCGTTTCCCTCGCTTCCGTTCACGGCCGATTTCGACGCGCTCACACTCGACCGCACATCGGACGGGCTCGTCCTCCAGGCCGCGTGCGTCCGCACTGGCACGGGGCTTCTCCTCGAGTTCGGCCACGGGTACACGTCCCTGCTCGTCAGCCTCGCGAAGAACGTCCTACCCGCACTCATCCCGTTTGCGAACATCACACGCCTCGCCGTGCGCGCGGACAAGTGCGACGTCGCACTGCACCTGCTCCCCGAGATGCCCTCGGTTGCGTCCGTGTGCATGGTCGACGCCGCGCCGCAGGGCGTCGACGCGGGCGCGGGGATCGGCGCCGCACTGGCCGAGTTCCCGCACTGCGTCCCGCGCGTGTCCGAGCTCGCGGTCTGGTCGCCGCGGCGCGAGCTGAGCTGCCTGCCGAAGCTGCCGTTCATCGCGATCAAGCTGAAGAAACTGTCGTTCTGCCACATCAGCGACGGTGGACCGGAGGCTCCTGCGGGGCCGCCGCCTGGCCAGGAGTACCTCGAGAGCTCTATCGCGGAGGTCGACTTCCGCACGGTGGATCACGCAGATGTGCCAAACCTCATCGACCTGCCGGGTGTCCGACCGCTTAACCACATTTACGATTGGTAGCAGTAACAGTTGGAGACATCAGCACGGTTAGGTATTTCATTAGCACTGTTATTCCCTGAACGCCCAGGCACTTATAAAGCGACTTCATGCGGTCGCGCATAAATTATCACAGCGACATTTGTACCACATTCGATACACCAATACTTCTGCGGCTTCACATATACATGCACCGCAAATTACTCGCACTGAACCCTACGTCCCACTCTGCTGCCAAACTGCTCGTCGATGTGTATGATATCGCGGCCAGGAGCGCACATAATTGAGGAAATGCAGTAATGATGTACAAATACAGTGGACACACAGCGACGGTATCGACGATTGCACAAATTAAACATACTAGTCAACATGAGGTGGCATGAACATGCATACACAGCGAAGTTGAGTGTCCATGCGCACACAGTCCGCCCCCTGCGGTGGGAGAGAGCGGCCCGGGCGCAGCCAGTGAGGGCATAATCGATTCGAGAAGATAAAGATGTTGTAGCAGAGCGCCGGCGGTCCCACCCACCCAAACACCACCGCCACGCCGCGAAGGCAGCTGCGGCCGCGGAGGCTTCTCGAGACCTCGCACGCGAGGGGCTGCAGAGCGGAGACGGACGCGGCCCGGGAGGCCACCGCGCCTGAAGCCTGGGGGTGGGGGCGTGTCCAAGCCGCAGGTTCACTGTCCATGCAGGTCGCCGCAGCGGCGCGCCTCTCGCCGCGGCCGCGCTCTGTCCATCCCTCTCCTCCACGTTCTTTCCGTCCGATCCAGCACGGGGGCCCGCCACGTCCACCGCCCGTCTTTTCTCCGAGGGCGCTCACTCGATAATCTCGAACCGGCTGCGCTTCGACTCGCGGCCGTCGCTGCCGTCGTCGAGGGGGCGCTTGCTCGACTCGCCGCCGCTGCCCCCAGCACCGTTTGCGCCCTCGAGGGAGCTGACGCCCGAGAAGGACTCGCCGTTGACGAGGTTCTGGAGGATGAGGGTATACTGCTCGTCCGTGAGGCCCATGCCTGCGAGCGGGTTGATCCGCCCGTCGTCGTCCTCGCCTCCCAGGGAGAACCCGAGCGGAAGGTTGCTCGCTTGCGCTGCCTGGATCGCGAGAGCGTTGTCGAATGACGGATCCGAGAGCGGAGGTACACCGACGGAGCGCGGCACGCGTGAAAGCGTTTGAATAACCTTCAGATGCGTGAGGTGCTTGTCGAGCACCTCCCAAAGGCCGTGTTGCGTGAACGGTTTTGGCAAGTGGTCGTTCATGCCCGAAGAGTAGTACTTCATGATTTCCGCCGGCTTCGAGTTGGACGTCATTGAAATAATGGGCGTCATGTGGTCGAACTGTCGGATGAGCGACGTCGCGGAGACACCGTCGAGCTTCGGCATCACGATGTCCTATAGGCACGCGCACAACGTTGCATGAGCCCAGACCCTCAGCGCAACAGCAAATAAAACACGCACCATTAGGACAAGGTCGTACTTCTCCAGGTTCATCTTGTTAACAGCACCAACGCCGTCCACGGCGACGTCAATTGTGCAACCGAAGATCTGCAGGAACTTGCTGGACACCTTCCTGCTGACCGCGTCGTCGTCGACAAGCAGCACCCTCGGGGGTACCGCCCAACCAGGAACGTATGTTGACCTCCGCACCCGCAGTGTCTGCGCACTCGCTGGACGCGCACCAGGGGCAGCAGACGCATTTCCGGTGGAGCCTGATGCACCTAGCGAGGCGCCGTTCGCACCTCCCGACGATGTCGGCGCGCTGAGGAACTGCGTGGGCTGGACTGTGGTCGCTGAGGGTGACGAGCTCTCGCCCTCCTCCTCAGGGTCGCCGCCCATGCCCTCTGGTGTGGGCATGACGACCGCCTGCGACAGGGCGTTCGGGTCGAACGCCCAGTTGCCGTTCGCATCCTCGAGCGACGACCGCGGAAGGAGGTGGCCGACCGTGAACACCTGCAGACCCTCATGGTTCAGCGTATTGGGGTCGACGCTCAACCCATACCGCGCCGCGTCCTCCATCAGGAACGCAGTGGGGTCGAACGCGGCGGGGTCCAGCGCCGACGGCCCAGCGGTCGGCTGCTGCTGTTGTTGCTGCTGCGAGGACGACGCGGATGATGATGCTTGCTGGGCGGCCTGCGTTGCTGCCTGGGGGCGCGCCTTCTGCGCTGCGGGCGACGAAGAGGAGGCGGCCTGGCCCTGGTTCTGGGCCTGGCCCCCGGCCTGAGCCTGGGTCGGGTCCGCGGAGGGCGTCGGGCGCATCCGCGAGAGCTCTTCAATCCGTGCGAGCGCATCCTGGCGGCTCATGGGCCGGGCTGGGGCGTCCACGCCAGGCATTAGGCCCGCGGCCGCGGCCATGATAGTCGACGCGCGGGAGGAGGGCCTGGGCGGGCCGCCCGCGCTGCCTGTGCTGAACGTCATGCCCGCGACCTCGGCGCGGCGGGAGATCTCGTTCATCTGCGCGAGCGAGGCCCGCGCAATGTCGCCGTCCGGGTAGGCGCCCATCATGCGTTGGGCCTCCGTTGCGGGGAGAAAGGGGTTCGGATCCGGGGCATATGTTCCTGGCGCGGGGTTCGAGAGCTGCTCCGTCTTCACTTTGCCTGGGCCAGGGCCGACGTAGGGGGCGTGAGAGAGCGGCGTATGCGGCGGATTTCGGGATCGTAGGTGGTCGCGTCGGTGGAGACACCATAAGTCGAGAAGAGTCCGTGGAATTTGCACAGCGGAAAAGCGAGGACACATGGAAAGAGAAAGATAGTACAAATTAGCTTCCAGACGACGATTATACTACGAGGAGACAGTCCCACCATTCTCCAGCTGCAAGAAATATTGTATCAAATTCTGCATCAGTCCGTCCTGCTGCGCCATGTTGCGCTGGAAGTTGACCATCTCTGACAGCACGTTCTGGTAGTTGGTCTCGAGGGAGCGTATATGCGCCGCCATTTCCTCCTGGTCGCGCGACATTCGTTCGAGTTGTGACTGAAGCGCGTCGACGCTCGCGTTGGAGGCGGGGCTGGGTGAGTTCGCTCCTCGTCCGGTGGACTTGCGAGCGGCGGGGACCTTACGCTTAATGTTCTCAAGCGCGTCTCGCCGATCAGCGTGGAAGTCCGGATGACGGAAAGTCCAGCTCTGAGAAGAGCGCGTGTGAGCGCGAACGTTTCAACAACACATTGGCGCGCGCAGAGTTCGTCCACAGACATGTCGCGTGAGTGACACCGGCTAGACTCAACCTCCTGCCTATATGCACAGCTAGCAAGAGACGTAACTAGCCACTTCGCTCTTCACGGTAATTCGCTAGCAGGTCACGGCAGGAGGAAAGCAGCAAAGCCAGAACAGTCAGCACCAGCCGCAATCGTCGCGCAATGCTCGGTGCGGTTGAGACACGCGTTGCGAGTTGCGGCGGGAACATGCTTATGGATAAACTCCGCGTACATGAAGCCAGGAAAAAGGGAAAACTCACGTGTTCGCCGAACTGGTTATCGTCCGTGTTCTTGACCTATCGCAAGTCGCATCTAGCTCTATGCGCATCGGAAATGGTACAAAGGCGACTCACTTTGTGAAAGTCGTACTTGTTTAGTTGACGGACGAAGGAGGCGAAATTTGAATGTTTGAACATGCGCGGGAGAATGGACTTTGTGAACTCGTTCATGTCCTTCACGACGAAACAATCGCCATGAGGCCCCCATGCGACAACATCGGCGAAGGAGGTATCTTCAAGCATTCTGCGCGTGGGCGGTTGATTAGTACGCGCCGTGGTACGGGATAACGGACGACATGAGATACGCACTTGTACAATTTCTTTACAAAGTCGGAGGTGGAGGGCATGCTGTCCTCGGACTCATGCTTGACATGTGACGAGTGGTGGTCATGCTCGTGAGAGGAGTCGCGGGCCATATCTCGGTCGGAGAGGGAGCGGTGTGGCGAAGATTCGGATAGGCGACGGACGGAGGGGAGGTCGTCACGAGAGCTGGAGGACCGCTGGTGTGACCAGGGGAGAGTTGATGAGCCGGAGAGGGTGTGGGCGGAGAGGGGCGAGGCCGTTGCGGATAGAGAGGGGTGGGTGTAGGTGGGAGGGGGGTAGCGGGAGGCGGAGGGGAGATGGGAGATCGGCGGAAGGGTGTTGTTTCTCGGAAAGGTATTGAGATGGAGCTGGGAGGGAGGGGGGAGGGTGGAGGACGGGAAGAGCTGGCGCTGGAGGGGCGGGTAGTGGGGAGAGTTGTCCATCTGGTCTGGACTGTTATGAGGGGAGGAGGAGGAACGGAGTGAGATGTCGATTGGAGATGGACGAGTCCAAGTCCCCTCGAGACCGTCCTCTTCAAGTTATCCTCCACGTCGGAGTCTCCCCCACCCACTCCCGGTCCCCTCGCCGAGATCCGCCCCCGATCTGGCATCCTCCCCGTCCCCAAATGGCAGTTCCTGCATTCCGTGTCCCCGGCCTCTTCTTCCCGCGCCCCCCTTTTTCCTCTTTTTTATCTGCGCCGTCTCAATTTCAGGCCCCGAACGCGCCTCAGCCACCGCGCCCGCGCGCCCGCCTTCAAACGTCTCTACTACACCCTCGCCGCCTCTCGCGTCCCGTGGACTGTCGCACATACTTGCCGGTCCTCACGCGGTCTAGGCCATCTTGCGGTGTTGAATTCATCGACGGGCGAACTGGCCTCGACCTTTCCGGACGGGCCCAGACCCGGCCACCCTCGCAGTCAAACAATCAGGCACCGCGAAACTCCTCCCAGATCCCCCGCGTTCTGTGCGATTGAAGACTGAGAATTAACACGGTCAGGCCTCTGCCTCCGCCGCCACCTCCCCTCCGTGCCCGCCCCCAGTCTCCGGAGCACGCACACACGTTCCTCCTTATCGATCGCCGCAAACGCCCGTCTCAGGCCCGGTCTTCCGACCTGCGCACGCCGCCAGCAGCAGCGAGCTCGCCGTCCTGCGCGTCCCCCGAGCGTGCACGGCCACCGTGCTCGCATCGTGCCACATCTCCAATCGCACGCACGCCAGAAGACGCTGCGAACAGCGCGGCGGAGACTCTCGCTCGCGGTCTGGGCCCCAGCCAGGTCGGTCGGTGCGAGCCCTTCCTTTCCCTTGCCGCATCTGCCGCATCCCACGCGATGCAGCTGATCCCGTCTCCCGAAATCCGAATTCATGTGCCCGTGTCAATTTAGGCGCCTACATCACAGCCTCCCAATATTCCGCAACGTCGCCTGACTTGCCTTGAATTCCAGCATGCTCGTACTTGCTACTGCAAACGGAACTTTCGAGCGCAAACCTGCAAACGTCTTTTCGTATGCTATAACTTTGTTATCGTGGTGACGTACCTAATAGTAATAGGAGAACCTAAGAGTGCCTCTGATCCCGCAACACCAAACAGCATTGATCGTTACAGCGGTGCCCTACTACATCCCGTAAGCCCCATAACCATACGCCTCCTCGCATCCACGACCGTCGGACACGCTGACATCCCCAGCGAAGCCCACAGAACCTCGTCGCCCCCCGCGTCCCGGGGCGCTCCTCGCCCTTCAAACTCAAACTCTGCGCGCACTGCGAGCGTCCGTGCGCGTGCACCACATTGACACGCACCGCAAAGCCGCGCGAGTCGCGGGGCAATCGTACTCGGTGGATTGAAGGTTGCGCGCCGCCGACCTCGACGCGCTTCCCTCCGACCCCACCGCGGAACACCGCTCGAGGCTCTGCGCACCCTAGGTGTCAGTGCGCAACTGGAAGTGCAGGGTTGAGTTCAGGGAGGGCGCGGAGCGCGGCACGCCCTGCTCGGAATGCCCATCCCGAGATACGCTAGCCGCTGCGCCGCCATGTCCTGGTCCATGATTTTGCGTGTGCTCAGGGTCAGCGACCCTGCTGATGCTGTCCAAGTGAGCTGTACGCCGACACCCTGGGAGCGCGGGTATATTTACCGGCTACTCGCAATGTGCGGGATTGGGGTTCAGAGAGCCGCGCTCCGTTCATGGGATTGATGGGACAAGCAATGCGTGCGCGACACTCCAGTGTAGCACTGCCTAGCCGTATGAACGATATCTATTGACCAAATTCGGTGTGGAAATGCGCGTTTCCCGTAACAACATACCATCAGGACGTCCGCGGTTGACGTCGAAGCTGAGGGCTTATATTTGAGCACAAATGATTATACTTCTGTCCATGACATAAATCACATAGCACGAGTCGTATGTACTCACAACAAATCATCTAAGATTATGATAGCACGGGATCCATAGACATACGTCCTGCGATAAACTTTGCTGAAGTAGAAAGGCAAATGCGCCAGCCGCTCGGTATGGTGTGCCCTATGTAACACATAAACCGTCGTACATGTGGGGAGGGTGTATTCCCAGTGTGATGTAGCGACAGCGGATTACGCAGTTGATTCAAGTACGGAAAACGCCCCTCGACGAGAGAGCCTTGCGAGGTCCCGCGCCGACGAACGCAAAAACACAAAATAGAACGCGAGCTCACCCAATTGCGCATATCGACGTCAGGCTTCGAGACCGGCACGATGAGCTTATTCCTCTTGCGCCGCGCCGTGTAGCGTCGAGCTGCGATACATAGCTTATCAGTCCAGCTGTATACGCACGGGAGGCAGGCGCCACCGACTTGTTATCCCAGGGTCGTGCGGGTGAACATACAACGCTGTCCACTGCAATCGAGAGCGGTGGATGCTGGCGGGAGTCGATGCTGGCGGGAGTCCGCGGCCGGCTGCTGGTAAGTAGCGTCTGCGCCATGTGTGCATACACCAACCTTCGTTCATACATACATAGTTCTGACGTCGATATTAAAAAGCCACAGGACGAAAGAAACGACCGACCGTACAGTATATCGCAGGCTATGTGCAAGAAACGTAACGAAGGAAAGGAAAACTCCGCACCGCTTTGGCCACCACATCTCGGTCTGTCCGTCTCCCCATGCCGTCGTATCGAAAAAGATCCACGCCCTCGGGAACGTGAGCGAGGCAGGGATGAGTCAAAAGATGATGGGTAAGGAAGGAGTGGTTGGACGGGACGGACTGTTGGCACGCATCCCCGGTCGCGACGGATCGCAGCTCCGATCCTCCCTGAACGCGCATCCGGGAGACAGTCGACCACGGCGAAGAGGGCTACAAGAAGTCCTCCGCCCGAGCGCGCTTCTTGCCGCGCATTTCCTCTGAGGAAACATTGGGGACGGGGCCATCAGCCTTCTCGTTCGCGAGAGGGAAATAGTACTTCGGGCATCTCGATCGCCTCTCCTCCTGCAGGATTGTTAGCGGCAGCATCTCGCTCAAACGAAGATGGAACATACCGGAGAGAAGTTGGCATCTTCCCATTTTAGCGCCGTACCCTTCTTGAACGGCGGATTGACTTGAGCGAGCGATGGATTTGGCAGAACCAAAGGCGGAGGTGGTGCTGAAGACACCGTTTGCTGTGCTTGGCTAGGAGGAGCAGTTTGCGGTGCGGGGCCTGGATACGCCCCGGCCCCAGGAGGACCAGGCGCACCATGGGGAGGTGGGGGTGACGCTGAGGACGCACCGGGCATTGGAGGCATATGCATATGAGGCAATCCCATTCCTGGGGGAGGCGAAAAGCCTGGCGGGGGAATACCCGGAGGTGGTAAACCCGGGGGAAGGAACGGTGGGCCGGGGAATGGTGGTCGACCGCCAAGGTGGTACGGGGGTACGCCTGGGGGCATCATTCCTGGGGGCGGCGAGCCAGCGAATGGCGGCGGTATCGGAGGGAATCCTGGGGGAGGCATCATGCTACAGAGATAGTTCGATTAAGACGTTCCGAGTGTAATAAGAAATACAACACTTACCCAGGGGGCATGTGCGGCATCCCAGGGAAGGGGGGTTGCCCCGGGAAACCTGGGGGTAGACCACCTGGCATGAAAGGAGGCGCACCTGGCGGCATCATAGGTGGCATCCCTGGCGGAGACATAGCTGATGTCGGCATCGCAGGGGCGGGCGGAGCAGCATATGTTTGGGAAGGCGCAGCATACACGCCGCCAATTGAAGCCTCCTGCGCTATAGGAGCAGCGGATGCTTCGGAGGCACCCATCAGAGCCTTGTGAGCCTCGAGCTGCGCCTTCAGCTCGTCTTCGGAGAGCGGGCGGTTCTCGATCTTTGGCCGCTTCGACTGGGGCTGGGTGATAGTACCTGGATTGAGACCAAGCTCGATCTCCTTACGTCGCTTGTAATCAGCCACGTCGGGCGCAGGAATGCCCTCCATTCCGAAGATTTCCACCTCATACCCATCCCGTCCAGGAAGAGCGTTTTCGATGCGAGGTAGGCTGAGACAGCATATAAGAGAAGTTCGTTCTATCGTGTAAGGTACGGCTTACTTTTCAGGCTCCAGTTTATGGACTTGTTGGATGTGTACAGCAAGACCGCCGGCAGTGTTCAGTCGCCGTGGACACATGTTGCACTTGAAATGCTTGGCCTTCTGGTGCTGCATCAACACTATATCGGCTGTCAGCGTTGTGTAGAGTGCGAGTGCGGGCAAAATGACTCACCCTTCTCATCCTCGAACTCCCTCTCACAATACCAGCACCAGGGGCGGAGAACCTGTGCGCAAGTTAGAATGAGGGCATTTGTTCACAAAAGACCTCGTACCTGCTTGTTTTTCTTCTTGGCCATCGTTGGATGATGCTGCGTTCAGCGAAGTGCGTTCGGAGTCGGTGAGAGCAGATGGCGTTGAGAATGACGACCTCGGGAGCTTGTCCGCGAGGCGAGGCATCCATTTGAGCGGAGTAGCTGAGCTTCAACATCAGGCTGTGGATTTGTGCCCAAAGGGATAGCGGAGATACAAAAGCACGTGGCTCGGTATCAGTGCACGGGCCCGGGAGCCGTGGACGTCGAGGACGCCACTCGATAATTGACCCGGACGTTCTCCTCGAGGTGAGGTCGGTCAGGAACGGCTCTCGAGGCCACTGCTCCACGATGATAATATCAGCTACATTCCTCCTCCAATAAAGCTCTCCCAGCCGCGGCCAGCATCCTCCAAGACCCCCTCAACATGATTGGCGACTCGCTGCCTGAATACGTCTTCATCCGCCTCTCCATCCTCGGCCTTCGACTTGTTGCCCCGCTCAGTATCGTCTACCTCTCCTACAGTGCATACCGAGGTCATCTTCTCTTTTCGCCATGGCTAGGGCTCTATGCAGCCGCCGAAGCCTCCTTCTACCTCCTCGTCTTTCTACCCAGGTCCAGGCTGCTGCAGAAGGTGAGCAAATCCGACTTGTTTCTATTCATTGAGCCACGAAGCCTTCCCAAGGGAATCTGCCCACGAAGTTGCTTCAGGAGCTTTCGTCCGCAGGTGTTTCTGCGGACTTGGGGTATAACACACGCTGAGCATCGCGCCGGAATGTCTGACTTCTTCGCAAAGTTCCGGCGGCGGAGAGGTCTGTCCCGCAGAACACGCTCTGGCTCATGTTCTGCGTTCTGGTAGCTTGGTCGAGTGACAGAGGTGATCAGTGCTGTATCATCAATATCGGAGAACGTCCCGGGGGCTGCGGGATGTGTTCTGCCGAACATGTTCTGCGTTCCGGGTGACAAAGTGTAACATAGTTCTCATAGCCAGACCACGCAAGTTCAGAGACTCTGGGAAAAGTGCCTTCGCGCGTCGCTGAACTCGGTGTGCACTTGAAGTGCACCCCGAGTACACTTTACCAGTGTAACATCTCTCACGGCTACGTTCTTATATGGCATACCGATGAGAGCAGCGGGTATGATGTGTTCAACGTTGGCTATAGCGGCAGAGACCACATTGTACCCGTACTCAGCATACTTTGAGGTCAAGGTGTGAGGCGCAAGCCCGCTACTCTTCATGGGCAGCGAGCACCATGTCGCACACGTCACGATATCGGTCCACCGCTGGTCGCCTCTGTCACCGGAACGCGCTCTGCCGGACAACTATCGCGCCCGTCAGGACTTTCTGCAATATCGTGCGGCGTGTTGAGTTTTGCCCGCACCAACGTGAGTACTCGAGTGGCGGGCTCGTGCCTCGCGCGTTGACCTTCACCGAGATTGGCATGGTCCCGTCCCATGAGAAGTAACATCGAAATCACGTCGTAACAAAAGTTTGATTGTGCTTTCGGTGTCTCAACTCGCACCATCGTAGTCGCAAGCTGGTTACACGTTTTTCAAAGTGTGAACAGCGTGTAACACGGCTTCTATGATACATCTGGAGATTCTCGACTTTTCACGCAGACACAAGAGGTGGATCTACCTGCGCACGCAGTCTCGCGGCGCATATTCCATCGCAAGATGAGACATCGACGTAAGCTTTCTTGTCCTTCTTTATTCTTTGTCCCGGACATAAACGTCTCAGAATGTCTGCATACCTAGCATTCTGTCTCGTTTTCCAGGCAGCGATTTACCGAACACCGGTAGTTGAACCTTTTGCTATGCCATGTCGCGTGCTCAGGCTTCCCTATTGGGCTTCATCACGGTACGTAGTAAGTGGCGAAAGGGCGATCCGTCTCATCCGATGACTCTTGCCGTTTTGGGCATCACAGAAAAGCCGCCATAAATCCCACCAATGAGATGGAATCCCTGTCGCGTTTCTCACTGTCCTCGCACATCGATTACAACGACCAGACACACATGCTAATGCATATCCACAGGCTGCGACCCACCCGCCGCTCCCACCGCGTGAAGAACGAGAAGCGCTGTTTGCGAAATGCTTCGCTCGCGTCAGCGATAGCGAAATGGCTTCCGGCTGGTTCTTCTCTTCTGTACCCGATGACATCAAGCGCGAAAACATGATCGAATGGCTGCTCTGGGCGTTGTTCGGCACTCACCGCGAGGGCCTCCAAGACGAATGGGCGGAAGAAATCCAAGGCTATCTGCAGAAGATGGAGAGCCTGCTCGGGCGGAAGATCGAGGAGGGCTGGGACCAAACTGTGCGCTGCATGAAGGTCTCGCTTGACCCGGTCGACGCCATCCACAGACCTCTCGTGTGGTACTTCGTGAGTTTCCGCAATGCTCTCGTCGCAAGAGCATCACTGACTGTTGTATGCGATATGTAGATTGTCGCGACTGTAGATACGATCACCGCCGTACAGATGAGACGCGCTGGCTTCCGTCACTACACTTCCGGTCACTGCACGTCCTGCTTTCCTCCCCGCGCGTTCACTGCGTTCTCCAACAAGGCTCCTCACCCGGATCTCGTCTACTGGCTGCGACCGCATCGATCCACGACGAAAGATCCTATTCTATTCCTGCATGGGATCGGGGTGCGCTGTTTTTGCATCTGTCCCATGGACTCGTGACTGACAGCGTCTGCAGATCGGTCTCTGGCCGTACGTCCCGTTCTTCACCGACCTCGTCACAGCGGACCCCGACGTCGGCATCATCGCCATCGAGAACCTGTCAATCAGCATGCGCATCTCCCCTCCTCCCCTCTCACGCGAGGCCATGCTCGAGGCGCTCACCGAGCTGCTCGACGCCCACGGCTGCGAGCGCGTCGTCGTCGCCGCGCACTCGTACGGGACGGTCGTCGCCGCCCACGTCATGCGCGACCCCGCGCTGTGCGCACGCGTCTCCGCCTGGCTGCTCATCGACCCGATCCCGTTCCTGCTGCACCTGCCCGCGGTCGCGTACAACTTCGTGTACCGCGCGCCGCGCCGCGCGAACGAGTGGCAGCTGTGGTACTTTGCGAGCCGCGACCCGGACGTCGCGCGCGCGCTCGCGCGGCACTTCTTCTGGGCGGAGAACGTGCTGTGGAAGGAGGACCTTGTGGGGAGGGACGTCGCGGTCGTGCTGAGCGGGAAGGACCAGATCGTGGACGCGGCGGAGGTGCGGCGGTACTTGACGGGCGAGGAGGACGCGGAGATCGAGTTCGCGTGGCGCAAGGACGGACTGGAGGTGCTCTACTACCCGGAGCTGGACCATTCGAAGGTGTTTGATACCAAGGAGCTGCGTCGGCCGCTTGTAGAGATTGTACAGCGGTTCGGGCAACGGTCGGACTGAGGATGCGGGTGCGTCCCTCGCTACTAATGTACACTGGCTCCCACAATAGATCTTTACTCGCTTCCCCCTGGGCGGCGCGATCCGGGATGATGGAGTGTCGCTGGCCGCGGTTGATAATGCGAACCTTGGGTAGATTTTTAGAAGTATACCAAGGCGCGGTGAGCTGCTGGATGCACTCGAGGGGCGGCACGCTCGCGGGCGTCAACGGTCAATCTCACTGCCGCCACGCACAACCACTCTCTTCCTCCTCCTCTCCCGCATTCTCCCCAACTCGTGATACTTAGCTCGTCACGGATTTTCTCGTTACTCTACTGGACACGTACTCTGGAACTATGTGAAGCGACTGTACGAGTTGCGAACTCCGCGGCCTTCCATACTCGGCACTTGGCACTCGGTGAGTAAGTAATCATTTCGGCGAGCTCTTGAACACTCAAATCACCTCGCTCCACCCCGTCGTCCCCCTACGCCATTCCTGTGCATCAGAGCAGCACTGAGGAGCACGCCGCGCAGAGTACGCGGACTTGTGGGTCCAAGTTCTGCTACGCGCGCATTGCCTCGCGCTCGGAGCCGATACCGACCTTCCTAGGTCAGCGCCGGACGGTCCGAGTGGCCTGCCGGCACCTCAGCGCCCCTCGTCTCCGAGGCCCCCGGGCGTTGTCAAGAAACGCCCATTCAGGCGTCTCCTAAGTCGGTCCCGAGAATGCCGGCATCGAGTCGCGTCGCCGGACTACTCAACGACATGGCAGGCATGCTGCCGCAGGCTGCCGCCCGGATGTCTGAGGACGCGCCACAGCAGCCGGCGTCGCAAGGCGGTAGCGCAACGCCCTCTGTGCGATGCGCACAGGGAAGGAAGACTTCGCGCAGGGATGCAAGGTGAGTAAAGATGACCTGACCCCGCCGCCGAGCGATACTGACCGAAATCTGTGCCGGAGTTGTCGTACGGTGGACGGCAGACATCGAGCGGGATGTGGTGGGAAGTGCGTCGTTTTGACCCCCTGGTTTGCAAGGTTTCGAGGTCAGAGCACGATTTGTGTGGCCCGACTACAGTACGCCAGCAGCGGAATGGGTCCGGGGAATCACGGACATCGGGCGGGCTTCGAGGTCGCAGCACGGGGCGCGAAGAGCCCGAGTAGGGACACAACGTCAGTGATACTCTCCCAAGGACGCAAGCGAAACATACTGACCAAAATCAGCCGAGAACGCCGGACGTTTCCGCGCTAACGTGTAGTGGACAGTGGAGATCGGGGGAAATGCGAAGGGAGCCACATCTCGACCACCTCGCTTGCAGGCTTGCAAGGTGCTCATCGTGATGCGCTGCCGACGGGAGAACGGGACCCGAGCTGTGTGCGGCCGTATCGCCTGTGCGTCGTGAACGGCGGCCGTCACATTCGAACATGTCGAACAGCCCGTGAAAAGGCGCTAGGTGGTGGAATTCTACTTTAAGGGCAGAAACGACCTCGTGCTGCGGTTCCTGGCTCGAGGGATTTGGGACTGGCGGATACATGGGCGAGCGAATGTCTCCGCCAACCCCGTCGTCAGTTCCGAGAGGAAGACGGTCGAGTTTCGAGCCGGGACGTCCGCAAGCCACCAATCGGACATTCTGAAGCTCCTTGGTGCGAAGCTATCCCCGGAAGTGGCTCTATGTCTGGTAGATGCATTCACCATCAAAGGTCAGCGGATTTGTCTGCTAATGCTACGAAATGTTGTGCTCATACCTTGTGCAGTGCCATGGCTCCCAAGAGCCCACGCTGCCCGCCACCTTCTGCATAGGACTCATGGACTCTCATCGCTGTTTATCGTGTCCTGAACGCGTTTTGGCCCGGATTTAGACCCGCCCCGTGGTTTCGAACCTTCCTGGCGCTGCCTACGCTAGGCCGTCGTCATATCAGCTATTCTGCCACTGCACAGGGCTATGCTGCACACGGTGCTCACCAAACCAGGTACTGTCATGTCCCCTCCACACATCGCGAAACTAAATGACGGGAGACTCACCGAGCTGTCACCCACAGACACAGCTATTCGCGCCGTTTGATCGATGCGAGCACCGTGCTCGAGGTTATGTTGTTCAGAGGGGTCGCGCGGCCGGCGACGAAGATTTGGACTGCACGACATGACGGGCCTGTCGGGGACGCGGACTCCGACTCAGAGGCAGTATGAAGAGGAGGGATGGACTTGGACGGGATGGGGCGGGGCGGGGCACGGAAGGTGAGTGTGAAAGTGATTGATGCGGCCATCCAGACACGGTGCATGTCTGTTCCGCGTGTCACATATTTCCGATGCAAGCAAATTTGCTCTCTTCCAGGAATGAAAGCTCGGGACGATTCGGGTAATTCAGTCAGTCCCAATTCCTTTTACAGTGCTTGCATCCGCGCTCCTCGGAAACTTCACAGGTTCACATTGCATCATCAGCCAACTGCATCGCCTATCGTATGGCACACTCGATGAGGTGAGTATCGCTCGTCCACAGTGTGAAATTATGTTTTGATGAACCTGAAGATGTATTGTCCTTGCTGCATCGTTTACAGGACAGTCCGTTGAGTGGCGAAGATGCTCTGCGCTCTGTGCTCTGCGTCCGAGTCCGTTATCCCTTCGCTGGATTTTCCGATGGTCGGACGTTTTCCATGGCCTAGGGCGAGCAGAGAGCATGCGCTCACGCCCCCGGGCTCCCCGTTCGGTTGCTTTGTTCTGCATCGGGTACTCTCTAGCCTGATCCAGAGATGACCGAGTCGTACGACAGACGGCACACGCGCCCATTGGGGCATACTATATTCGGTTCACCCGCTAACGATAATAAATCCGTGTGATCCCGTACTCAGGGCTGGCAGCGCCATACTGGTGAGTAACAACTGCCCTGCTCGAGGAGCTGTGACTGACACATTTCGGCTCCATGTTGCCTCGCTTGATGCCGAACAAATGCAGCGTGTCAAGGACACCTTTGTGCTCCTGCGGTGCGCGTTTTCGTCCTGCGCCTCGGTTTATCGGTGCTCTGCTCGGGAACACTAGAACGCGGTCGTATGAACAGGGTCTCTACCCACTGCAAGGCCCGGGGGCGCCGGACTCGACTCGGGGCTTCTCACAAAGTGTGTCCCCCTTCTCGGCGGCGTGCAGGCCAATTCCCAGTCCTGCGCAGGCTTCGGAGTTAATCGGCCTAGTGTAATCAGGCACGGGCAAAGTGTTCGTCGGAAACGGACAGGTGCCAGCGAGCAGTGTGACACCCGCATGTCCGTCGTCGAAATTACTAAAAGGAGTCATAAGACGGGTTCTGCAGCATGAGCATGCGGTGCGTACACCGTCCCGCTCGCTGTGTTGCAGGTTGGCTTCAACTCATACAATGATTTTAAAGCCATCGAGTGCGAACACGGGAGCACCACGGTCACTCTCCTGCATATCTTCGGAACGCACAGCTCGAGGTGTGCAGCCTTGTTCCCCGGGTTTACGGGGCACTCCGCATCTGACTCCTGCTTGTGTAGGTATTTCTTCACGTCCCCCAGCTCGAGCGACGGGTTCAAGGGCACGGATGCGGAACTTCACGCTGTCGTGTTTGTAAGCCTTCGCCTTGTGCGGAACCGACTAAGGCCGCAATCAGAACGTCTCTAACCTCACGGAGGTTCTAGGGCGGCATACCCCGGTGATCGGTTCGTTTGGGCTTCGTTTACGCATGGTATGTTTTGCGTAGCATGCGACGGGCTCGTTAGCAAGCTTGTTTGTACTCTTTGTGAACTCGAAATATATTTTTACCGCCTTGTTCTTCTGAACTAGTTACAGCCGTGTGCGGAGATAAATCACATCTACAGTGGCATGCTCCCACCTGCGAAGACCGAGTTCGGTAGCTGCTCGTCTCCGTGTAAGTGACGTCGGATAAATCAGGGGTACTGGGACTTGACGTACTGCAGCTCGGAGCTCGGGCGAGCATCGCTGTGCAACCGTATCTGTTTCTGAAAAGCAAATTAAATGGTGCACAATATTATCTGGCATGCCGGATAACGAGAGTGGTGTATTGCAGGAGCCTGGCGGACGCAAATGTGATTCGGGAGAGAGGGATTGATGGTGTGGGCGGGCGAGGCGCACCCCTGAGTGCACCCAGACTAAACGACGTCGACGCCGGTCAGCCCCGTGAGCGTCAACTAAAACGATGCTCGAATCGAACATGTCGAATGTCCACTGTGCGCTCCGATTACGTGCGCCCCGAGTAGAGCCACGAGCGGGCTCCGCCATCGCTCGCCGGGCCCACTTACGCCGCTGAGCACGCTGCAGAACTTCTGGATGCGGTACTGCAGTCACCTACCGTGCTCTGGGCCATGTGGGCAGCATAAGTTCCCGCCGTTTATTCTGAAACAAAAGCCCCATACCAGTGACAAAATGCCGCGCGAAGCGTCCGCAACGGCCGTGGCTACATCTCGGTTTTCCGGTTGCCCCGTCCGTCCCCAACACACGGTGCAGGTCGACGAACATCGGGAGCCGTTACCCCGTTCGGACGGACGGGAGGACGAGTGTGGAGGTTCTTGCTATGGGGTGCTGGTGTGAACACACTGGTATCGTCGTCCGGAAACTGCAACCTCGCTGAAAGGCCGCATGGGGCGCCATCTGGGCGTGGTGTGCTGCTCCCACGAGCGCACGGGGAGTCCAGAGGGACTACAGCGGGCAACAGACAACAGATAGCGCTCCAATGGCGACTTGGGAATGCGGCATACGCCCGGCACAAGGGGGTAGCAAGGTCGGGGCGACGTCCAGCGTTGTTGGGAAGGGCTGAGATCAAACCTGGGAGCGCTAGCAGACGGTGTCGGCGGGAAATGCGCTCGTCGAGGGTAATTGAATGTACGAGCAGCACGGAGCGGCGTTGTGATACCACATCGTGTATCGGGCGAGCACCTGCGAGCGCATCGAACACAGAGCCCATTTTTGCTGCTTGCATGCACTGTGCACGGGGATAAGTGGCGTTCACGGTGACCAGTGTAAACAACTTACGAACGGATCTCGAAGCATGCAGCGCGCAGCCGGCTCTCATCAGTGTAGAGGCACTCATGAATTGTCCCGGACGTTGTTGGGCAGCGAACTGAGCCTGCGTTATGCGCGTAGCCCTTGCACAGACACTGTTCTCCTCGTCCGTCGGCGCGTCAGAGTCTCGTACGTGCGGCGTCCCTCGGCGTCCTAACATCCACAACATGAACAGCGCGCACCGATTACTGCGCTCTCCACCCGCTTGCCAACGGCGCCATCTGCCCAAACGAGCGACGTAGGACACGACGGCACCAGCCCCCTCCGCGCCGCCCGACCGCGACTCCGCTCGCCCGAGGACGACGCTTCCCCACCGCATGACACACGGCGAACAGCCCCAAACGAGCACACCGCGCGGGCGCCCCGAAGCTGCCACCAGCGCCGCGACGGAGGATGGCAGCGCCCGCGGGACGAGCGCGATCGTCGCCTCGCGTGCGTCTGAGTGCGAGACGTATGCCCCGCACGAGCCGAGCACGTCTTGGGCGGATGCTGTGCTGGGGAGGCGTGCGGCTGCTGCTGAGGCTGCTCGTGCGATGCGACGCCTCTTTGCCTTGTCGGTGGGTGTTCACTCGACTGCGGGGGCGATGGCAGGGGGAGGCGCAGGTGCAAAGTGCGGGCCGGACGGCGCAGAGGCGAGGGCCCCACGAAACGGATTCATCGATGACTAGGGAGCCAATGAGCTGACGTCGCGATGATCCCAATCCAGACTGCCGGCGTCGTTCGGCGGTGCGCCAGGACATGTCCTGGTCGTTTCGGGGCAGCACGCGGTCATTCGGGGAGGAATAGAGCACGCTCTTACTGGTCGTCGAGCGCGAGCTCAGCACTGCGTGCGGTTGCTCGAGCCCAGCGCTGCATGTGGTTGCTCGAGCACTGTGTTGTGCGCGAACGCACGCCAGACAGCGTCCATGTGCGTCCGCAACGATCGCGCCCCGCCGCCTGTGCCGCGCGCGAAATGGCGAGCGTGAAGTTCCACTCGGCCGGGCCTGACATCGTCCGAAAATGAGGCTTCCCCGCCGGAGGACGCGCGGCGACCTGCTGGAAACCAGTGTCAGACGAGCGCTCCGTCACGGTAGCGAGGATGCGAGCCTACCTGATAGACAACGATGCAGTCCTTTGCACCGGTGCGATGCTCGGCTCGCGTGCGCTAGGGTCGAACGCGCACATCTTGCTCGCACAGAGGTCACCGCTCCAGGTTGCGCCGTCTTGCTACGAGAATCGACGTCTCTCCTGTGCGATGGCGAGTGCACTATCGACGTTAGCATCGACGACGAGGCCACACATGGGCCTTGGCGCGCAGCCTATCCGAGACGGTGCGGGCGGACGTGTCTAGACGCGACATGTGGATCCGATCGCGAAGCCCGAGCGTCCTGGCATCCCACACTCGACGTATTCCCGCGCGCATGCCGGACTGTACCGCGTACGCGAAGGACAGACACTTCGAGCTTGGAAGCGAAGAAAGGCGGGGATGTCGGCGTGTGTACATGCAATCTGGAGCAAACTGTGAGTGGTCCGTGCGCGCGCCGAGTACGTTAAAAGGTGCAGGAGGGCACACCTTGCCTTCGTTGTCGTCGTCCTCTCCGCCTGGTGTATCCCCGACGATCTTGGACGGTCTTGCGTGCTCTCCGGGCGTCGTCTGCTCCGTGTTCGTTTGGTACGTGCTCGCCGTGGTGTTCGTTCAACGTAGCTGATTTGTTTTGTGTTTCCTCGTCAGGAGAGCGGGTGGGCGGCCCAGTCCTGCGTGTACGCAGAGTCCGTAGTGCAGCTGCCTGGGGGCGGCCCGAGTGCAGTGTACAGCAGCTCGCTGCCAAATGAAACGGTAAGTGAGCTTCGTTGATGAGAGGAGACAATCGCTGACCTCTGTACTACGTTCTAGCGACAGAACGACTCATCCTGCGGCTACGCGGAGGCGTGTGGACATGTTAAGCAGTGGGGAACTCCTTCGGCGGAGTATGTGTGCTAGTATAATGACCGTTGAGATATCGGTGCATCACATGTATATATGCTCGAATAACATACCTAGTTTAGTTCATGATGGTCATGTATGCGGCACAGCGCATGCGGGTGCACTGCCGTATGCGTGAACGGCGCGTGTGCGGCAGATATCATAGCACGGGGATCGATGTATGCGCGTTCTATGGCGGACGGGGCCGCCTGCGGGTCGTTCCTTCTGTGCAAACGAGAACGAGGGGACGGGGCGTTAGGTGCACAGGAGGAGAAACATGGCGACTGGATGAGCGAGTAAGTAGCCGGGCCCGAGGTGGAAAACACTAGAAGGCAAAGCTAGCAGTCGGGACTGAGAGCAAGGGCGCGCGGGCGCTCAGACGGACGGAGTTGCGTGGCGAACGGCCTCGAGCTCTACTCTATTATAGCGAATGTAACTACTCGATCGTGCCGCTGCAGGGCAGGAGCGATGCGGCTGGGGGACATGGCATGGTGAGGTGACTCAGAGAGCGAGCAGTACGCCCGAGTCAGTAAGCGTTGATAAGCAAAACGCGAACACGTGAGCTCCTTGTGAGGCTGGTCGAAGTCGAGTCGCAGTCAAGTAGCATTCGCAGAGTGGCGAACGAGACCAAGAGGGCGAGCGAGCGAGTGCAGGGAAGGAGCGACGTGTGGCAGCCATGACGCGTGCCCACGTCCACCGCGGGCGCTTATGCCGATCGCGTCTCTTCTTCGGCTCCCATGTACTGCCCGGGAGCCGTGGACGTCGAGGACGCCACTCGCTAGTTAACCCGGACGTTCTCCTCGAGGTGAGAGCGGTCAGGAACGGCTCTCGAGGCCACTGCTCCATGATGATAATAACAGCCATATTCCTCCTCAAATAAAGCTCTCCCAGCCGCGGCCAATATCCTCCAAGACTCCCGCAAGATGATTGGCGACTCGCTGCCTGAATACGTCTTCATCCGCCTCTCCATCCTCGGCCTTCGACTTGTCGCCCCGCTCAGCATCGCCTACCTCTCCTACAGCGCGTACCGCGGCTATCTACTCTTTTCGCCATGGCTAGGCCTCTATGCAGCCGCCGAAGCCTCCTTCTACCTCCTCGTTTGTCTACCCAGGTCCAGGCTGCTGCAGAAGGTGAGCAAATCCGACTTGTTTCCGTCCATTGAGCCACGAAGCCTTCCCAAGGGATTCTGCCCACGAAGTTACTGCAGGAGCTTTCGTCCGCAGGTGTTTCTGCGGACTTGGGGTATAACACACGCTGAGCATCGCGCCGGAATGTCTGACTTCTTCGCAAAGCCCCGGCGGCGGAGAGGTCTGTCCCGCAGAACACGCTCTGGCTCATGTTCTGCGTTCTGGTAGCTTGGTCGAGTGACAGAGGTGATCAGTGCTGTATCATCAATATCGGAGAACGTCCCGGGGGCTGCGGGATGTGTTCTGCCGAACATGTTCTGCGTTCCGGGTGACAAAGTGTAACATAGTTCTCATAGCCAGACCACGCAAGTTCAGAGACTCTGGGAAAAGTGCCTTCGCGCGTCGCTGAACTCGGTGTGCACTTGAAGTGCACCCTGAGTACACCTTACCAGTATAACATCCCTCACGACTACGTTCTTATATGGCATACCGATGAGAGCAGCGGGTATGATGTGTTCAACGTTGGCTATAGCGGCAGAGACCACATTGTACCCGTACTCAGCATACTTTGAGGTCAAGGTGTGAGGCGCAAGCTCGCTACTCCTGGGCAGCGAGCACCATGTCGCACACGGCACGATATCGGTCCACCGCTAGTCGCCTCTGTCACCGGAACGCGCTCTGCCGGACAACTTTCCCGCCCGTCAGGACTTTCTGCAATATCGTGCGGCGTGTGGAGTTTTGCCCGCACCAACGTGAGTACTCGAGTGGCGGGCTCGTGCCTCGCGCCTTGACCTTCACCGAGGTCATGGACCTGTCCCATGAGAAGTAACATCGAAATCACGTCGTAACAAAAGTTTGATTGTGCTTTCGGTGTCTCAACTCGCACCATCGTAGTCGCAAGCTGGTTACACGTTTTTCAAAGTGTGATCAGCGTGTAACACGGTTTTCATGATACATCTGGAGATTCTCGGCTTTCCGCGCAGACACTGGAGGCGGGTCTACCTGCGCACGCAGTCTCGCGTCGCATATTCCATCGCAAGATGAGACATCGACGTAAGCTTTCTTGTCCTTCTTTATTCTTTGTCCCGGACAAAAACGTCTCAGAATGTCTGTATACCTAGCATTCTGTCTCGTTTTCCAGGCAGCGATTTACCGAACACCGGTAGTTGAACCTTTTGCTATGCCATGTCGCGTGCTCAGGCTTCCCTATTGGGCTTCATCACGGTACGTAGTAAGTGGCGAAAGGGTAATCCGTCTCATCCGAGGACTCTTGCCGTTCTGGGCATCACAGAAAAGCCGCCATAAACCCCACCAATGAGATGGAATCCCTGTCGCGTTTCTCACTGTCCTCGCACATCAATTACAACGACGAGACATGCATGCTGATGTATATCCACAGGCTGCCACCCACCCGCCGCTCCCACCGCGTGAAGAACGAGAAGCGCTATTTGCGAAATGCTTCGCGCGCGTCAGCCATAGCGAAATGGCTTCCGGCTGGTTCTTCTCTTCCGCACCCGATGGCATCAAGCGTGAAAACATGATCGAATGGCTGCTCTGGGCGTTGTTCGGCACTCACCGCGAGGGCCTCCAAGACGAATGGGCGGAAGAAATCCAAGGCTATCTGCAGAAGATGGAGAGCCTGCTCGGGCGCAAGATCGAGGAGGGCTGGGACCAAACTTTGCGCTGCATGAAGGTCTCGCTTGACCCGGTCGACGCCGTCCACAGACCTCTCGTGTGGTATTTCGTGAGTGTCCGGGATCCTCTCGTCGCAAGAGCATCACTGACTGTTGTATGCGATATGTAGATCGTCGCCACTGTAGATACGATCACCGCCATACAGATAAGGCGTGCTGGCTTTCGTCATTATACCTCCGGCCACTGCACGTCCTGCTTCCCTCCCCGCGCGTTCACCGCATTCTCCAACAAGGCGCCTCACCCGGATCTTGTCTATTGGCTGCGACCGCATCGGTCTACGACGAAGGATCCTATTCTATTCCTGCATGGGATTGGGGTATGCTGTTCATATATCTGTCTTATAAAACCATGAATAACCCGGTTTGCAGATCGGTCTCTGGCCATACGTCCCGTTCTTCACCGACCTCGTCGCAGCAGACCCCGACGTCGGCATCATCGCCATCGAGAACCTGTCGATCAGCATGCGCATTTCCCCTCCTCCGCTCTCACGCGAGGCCATGCTCGAGGCGCTCACCGAGCTGCTCGACGCCCACGGCTTCGAGCGCGTCGTCGTCGCCGCGCACTCGTACGGGACGGTCGTCGCGGCACACGTGATGCGCGACCCCGCGCTCTGCGCACGCGTCTCCGCGTGGCTGTTCATCGACCCGATCCCGTTCCTGCTGCACCTGCCCGCGGTCGCGTACAACTTCGTGTACCGCGCGCCGCGCCGCGCGAACGAGTGGCAGCTGTGGTACTTTGCGAGCCGCGACCCGGACGTCGCGCGCGCGCTCGCGCGGCACTTCTTCTGGGCGGAGAACGTGCTGTGGAGGGAGGACTTGGTGGGGAGGGACGTCGCGGTCGTGCTGAGCGGGAAGGACCAGATCGTGGACGCGGCGGAGGTGCGGCGGTACTTGACGGGCGAGGAGGACGCGGAGATCGAGTTCGCGTGGCGCAAGGACGGGCTGGAGGTGCTTTACTACCCGGAGCTGGATCACTCGAAGGTGTTTGATACCAAGGAGCTTCGCCGGCCGCTCGTAGACATCGTGCAGGGATTCGGGCGACGGTCGGACTAAGGAAGGCGAGCTATCTCCTTTCGCTTGCTCATACCCCATCTTTTCGCGCTCTGCCTATGTTACATGGCTTCGTTCTAGATGATCCTGCTATACACGCAACGTAAGTCTACCTTTATACCGCAAAGATTACATACATAACAACCCTCAGCGTCCGTCTCTTAAGAATCTTTCCGCGTCGATTCGTGGCCTAGTCATCATCTGCATCTTTCGTCCCATCGTAACCGACCTGTGGCATCCTCAAGTAGTCCCGCGCGGAGCATGCTGATCAGGCGTAGTCGCTGATTCGAAAGAGCGGGTATCATAGTATGCAGTAGAAACCAAGAGACAGACGCAGCGCAGTGCCGCGGCCGCGAATATCTCGAAAGCGCCTGCGCGCCAAACAAAACCACGCGAGTAGGCCGAGTACGCCGGGTACTTCTCTGCCTCACTCTGCCAGCAAGCCTTACGCTCAAGCTTTGAGTCCGAGTCGCTCACTCGTCCTTTCGAATCATTGTCCCCTGTCGGAATAAGAATCCGGCAAATCCGGGTGGGAAAAGTGGCAACTACTCGACACGCACTCGGATGAATTGAACTCAGAGTCTAGAACACCCTCCGCTTTGCTTGGTCTAACTTATCCGACGCAGCGCTGCTTTCCCAAACCTCACCATGCAGTACTCCCTGGCGCGTTCAGGAATCCTTCGCATCACTACTAGTTTGTTGCGTTCAGCCCGTCTGTCTTTGTGCATCTCCATCCCTGCTCTGACCTCTCGCCAGCTGCCACGTCGCGCGCTCTCGAGTACGACGCCTCCTCCTCCCGCTCCCGAACTCTTCAACTACACGTCGGGATCCTGGCTGTAAGTCGTACCATATTGCGTAAGTTTACATGTTGCTGATAGCGTGATTTTGCACATTTCAGTGTTAATAACCAACTTCGTCTCGCAGAGCGCAGGCTCGAGTTCAACGTCGACGAGTTTCGCCGACTTGCCACGCAGTCTGTCGGTCGCACGTCCCAGGATGTCAAGACTATGGTGAAGCTCGACGAGGGCGGATTTAACCGCATTTTCCTCGTCACTATGCACGACGAGTTCCAGTTGATCGCTCGCATCCCGTACCCCGTCACAGTCCCCAGGTTCTACACCGTTGCCAGCGAGGTTGCCACGATGCGCTTCCTCCGCGCCAAGGGCCTGCCAGTGCCAGAGGTGTACGCCTACTCTGCCACGTCGGACAACGTGGTGGGGACGGAGTACATCTTTATGGAGTTCGTCAAGGGTCTGAAGCTCACAGACGTGTGGATGGGGCTGAAGGAAGCGGATCTCGCCTCCATTATGCGTCAGGTTGTCGAGCTCGAGTGTCGCATCATGTCGATTCCCTTTCCGGCCGGTGGCAGCCTCTACTATGCCGACGACCTGGAGCAGATGACAAGGAGGATGACGAATATCACCCCAATGCCGCTCGACGACGAGCGCTTCTGCGTCGGCCCAGATGTGCGCTTGCACATGTGGTATGGGCGGAGGTCGCAGCTCGATGTGGATCGAGGCCCGTGTACGTAACTTTCTTACTCCCTTCCCTCTCTCACCACCTCTGGTATGGTTTTGTCGAACCTTCCGGAACTGATTGAAATTACCATGCAGACGAAGACACGGCGGGTGTACTCGCAGCAGCCGCACGTAAAGAAATTGCATATCTGCAACGCTTCGGTCAAGCGCTGCTCCCGTTCCAACGCGCGAGGAGGGAGGCCTATAAGCACAAGAAGCAATCCCCCGTGGATCATATCGAAAATCTCGAGCGCTACCTTCGCATGGCCCCCTTGCTCGTCCCCGAAGACCCATCCCTCCATGCGTTTCGTATCCGCCATCCTGACCTCCACCCCAGCAACGTGATGGTATCGGCCTCGCCAGACTCTGGCCCCTTGGAGATCGTCGGCCTACTCGACTGGCAACACACTTCCATCTTGCCCCTATTCCTCCACGCCGGCATACCAGGTCGCCTGCAGAACTACGGCGACCCGGTCTCGGAGTACCTCATCCCACCGTCGCTGCCGGCGAACGCGAGCACACTGGACGAAGACGAGCTGATAGCGGCACTCGGACGCCACCACGCCCGTCTCGTGCACTTCCACTACGCCAAGAGCACAAAGAAGCTCAACACGCGCCACCACGACGCCCTATTGGACCCGGTGTCTCTCTTCGCCCGTCGCCTCTTTGACCGAGCCGGTGCGCCCTGGGAGGGCGAGACGCACGACCTGAAGGCGCTGCTAGTCGAGGCGACGGAGAGATGGGACGCGCTTGCGGGGGCGGGTGTGCCGTGTCCGGTCGAGTTCGAAGCCGACGACGTACGCAAAACGAAGGAGTTTAGCGAACGGCTGCAGCTGTCCGACGAGAACTTCGAGACCGTGCAAGCAGCGATCGGTTTTGAGACGGAGACGTGGGTGCCTACCGAGCACTACGAGCTCGCCAAGGCCCGCGCCGCGATTCTGAAACAGGCTGTTTTCGAGCAAATTCCGGAAGGGGAGGAGCGAGACAAGTTTCTGGCGAATTGGTTCTTGGACGACATGGACGAGGAGGATTATTTGTGACTAGGGATTTATTTATAGAATTGTTTCGCGGCATAGCGTCGTGCGGGGTTGAAGAAGACCCCGACTGCGAATATGTGATGGACAACACATAGAGATCCACCACATATGTGCTGCCGAGTCGTCTCTGCGCTCATGTGCACGCCGTGCACGTCCCCTGCGTCACACATCCCTTCGCCGGTGTCCCGCGGTCCGAGTACGACAATATTTGTGGAGCTAGGCGCCGTAGTCAGCGCCGCAAAAGCCTCGGATGCATATCCTATTAACGGGACCGGGAAACGTATCGTCGATGAGGTGGAAGATTCTACTGTGCGGTGCAAGTGAGGGTACATCGTGTAAAATAACGAGCGCACAAGGCAAGTCGAAAAACGAATGTACAATGATAGATGATGTTCGTAACAGACACATCGGAGTCGGAGACCCCCAGCCTGAAGTGCACCGACTGTGAGTGTTGGAAGAAGTTTGTTAAGGATGAGTACGAGGAGCAGCAACGAGGCGCAGGACATACCTCTGCGACATCAAAGCACACACTTTCCGCATCCGAGTCCCGTAGCCTCGTCGTCTTCTACGCTGTGATACTATTCTTCCGTCCAATTATATCACGCGTCCTATGCGTCTTTGGCATCCTGGTAGTCCGAGTCCAAAGACGCGTTGTACAGTGCATGGTCGTCGATGCTTGCGCTTCGAGTTGATTTGACAGATAAGTCTCCGGTGCTATATATCCTCATTGCCGTTGTCGTCCGACGTTGCGAAGCTGTCTGTGCCGGAATCGTCCGAATCGCTAGCATGAACGTCGCTAGTTCAATGATGGCCCTCTTTGAACTCTCTGAAGGCTGACAACTCGTCCTCGCTGAGCTGTAGAAATTCGGTGTTCATCCTACCGCAGGGTGCTGTGTTAGTACAATATCCATTAGACGTATGAGCCCAAAATCGACACCGGTGCGTACTTTGTCCATGTGACAGATTTAAAGTCTCCAAGTGCTTGTACCGTGACAAATATTTGGTCGTCCACCTCCTGGAGGGGTACAAAATCTTGCGGTGAAGCGAGGGCAATAGTATCCGCCGGAATGGAGGTGGGATCCTTCTCCAATGACCAGAAGCCAGACGGGATAATGCAGTCGTGAGCAGAACTATCACCGTCGAATTGGAACACGAAGAACCAAAGTGGTGGAACTACGGTCTCCGTGGTGCAAAAGACAATGGTCTCAGTGTAATATGTTCGCCGCGTGGCTTCCCGTCCAGGTCAATGGCCGGGGCAGAACGGACAGGTGTGGAGTGGGCGTACCTGTGCCGATCTGCGTGTAGCGGCGTCCTACTGCAGATAAATCCGGCAGCGCACACATCATCCACGAGGCAGTGTCAATCCCATCCAGCGCGTGTACATGTTGCTGAAAGAGAAACGTCGCAGGCACGGGAGCGCGGGAGAACTGGTATCTGAGGAGTTGGTGGTGACGAATCCAATCAGGGTGCGAGCAGCTCAAACGTCGCTCTCACCTCTTCCATTTGGTCTGTTCCCCACCTGTGCCTAGCGCGTATTCGATGCACATCTCGCCAAGGTCCGGTTTCGGGATATCAAACCATGTACTCGCCCTGATCCTTTGCTCAAAAGTAACATCTTCTGCCCTTGTCAGCTGACTGTCGGAGGCGTTTGAAAGATGTATTCGGGGCGGCTCACTTTGTCCGGGAAAAGGAAGTACTAAGGGTATTCTCTGCATTGTCACAGCGGCCTGGAATCTGGGATGTCGTGCAGATAGACAGGTCCAAGGACCGTGGCCATTACCTCCTAGCCATACTCCGAGTGGATACTGTGGGCAGTCGATAACATGCTCCCAATGTATCGACCATGAACGGCCTAGGACAAAGCCATAGTATGCTTTAATGGGGTTCAGGGCCTGTGATAACCAACGCTGCACCACGGTGTCTTCGCGGGCACTTGCGGCAGCACGAAGATCTAAATCGGTAGTCAATGATTGCACTTCCAAGGACTCGCAAGGGTTCGCACGGGGTACCTTCTATTCTGCTCGTCCTAGTTTTTGGCGCAGTTGGAACCTCCACAGTGTTCTGTGCACAGGTCCGGTGGGATTGATAGTATATTGCGAGGGCAGCGGGACTCACCGGCGTGGCAAGGTCCGAGTCTGGCATCTCAAGTACGAGGGGATCCCAAGTCCATTTGATATGGCCTCCATGCCGGTGATCAAATATAACCTCGGCTAATCGGATACGATGAAAGGATGCACTATTATCCTACATGGGCACAGAAGATGGGCAGTAAATCAGTATCCCAAGAAAGGTTTGTGGACATTCCGTCGTACCCAATATGTCGCTGTGGGAAGCAGTTCAAGCGGTTCCATGCCAGTGGCTTCCATATGGTCAACGACCATCTACCCAAATCTATTCAGTACTTGACTGCGTTTACTAGATTAGGGGTTTAGTCGAGAAGTACGTACACAAATTGCCGCCTCCTATATAGAGCCCGTTAGCTTCGTAGCGGTATTAACAGATATCGAGAGCACGCGCCATTCGCAGGTATTCTCGTAACTGGCTGATTCCACGCAAGGAGCGGATATGTTCTGCGAAAGGAATATAGTCTACCGGCGATGGGTTCAGCCGGGGAGGCAGATATCAACCACTGTGAATGATATGACCGCGTACCTTCTGTCACGATGTATGCAGCATCGCCTGGATTCCCCGAACGGGAGTATCCTATCATAGCCAGCAAGTGCGGGTGACTGTTTACATTGAAGTGAGATGCACAACCCCAAGGAGAGGGTTTTGGGCGTACCGGGTTCGCTTGGCAAATTTTACGGCCTCCACGAACTGCCGATCGTCGCGACTAGGATACTCGTACACCACCACCTGCGTTCCGGTCAGATTTCCCGCAGCCTCCACGACGGCGCGGTAGCGGAAGACGCGTCCAGCCGGCGGCCGAGCAGTTGCCTGGACGATGGTGTATTCGTCTCCATGTCGCAACGAATCGACGAAGGGCTCTAGTAAAGCCAGATTCTCACGCGCGAAGAGCCGAAACTAGCACGTCAATCGTCAGTGAGACACATAAGTAGCCGGTATGCGGACTTGAATGCTTACATCTCCATCGAATGTCGCGCTCCCTCCCACATGATACGCAAGGTCGGAGAGGTCGGTGCGGATCACCCTGGTCTCTCCCAGCAGAACTTCCCCCACTCGGGCAGAGTCGTCGATGTGCCGCATCATGCGAATGTTCCCGCTCGTTAGTGTGTTCATGCTCTGGTCAATGGCGAGCGTAGACTGGATCTAGCGACAATCATGACGTCAGGGGGATCGAGCGCGACGGGAGCTGCTCGGTGCGTACCAAGAAGATGCGATAGGACTCTTCGAGCTTTGCCGTCAGCGTCTTGACTTCCTTAGCGATTTTGCCGCGTTTGAGTGCAAACAAGATGCGTTGTACTCTTCCTGCTCGCAGGCGACGGACCATCAAGTTCTCGATATCTAGCAAGTTGCTGATGTTGGATTCGGTCAGATTAGGCTGATTTACGGAAGTCTAAGGAGCCGATACGCACTGCAGAAACGTCGTGACATGCTCCTTTCCTGCCGTCTCGCCGCTGCCGTGCTTGAGCTGCTGGTATACTGTCAGGACGAATGTCGCCGCACGTTCCGCGAGGGCTCGGCACTCGTCTCGAGTGTCTTCGATCTCCTGATCGACCGTCGGGTTACTAAACCGCAGAAAGAGTGCAGACAGAGTGTGCTGACCCTGGCTTTTTTCGCCATGCTCAAGGCACTTTCGATGGCGAGACTCAACCCGGGGAAGGGAAGACCTGCTGCTGCTTGCTTCGCTAACTCCAGCGCATCGATCGAGATCTCGAGGATCTGCATGGCTGTTGACGGCCAAGCGACGAGACTTGGAGACTGGTGTGCCAGAAGGGCTAGCTTGGCGGCGAGCCTGCAGATGGTAGTAGGATGGGGGTGTAATGATAACGGCGATGGCCGCGACCTGTCAGAAGGCGGAATCAATACAGGGCGTATGTCGTACTCGGAGACCTTGCCTCGAGTTCCCAGAGGCTGTACGAGAACACACCGGCATGTGACAAGGTTCTTGCAAGTGCAATTGAAAACCGCCGAAACGACGACATCTCATGGCTATGCACTTAGTATACGGTTGACGCTGAGTCGGCCTACTGGAGTCAATATTCTTCTAGCCAGTGCGAGCATATCGCTGTCCGCATCATGCACCGGTTCGCCTAAGAGCCTCTGATCTGTGTGTACCCATCTGCGAACCATTATTGCTGTCCGCTGATAGCGTGGGAGACAACGGAACAAATGCGTACCAAGAACCTGCTTGCTGCTCAGCGCCGAATTTTAACACCGTTGGATGAGTCGCAAAGCGTCCATACTGCTTTCGCAGTCCAAAGCTACACTATAGATGCTTTCTTCGTCACGGCTCCCCGTGCGCCGACATGTACAAGGGCGGGACACTGCAGAGTCCTCCGCTCGCCCTAAATCCATGCAAAAAGCGTATTCAAACGCATACTGCTCGTTTCGACTGATAAAACCGTGGGGTCTGAGCGGGTTGCTCCCGGAGTACGCGCTAGGCTCCCTCGATGCAACACCAAGGCGAAGCTCTCACCATGCGTGTCCATGCGTGTAAAGCACGTAGTCACTGAAGAGATCCCAATGATACCCAGACACGACGAGTGTAATGGTATCCTGGTGTCATTCAGGCTCGTGAACTATGATGTTGCACTCAGCCATCCGCAGCCGCGAGATGACGGACCCGGTTTATGCCCCAAGCGAACTCAGGCGGCATCACGAGGGATTAGCTATGACGCTCGTTGCCAAGAGCTATCATGCGCAGCCCGGATTTCAGTCAACACATAGACAGAGTGAGTACGGCGAGGCATGCATATCATATGTGGAAGCAGCCAAAGTGAGAGGTGGCGGACGCGCACTGCGCGACGATCACGAGTACTTAAGTACTGTCGCGTGGGCGCTCGCAAACCGCGCGTTGTTTGTCGACCAAACAAATCCACGTGGGAAATCCTCCCATGCGCTCGAGTCGGAGTCGCTCGCTCGTCCTGCTTCCTCCTCCCATTCGAGTCTGCGCCCGTCTATCCTCAGACTTCCTGCCTGCCTTTCACGCCATCTGCAGGACTAAGCTGTGCCCGCACTCTTGTGCCTGTTACCGCTAGACCCATATACGACTTCTCTTGAGGCTCCCCTGTCCTCTGCCTCGACGTGCCCGCCACCGCCCTCTGCTTTTCCGCAAACCTGCACCCGTTCTTCGCCATGCTCTTCGGTCGCACATCCCGCCATGCCACACTCCTCGGCCATTCTGCAACTTTTTCAAAGCGTTAGCAGGCCCACATCTATACACCACTAGCGGCAGCGTCTGCCTCTCGGAGTCTTCGCTGGTGCGGCAATCAAGACCTGCGCTGTCTTCGTCAGAACGTCCTTGAGCATCCTCTGGCCTGCACAATAAATACAGTCACGAAGTGCACACCGAAGATTATAGCAGGACGTTGGGTGCAACAATGTAGGGACATTGCCATCCGGTAAGTCCTCTATCAGTTGACGATACCTGGATATACCGTCCTACATGTGGGTGCAGTAGGCCGTCCGGATGGCGACTACGATGAGTTTGAGTATTTTAAACACCACTTCCACAGATGGTGGTATATCCGTGCACATAGTTTCTACGTCGACCTCAGTGCGAGTGAATCGCCTCTCCAATGCATCTCTGGGATAGTCGGGCCGACGCCTGTGCCTTAAAACAGCGTCGGACGAGCACCAACCCCGCTGCACTACGTGACCGGCGCTTTCGCCACGTTATCAACTCTACGCTCTGGGACCGCCCTCATGTCCTCGAAGTTGAGTTTAAATTCCCCGCATATGCGAACCGCAGATCATACTTAGGGGTAGGTATGCGTCCGTTCTGCTTGTTATGTAAGAAAACACGTTGATATCTCGTTGCTTGTATATGCAGATGGAGAATTGCATGCGCTACGGGTCGTCTTCGTCAATGCCCTTCGGTCCGCGCATTATAATCGACGACCATCAATGTCCCCCTTGCATAGCTTAGCGTCGTGCGGGTCTGCCGGAGACCCGTATTGGACAACACGCAGAGGCCCACTGCGCTTCCTGTCCCTGTCTCCGCCTTCATGAGCGCGCCACGTATGTACTCCGCATCACACGTCCCCTTGTCGGTGTTCCACGGGCCGACAAGACCCAATCCCTCTACGATGATGCGGAACCAGGCGCGCCGCCAGCGCGACGGGAGACTCAGCCGCACCGGGGTCGGTCGCGCGTGTCGCTCCTTGCGTGTGCAGAGACCGAAGTCGCGATCGAGTAGATCGCATCGTGCACATGAACAGCGTTGGCGCGCTTTCGGGCGTAGGGACTTCCACCGGAGATGCACCATCGTTGAGAGCCGGCAGCGGCGCACTCTACCTCACAGAGCGAGGACACAGTCCGCGGTGGAGGTATTGCAAGCGTTCAGCATCGTTGTCTTTACCACGCGAGTAGTGCGTCCATGCACCGACTACTTACACGCCGCGTGCTCTGTCACTTGCTTTCTTTGACGCCGCTTAGTACAGCGCTGATTTGTTGCCCTCAGGCTTCCACTTCACCCCAGGAACCCGAACACAGTCCGAGTAGGGCATGTCTCTGCCCGCACGGGAGGGATCATGGCGCAGAAGACAAAGTACTAGGAATGAACACGCGGACCTCCCAATCCGGCGGGGTCGTACAGACTACAGCGCTAGCTGTCTATCGTCCACCGACGACCCATGATCACAACTCAGCAGCGGGACACGGATCGGGCGCGAACCGATCCCCATGCGCGTCGTGCCAACAGCTTGCTCCAACGAGCCCTTCGCGCTCGTCTATGTGCTCGTCTACCCGACCGTGCCCCCGCGCGGGCGTTCGCTTGTACCTGGAAGCCCGTTTCGGCGGTAGCATGCGTCCATAGCGACCTCGTCGCCGGATTGCTGGCGCGCGACACTCTGCGCTCCGACTCGTCGCTCGCTGCCTCAAGCACTCAAGACCCTCTGGGGCTGCTTCCAAGGAGACATGCCAGTGGGGGCGTGCGTGTGGACGTCGATGGCATGGGGAGCCGCGTCCACCACATCCCGGCTCGTACCTCCCCTCGCTCTCCGGCCGCACGCTCCCACTTTTCGGAGCAGGACGCGCGCTCCTCGCGGTGATGCTCGATACAATGTAGACATTCGTTCCTACTGTAGGTGTCGTGCCTGGGGTCCCTGCTGAGCATTCATACTTCCGTATCCCCGTTCGAGACGGATCATATCGGACGTGTGAGGCCGCGCGTGAGAGCGTTACTTTGAATACTTACCGTGCGCGGATGTGGGTACTCTACACGGGCATCGTCAGAGTGCGTCCGTGTACTACTCGAATGTAGCGGGAGGATGGCTGTGGCACGGCAACATGGTCTACTAACTTCGTGCTTTGGCGATCGACACAGTCCACCCGGGAGCACTGTCACATCTATCATAGTGAGAGCTCGGCGCGCCAATACGCTAAACCTGCTGCTGCACGTACGTTCAGCAGTCGCTACGAGTCGAGGAGTCGAGGATGCATATGCGACGATAAGTAGTGCAGCCGGGGCGGCAGCTTCTTCGACCACCAACGGAGTCCAAGAGGTTCAGGCTTTGAACGCCAACCCTTCCTATGGGTACACCGCGAAGTAGTCATACACATATTGTTTGCGGAGGTTTCGAAGCATCTGAGTCGATGAAGACGAAGGTGTTACTGAGCGTGCGGCGAGTAGGGTTACATCGTAGAAACGGGGCGGGTCGGGGATGGAATGGGCGGGGATGGAAGAAGTTCGTTGAGCGGAATCCTCGAGCATGAGAGACACGGCCGCGCCGGCTGCGGGTGAGCAGGATGAGTACGAGTAGCCGCAACGGGGGCGGAAGTGGTACATACTTCTGCAACGTCAAGACGGACACTCGCCGCATACGAGGCCCATGGCTTCGTCCTCTTCTGCACTGTGATATTCTTCCGCGCTTTCGTATTCCGCATCTGTCGCGTCCTGATAGTCCGACTCCGGAAACTCGTAGTTCACCCCGAGGACGTGATCTTGGTTTCTGGAGCTCGATGCGAGGGATTCGGCGTCGAAGTCTCCAGCGCCATCCTCTTCAGCAATGCTGTCGTCCGTTGCAACACCATCTCCACCGGAGTCGTCCGAGTCGTGAGCATCGGTGTCGCTAGTCGAATAATAGCTCTTTTGGAACTCTCTGGATGCAAAGAGCTCGTCCTCAGTAAGCTCTAGAATCTCGGTGGCCATCCTACCAGAATGTGCAGTATTAGTACAACACCCAACATACAAGCCCCAAATCGACACCGGTGCGTACTTTGTCCGTGTGGTGAATACGAGGTCACCAACCACTTGCGTCAAAGTGAACAGCGGAGCTTCGGAACCCTCCTCAATGGGCTCAAACTGCGGTGTCGAATCGAGGATGATACCCGACAGCACAGAGGTGGGATACTTCTCCGACGACCAGAATCCAGTTGGCATATTGCAGTCGTGAGCGGAACCGTTTTTGCCGTCGAATTGCAAGACGAAGAACCAAAGCGGTGGGTATACCTGCTCAGTGGCATGCGCGCTCCTCGTGATGGTCGTCTCAGTGAAATATACTTGGTACCAGGCTAGACATCCATATCAGCGACCGAGACATAGAAAGACAGAACGGGCGCACCTATACCAATGTATGTGTGTTGTCCTTGAAGGACAGATAGGTCCGGTAGCGCAGGCATCATCCTCGAGGCCGCATCGAGTCCGGCGGGCGCGTCTACACGTTGCCGAAACAGAAGTGTCGTATTCACGGGAATGCAAGAACATTGGTATCTGAGGAGTTGATTCAGATGAACTAGATCGGGGTGTGAGCAGCTCGGATATTGCTCTCACCTCTTCCATCTTGTTTGGCCCTCGCCCGTGCCTAGCTCGAATTCGATGCACATCTCACCAAGGTCCGATTCCGGGATACTGAAACAGCTACGCATGTGCAACCTCTGGTAAAAATCATGGCCTTCTGCCCTCGTGAGCTGACTGAGGAGACCACTTTCGATTGGTGTACTTCGCAGCGACTCACATTGCCTGGGACTGGGAAGTACAATTGGTACACTCTCCATTGTTACAGCGACCTCCAACCCGGGATCTTGGGCAGATAGACAGGTCCAAGCTTCGTGAAAGTTGTTGCGTCCCAGCCACACTCCGAGTGGATACCGTGGATAGTCAGCAATATGCTCCCAAATCTGCCGCCATGAGCGACCTGGGAGGAGGTCCGACATGCATGCTCGAGAGGGGCTCAGGATGGATGATAACCAATGCTGCACCACAGTGTCGACGCGTGCACATGCAATGGCACGAAGATCTGACACGGTAGTCAGCAATCACACTTCCAGGGAATGGTTTGCATACCGTACCTTCTATCGTGCGCATCCTATCTCTTTGCATCACCGGGACTTCTATTGTCTGTGTGAAGATATATTGAGAGTGGGCGCATGATGAGGGAAATGATTCTTACCTGACGATTGTCTGTCTTCTCAAGTGCGAGGGGATCCCGAGCCCATTTGATACGGCCTCCATGGTGGTGATCAACTACAACCTCGTCTAATCTGATGACATGGATATCTTCACTTGTATCCTGCATGGACATGTCATATGGGCGGTAAGTCAGTAGACCTGATGGTTCTGTAGCAGGTTCATCGTACCCAATATAAATACATGGGCAACAGTCGACACAGTTCCACCTGAGTTTCAACATGGTTGATGGCCATCTGCCTCCGATACCTTCAGAACTCGACCACATCCTCTGGATCACTGGTCGAGTTGAGGTATACGTACACAAATCGCTGCCGCCTTTATAGATCTCGTCAGCTTCATAGTAGTATCAGGGACATCGAGGCTACGTGCCATTTGCAGGATCACCCGTAACTTCCTGGTTCCACGCAAGGAGCTTAGATGTTCCGTAAAGGGAATGTAATCTGTCGAAGAACAGTTCAGCCGCGGAGACAGTCTTTGAATATTGGCCGTTGCGAGTGATATGCCGCCGTACCTTCCATCACAATGTAAGCGGCCTGGTCTGGATTTCCTGGACGGGAGTATCCTAGCATAGCCAGCACATTAGGATGGCTGTTGTATGGCGGTCAGATGTGGCATGTCCCTAGGCAGAGCGATGTGGACGTACCGGCGGGATTGCTTCGCAAGGTTCACTGCTTGCACAAACTGCTGACTGCCGCGATTAGGATATTCGTATACGACCACCTGTGTTCCTGTCAGGTCGCCCGCGGCCTCCACGACGGCGCGGTGGCGGAAGACGCGGCCGGTCTGCGAGAGAGAGACCGCGTTGACCAGGGTACGTTCGTTTCCGTTCCGCCCAGTCATGCCATGATGCAGCTTTCCCGAGTCGACGATGGGCTCTAAGTAGGCCAGATTCTCATGAGCAAAGAGCCGGAACTACGACGTTGATCGTTATGAGGGCACACTCCAGGAAGCGGTAAGCAGATTCAAATACTCACATTTCCATCGAACGTGGCGCTCCCACTGACGTGCTGCGCGAGGTGCGTGAGGCCATCGCGGATCTCTCTGGTGTCTCGAACGACAATCCCTCCGACGCGTGCTGAGTCGTCGATGTGCTGTTGCATACGGAGATTCCCGCTTGTCAGCGTGTCCATGCTCTGGTGGATGGAGAGCGCAGCCTGGATCTAGTGACAATCGTGCCATCAGTGGGATTGAGCGCGACGGGAGCCGTCCTGTCTGTACCATGAAATTGCGATGGGAGTCTTCGAGCTTTGTGGTCAGCGTCTTGACCTCCTTGGCGATCGTCCCGCAATTGAACGCAAGCAAGATGCGATATCGCTTTCCGGCTCGCAGACGGCGAGTCATCAAGCTCTCGATGTCCAGCAAGTTTCTTGTGTCGGATCGAGTCAGTTCGAACCGATGTAGAGGGGTCGAATGCTGATACGCACTGCAGAAACGTCGTGACATGCTCTTCCGCCTCCATTCCGCCGCTGCCGTTCTTGAGCTGCTGGTATACTGCTAACACGGATGTTGCCGCACGTTCGGCGAGGGCTCGGCAGTCATCTCGGGTGTCTTCGATCTCCTAAGCCCGGCACACTGCAGGTTACCAAAGAAGAACCATGAGCGTAGACGACTTATCCTTACCTTGGCTTTCTTCGCGATGCTGAGGGCACATTCGACGGCGGTGTTGAGCCCCGGGACGGGGATTTTGGCCGTTACGGGCTTTGCTATTTCTAGCGCCTTGATCAATGCATCAAAGGGCTTCATGACGTCGGAAGAACGACTCGGGAGATTCGAGTGGGTGCGAGAGGGGGCTCTATCTGATCCCGGTGGTGGTGAGTCTGCAGGTGAGAGGACGAGGACAAGAGGACACTGACGACGTGCCGGGGTGCAGAGGTTATGTAGGGCGTGTTAGGGTTTCGAAGACGCTGCTTCGTGTTCCCAGCGGCTGTACGAGAATACAGGATATGGCGGGGCCCTTGCAGGTACTGAAGACGCTCAAGTGTCGACAGCGCCATTCAGATCCTAGTACTTTTTCTGTTAGCCAATCCGAGCCCCCGTTTGCGCAGAAGGCAGTCCACGGTAGTGAATCCTTAGATCGTTGCATCAGGATGGACACTGCCCATACAGTATGCGGCACCGGGCGGGGAGCTCTCGCAGTACTTGTCAAGCACGTATATTCTTCACGAACACGACCTAGCAGTGCCCATGTGCGGTGAACGCATACTTCTTATAGACGTCCAGGCTTGAGAGCTATATCCAGGTCGGCGACAGCTAATCGCAGCGCGATATCACAGTTGCACAATGCATCACAGATGGAAACGCACCCTTGTCTTTTCCTGCACGGATTTGCGCTAGGGAGCGGAATTCGCAGGGCATACTACCCGGAAGAATTTGCAGAGCGCCCTACATTTCCGGGTGCGTATGGGCGTTCAACGGGCCCAGCGCAAGCGTGCACAGCGCGGCCTTATAGAGACACAATATAGCAGCTGCCGGTGCTCTTTCTTGCGCCAGAGGCTTTTTGTGTTTTTCTTAGTAACCAGTCTCGTTAGCGGAGGAGATGCATATGAGGGCCCCAGGCAAGGCGGAAATGTCCCACAGGCGCCCGTCACCCGACCGATTGTTTATGGACCAAACAAAGCCACGCGTCCGCTCGAGGCGGACCGAGTCCCTCTCCGTCGCGATCTGCACCCGCTCCTCGGACCTCCTCCTGCCCGTCTTTTCTCTGCCAGCGCCCACTCTTCTGTCCTCCGCGCTGCCTGTACCTCACAGGCTCTGTTTTTGGTGCGTGGCATGGAGTCTTTCATCACTCTCTTGGTGCTCTCCCATTCGCTGACTCGCGTCTCTCGCTGTCCTCTGCTCGCCGCACAACTCGACCTGCACCCTCCTCGCCCTGTTCGATACGGCAACACGTGCATGGTCTCATATTCTCTGCAGCAGTCTGTCCTCCTCTGCCGGGCCTCTCGTCATGTCTTCTTTGACTCCTCTATAACTTTCCTGATCCGCTACAGGTCGTGCATATCTCGTTTCGGTGCGTCATCAACCCCGTCCAGCAGAAGCATAATCCGCAATGCCCATCGAGAAATCTTCTCGCCTTTCATCTCGCGTATACACGGCCCAAATTCAGTGCTTGAATCCGACGATGTCTCTCCCGCAGTCCACGGCGGGGCTATTATCTGCAGACCGTCGTCAACTTGAACGTCTGCACGTCCGGCTGTTACGTACCTCTAGAGGGCGGCGGTCGACCTCGTCCGATGACGATATGCTGCTCGCCAAAATGCTAGGTGTGTCCACCGTACGGAACGCCGTCTAGTTTCAACTCGTCGACAGATACAAGCGCTTCTCTGCTGTGCAAGACTCAACTCAGTGTTATACATATGGGTGCGTTTCTAGGCCGTCCATATCCCCAAATACGATCACTATCTACATTCGAAACACCATTTGATCGCAGAAAATGACCTCCACGGACCCGCGCAGTCTTTTAGCCGCTTTGAGCGTCATGTATCGCCTCTGTAAGTCATGTCTTCCTTAGCTGAACCTACGCCTGCGCCGTACGATAACGATGGGCAAGTACGCACCGAGCCACGCCGGACGGCTGCTAGGCTGCTAAACATGTCATCGATATCCATATTCCGCCATGGCCTTCGCGATCTGGCGAATGACACGATATGCATATACGAATCGCGGGGCGTAGATCTTGTCCGTCTCAGCATGCCGTGACTAGAGTCACTAGATAGACAACTCGCTGACACCTCGCGGCTTCTACGTGCAGATATGGCAACATACGCGACGCGGGATTCCCCGTATCGGTGCCCGCACTTTCGTGACTACTCGACGCCTGGAATCGCCTCCTGCATCTTTTGCGCGTGCATAACAGACTCGATGCCCGTGCCATGGCGCCGTCTTGCAACAGGCCCAGTATGGCGTGCGTTCACGATCGCACTCCGCGCAGTCTCGGGAGGCCTCACAGGTGCGCCGTGTTCCTCCGACGCCGTCTCCGTGCTCACGAGTGTGCCGCGCATGTCCCCACTTGGTACGCGCACGGCCGGATTACACACCGACGCTCCACCTCGACTCGGCATTAGGCAGTGTCAGCGCGATGCACGAGTTACCCACACCGGGGTGCGTGTACCGAGCAGATCTCGAGGTGCGAGGCGAGTGGCAGTGCTCCTGGTGGTTTGGGATTGGCTAGCTGATCCGCGCGAGTTACGCCTCCCAGCAGCTTGAACTTGTTCCAGAACATTTTCCCTTGTTTTTCCTTAATGCAGTACTCTCATTAGCCAACTGCGACCTGGCCCCTAGTGTGCGCTATTACTCTCAGCAAGCATCTCTGTTCGAGATAGCTCGGAAAGCATTCGGTCGACGTCATAACCATTCCGGGTGAGTTATCTCGAGCTTCACCAGCATGCATCTCGAGCATTGGGGTCTCTTATCAATTGCCTCATACACAGGATATTTTTCCAAGTCATCTCGTATCACAACTCTCCATGAGAGCGGCCGGCTGTGCCAGCTTCGACAATTTAGATTGTATATTATCTCAGCGTGTGTCGTAATATTTGGAAATCCGGATATTCTCCTTCAGTACCGCATCGTCCTTTGCCCCAGGTCTCCCCGATTCTCCATCCCCGCCACCGCACATTGTAGTACACCTGTTGCCTTCTGCGACACGCACCTGCACCGAGTCGTCAGCTATCAGCGTACAAAGCTCCGTATCTGTGGCATCGACGCACCGTTGGTGATAGCTGTGGTTGCACATGAAGTGCACCGCGGGGAGATCGAGCCCGCCCTGGCACGCCGAGCACTGCGTGACGTGGAACACGCGCGGATGGTCCGGTTCCGACAGTTCCTCGACCTGCCGTAGCTTCCCCTCCGTCTCCGTGCGATACGACACGATCAGCTTCTGGTCCTGTATACGTAGTTAGCACATCCAAAACGCGCCAGGTTTCGAGCAGCCGTACCGTATCGACCTCTTCCCACGCGCTCTTGATGCGCGACATCAGCCACTCCTTCACGAGCCCGACGCTCGCCACGCTGTTCCGGCTCAACACCTGCGCAACGCTAACCGGAGGCATCAACTTCTCCTCGTCGATCACCCTCAACACCCGCCGCACGTCCTCTCTATGCTTCGCGAGCAGCGCCGGGGTGCTCGTAAAAAACCGCAGCACCAGCGGATACAGCTGCGGCCGCCCAGGGCCATACTGGTCTAAGCAGCGGACGACCTCCGCGCTCGCGCCCACGTCGCCCGCCAGCTCGCGGTCCATGAAGAACCGGAGCACGTCCTCCTGCATGCCCATGCGCTCCCACAGCAGCACCAGCCCGGGCGTGTACGCGCCTGTCGAGCACAGGATATGAGCGTGCGTCGGGTCGTACGGCAGCCGCGCGTTCTGCAGCACCGCGAGCGCCTTCGCTTCCCCACCTGCGTGAGGTATAGCTCGAAGAGCGTGTTCCACACCGTGGCTTGGTCGCGCGCCTCCGCCTGCATGTCTGCGTCCGGGTCGGCCTCGACTGCGAGCGGCTCGGACGTGTTCTCAACGGTCTGGCCCCACCGTTTGCGCGAGACGATCTCGAGGAAGCGTACGAAGTGCTCGGGATGGTCGACGAAGTGTGCGAAGTAGAGCCGTGGGGACGGACGCTTCACGCTGCTTGCAAGCTGCTTGGCGGCAGTCGCAGTAGTAGGCGTGGCTGGTGGGGGTGTCGACGCCTGAGAGGCTTCATGCACGGAGTCCTGTCGGACGATGGGCTCTGGAGCCTTCGTCCCGTTGGTCTGTGTGTTCGGCTCGGCGACCGATGCCCTGTTCAGCGTCAGATAGAAAAGGTATGATGTGCCGCCGCCAGACTGCTTGGCAGGAGCAGCCTCCTCTTCGTCTGCCTCGATCGAGAGTGGTGTCAGACTCGTGCAGATGTCGATCAGGAGATCGGTCGTCTCGTCTGGCAGATTGTCCAGCATCGCTCTCCCGTACCGTGCCAGGTTGCTTTCCGCCTATACACAAAGCACAATCAGGGGCAAGTCGACTTCAATGAAACAGCACGCACAGCTTCAGCGCCCAGTCGGCGAAGGTAAGTCAGTGCATCCTTGTAGTTGCCCGCGTCCTCGATCTGTATGCGCAGGTAATCTTCGTGTCGTTCATACTTCTTCGCTAGGTAAGAGGCGTGCTCGAAGTACCCCGCCTGGCGACACACGCGAATAGCGGTATCGAGATCGAACGGCAACTCGTCCTTTCCACCGTCGGGGGACGTGCCCAGCGATTCGCACTTGATGAAGCGATCAAGGCGTGTGACGTCCTTGAGCTTCGTGTAGGTATTGAGAAGCAGCGTTGTGTGGTCCGAGTTGGCCAACCCGAGAGAATGCAGCTCCTGCAGGTACGTCACGAGGTTGTGTATCCGTTGGGCGTCCAAAAACTGCTCGAATATGAGTATCATAGGTTAGATGCGCTAATCGAAGGCACCTTACCTTGCGGATGAATACATAGCTCCCAGCCGCTCTGCACGTCGCACGGCGTGAAATACGGTGCGGAAGGCGTGCTCGCGGACTGCACAGGTGCCCTCGACTCAGCTCGCTGCAAAGCCCCCATCCTCCCCGCTCGGTGAACGATGCTGCCGAGGTTCCTGGATCCCGTGGAGAGCGCGTTTTGACGTGCATTCATCATGCGTCCATCGGTGCTGACGGACGGCGAGTGCCGTGCGCGCGGTGGCGGTGTTGCTCGGGTGAAGGCTCTCAGCACTCGGCGCATAGGTGTAACTTGCCCTTTGTGTCTCGAATTCGACACTGGGTGCGTGAGGTGCGAGGTATGCGTGAAGCGGTGTGAGGTGACGGCGACGAAGGGTGGCTGCGCGGGCGACGGGAATTGTGTGGTACAGGCCGCAGAGCGAGCGCATACAGAGGTCGGACGTGCCGAGTACGACGCCCTTGGTAAAGACAAAGGTGGAAGTTTCTGGATTCGGTGCCACCGTCGTTCATGAGGCGTACATTGCCGTCCTCGAGGTCGGATTGTATATTCGGGTCGTCGTCAAAAAGAGACGTGTTGTGGAAGAGTTCATTGACTGCTCGCCCTTAGAGAGGGGCGCACTAAAAGAACTTGGAGTTCCAAGTTGGCTGAAGATAGCAGAATGCCGGCGCAGCGTGTCATGTCCTGGCGACGACTCAAGACGGCCACATGGCTGACAATTAACACACGCACGTCAGATGCAGCTTCAACAGAAATAGTCTCACATACCTGTTATTTACCGCTGGGTGGTATGAAGGTCTCGTCCTATTCGTTTTTGGGCGGTACATAATCGTGGTTGACCGCGACGACACCGTGGTGTTCCCGCTTTCGTCGGTCGTGGAGCGCGTGCCTGGCAGAGTTATGCACCATTAATTGAGCAGTGTATTGTACACGAGCTAACACCCAATGGCGTACGGCCAGTACGTCTGTCAGAGCACCTCCGCTACCGTTTTACACACACACAAAAGAGCATCTTCTTGATAGTAGAGCCCTGGTTAGCTGTCCGTACAGCACCCGAGAACGAGGCTCACCTGCTAAAGGAGGATACGCGGTGCATTGCTGAAGACGGATGTACGACGGGTGTCCCGTATGCTAGCATCGATGAGAGCTTGCCCTGACTGTCGTGCTTCGGACGAGCGCGATCGTTGGCTGGAGAGCACGAAGGTCAAATGCCCGCATATTGCACGGACAGAGTTCGCCAGTAGGGATCGTACCATCTTGCTGCAGGGGCTGTGGGTCCCAGAGCGACGCCTGTCCCAGTCGGTGCCGAGTGCAAATGTCGACGTTGGTATTGACAAAGATGCGGGATACAGACCCCGAAGCGCGGCCTGCTCGATACGGTGCACGCGGAGTGAGCTACCGTACCCGAGCGTAGAGGACGGGTTTGCATGCATGTTGCGGACAGAGGCGGCAAGCTCGGGGACAGAAAAGGATGTCGGTGAGGGCGTTTGGACGTGCGCTCCAGAGCAAATTGCGGATATTCTATGTGCATGCAAGGTATGATGAAGCGTGCAGAGAAACGCGCTTTGTCGTTTCCATCTCGTCCCATGCACTTGACGTACTTCCCGATGATGTGGACAGAATGTCGAGCGTCATTGGTGTGCGTGGTCATTCGCTTCGGTACGTACTCGCCCGTCCGCGGCACAGATGAGCAGGCTGTATGGCTTTGTCATGGGGAGGGTGGGCGACAACTGTCCAGTATTGCGTGTGCGACAACGGGATATGAGTGATCACAAACGGCAGCCCCTCGACTTGGGCGTGCAGTTCGGCAATATAGCCTGACAGAGCAGAGACCTTGCTCCCAAAAATAGGGATGGTGACTTACCTGTGCACTGTGTTCTGCCGTAAAAGCCATAACTTTGGTGCGCAGATCGGGCGGCGCGGACGCGTACAGATACGCTACCCAGAGCCGAAAGCGTTGGTCGCGTTCATTGTGGACATAGTCGCGTTGGTGAGTTGCGGAGGGAGATGCGCAGAGCCAGACAAGAGCAGTGCTTGATCCGACAAGCTAGGAGAGCATACTGAGGGTGGTCGACGCGGTACGCGAGATGTGCGTTCGCGACTCGAGCGTATCAAATAGGCGCGCACGCGTTGTTTATGGACCAAACAAAGCCACGCGGGCCTCGGTGTAACGCCCAGGCGCCGGCCGAGCACTCCGGCGCTGGACCTACCGTATACGTTACTCCTTCCTTTCTCAGCTTACCCGCGTACTGCTTACTGTACGCTCTCTCATCCTGCCTTGGCTTCGCCTTGGCACCCAAAACTTCCTCTTTTCCTCTCGCCTCTCCGATACGTATAAAAACCCTTTGTATTCACGTACGGCGAGGCATCGTTCATTCCTCAATCGAACAGACCGTATCCCTGTCTTTCAGCGTCTGAGCGTTCCCTGTGACGACCTCCTTCCCTCTTCGGTTGCCGGCGTCACATCTTTTTGACATCACACGGACTATCTCTCTAGTGCCGACTCGCTCGACTCGACACTCTAGCTTCTTCTAAAAACAGTCTCGCTTTGTCCGACGTCTAGGTCTGATCAACCTTCGACCAACGACCCCGCCCGACGACTCTTCCCCATTCCATCGACATCTCGACTACTCTCGGTCTCTCGACATGTCACGTTACAACCTCCGAACCCGCTCGTCAGCGGCATCGGTACACAACCCTCAAGCAATCCCGGGAGAGTTTCGCGACTCTCCCGCTCCCGGCACCGAGCCTTCAAGCACACTCTCGAGTGTAGGCTCGTCTTCCGGAGCCGAAAACTCCGAGTCCGAGGCTGGGCCCCTGACTTATAGTCAGGTCGCCTCCTCGCGGCTTCCCTCACCGGAACTACACGTTCCTGAGGCGATCCCTGCTGCGCATAGCGAGCAGGAGGCTGTCATAGATGATAGTACTATGAATATAATTCATGATAAAGGAAAAAGCCCCGAGACGTCGGGCATAGTTCCCTCCGTCCCCTTAAAGCAGGAGGACGTCGAGGATGGACCCTGGCAACAGGTACCGCGAAGCGGCAAGCATTCGCGCAGCGCTAGTAAGGACCTCTCCGCAAATGGTTATGCGAGTGAGGCTTCGCAAGGCGAAGGCACCTCCAACCTAGCAACCACTCGCAAAGGGAAGGAGGTGGCTACTTCGCCTTTAGTAGTCGCCGGCCTTGCGGATCACGAATTAGATCCTGATGCTCAGCGAAAGGAGCTAGCCCGTTATTCGCCGACTCCTAAGGTTGCTAAGAAGCTCACCTGGGGACCACGAGATTCGACGAACATCTCGTCGGACTCCACCTGTAGTTCGGCTACTGTGAAACAGGACAAGGAATCCTCCCCGCCGCCCTCTGACGAGGAGCAAGCTGTAGATATATTAAAGCAGATCGAACTACTCGAGCAAAAGCTAGTTCAGCTCCAGCTACAGTCACCGCCCCGGGGATCCAGCTCCTATGCGGCGGTGCCTCCCCTGCAGAGCCACCCCACCGACTTCGGCTTGCCCAAGGCAGCTACGCCTGTGCCCGCGGGACGTTCCGTTAAACCGGCGTCCGGGAGCAACGCAGTGCGAGGTCGCTCTACCGGCCTGGAGGGTAAGGAACCTCTGTCATCCATTAGCGCTTCCTTGAAGAAAGCGAAGTCGAGTAGCGCAGGTACCACCGCTGTAACCCCGAGCGCGCTACATGAGAACTACGTGCCGGCGAGTGTGCTGGTGTCGGCGTCGGTCGACCGCGCCCGCGGCAAGGTGCAGTCCGAGTCCCCGCTGAAGGCCGGTCGAAGCTCCTTGGCCCCCGCGCTGAGACCCAGCACGCAAATCGAGCCCGCGAGTTACCTCGGGCTTGCCTTTAAGCACATCGACGACCGACTCGGAAAGGGGGGTGGTCCGCCGTCGTCATCCTCGAGCTCGAGCAGTAGCAGTCCGAGTAGCTCGGACAGCGACTCTTCGGACGCGTCGGACAGGCGTCGCCGCCGCCGACGCCAGAAGAAGTTGTCTCAGCGACGACGGGACCGAGCGTCGCGGGATGGTTCTACGGCGCGTGTCCCGATCCTCAAACCTCGGGACCCCGACGTGTATGATGGAACGCCGGATGTACAGAAGTTTAATAAATTCCTGCATGACATTACGGAGTATATCGACGGATATAACATACCTCCTGAGCGACAGGCTTCTACCGTATCGCACTTCCTCTCCAAACGTGCGGATGCTTGCTACATCGCCACCTGCTCGGAGGCTCCGTGGGAGTGGACGTTAAAGGACGTTCTTGTAGAGATATTCAATTACTGTTTTCCTATCGACTTCCGTCAGCGGACGCGAGAGAAACTGAATAGTGTCATACAAGGCGACCGCACCGTGCGCGAATTCGTCCACGAGTTGCAGGGCCTCTTCCTTCTCCTCGGGCACATGTCCGAGGAGACGAAGATTGAGAAACTCTGGTACGGTCTCCGTCCCTCTCTGCAGGGAGAGTTATACCGAGCCAAACTGAATCCGGCTACCGCCTCCTGGGCTTCGGTGCAAACGGAGGCCGAGGTGGCGGAGCTCGCGCAGGCCGCTGGCGCTATTGCCGAACGTCGTCAGCAGACGCAGCGCGCAGGACATGTCGCCGCCGGCGCGAACACGGCGCGCTACGACGGGTCGGGTGGCACATCGCGCACGTCGTCTCGCCGTCATGACCGTACCCGCGAGCGACGCTTTAATGACCCCGCGGTCGCTTCTTCTTCTTCTACTGCCCCTGGTGGTGGAGGGCGCGATGCGCGGAAGCCGGCCACATCCGGCGGTCAGAAGACGGGCTCTCGGCCGGTTGAACGTCCAAAGAACCCACTCACCGACAAAGAGCGCGATGAGTTGCGCGCGGCAGGGAAATGCTACAATTGCCGCGAAACAGGCCATCTGTCTCGTAACTGCCCGAAGTCCAACCAGGTCCGCAATGGCCACCGGGGAAAGCCTCCGGGCGTTCTGGCGTACAGCCTAGCCATCGGCTCACCGGACCCTGTGGATGTACTCCAGGCGCGTGTGGAATCGTCCAGCCGCTTGGAGGATGTTGAGTTTAATTACATACATGTGCAACCGGATGAAGTACTGCCCTCGTTCGCGTGTCCTAAGTACCGCGCGCGGTGCGACACGGTGTCGGACGTCGATAGCTCTCCGGCCTCCTTGGCAGGCAGCCTGCCCGATTTGCAGGCGTTGTCTGCCTGGGGCGATACTCCGGCATCGGAGGCGGGTAGTTTGCCTACTCTGCATACCGTGTCTATTAGTGACTCGGGCGGTGGCTCGGTGGCGTCCTTACCTCGCTCCTGCTCTGTCCCCGACTTGCAGACGGTCAGTGGCGTCTCCGAGGGGGCCAGCGACGGGCGTCCTGACTATACCTCCCGGTTCCCGCCGGATGCGAGTGCCTCATCGGAACCCTTCATCGAGTTCCTCCAGCGTGTTTGTAGCTCGCATGAATATTCGTTGGGGGACGACTTAGACTTGGAGGGCGCGAGTTCGCGCTCCCTTCCTATCACTCCTCGCGCGGGGCGGTCATACGTTCGCCTGGGCGACGTGCTCTCGGATCGCGCAGAGCAGCTGCTTAACCGGTACCTGCCCTACTTCCCGGACGAGGCGGTGGGTGCCTCTGCCATCCTCGTTGGATCTCGCGACACTGATAATGTATCAGTCATTTACAATGAGTTTGTAAGAGCAACCGACGATGGCAACCTCTTACCTACGGGGGATGGGAGCGTGCCTCTTAGCCGTTCCTGTCTTGAGGACGAGGCCTTCGACGTTGTCGTGTGGTTCCGGCAGCTCTTGAGCGGCCTTCTCCGTCGAGAGGAGTTCGAGGACTGTCAATTACTGAACCATGGGTCCGAACCTATTGGCGACGCGTTTGGCATCCACGCCGCGGCGGTTTTGAACCGCGAAGAGCCGTGGCCAGCTTCCGCCGAGGACGCGGATGGCCTGGCCCGATTCACCGCGTTTAGGTATGGCGATGTGGTTCTCATCGAAGACGCCTACTTGTCTTTGGATTGCCATATTAGTCTTGAGCTCCTTCGCAACTCGGCCTTCGACTTACCAGGGTGGTACGCTGTCCGTGCGGCACGCGATGCATCTGCGGACGAGCCACTCGATGGCCTAGGCGAAGGGTTGGGACTACTGTACGACGCCGATCCGTCAGAACTTGGGGCGGAACCCGTCCTGTCCAGCATGGCTGCGGCGGTGGTTGAACCTCCTCTCCAGCGTAATGCCGCGGAGACTAAAGATTTCCGCCGTATCATACCGGAGCCCATCGTCGTCACCGTCCTGGTGAATGGGCAGCCGGCCCGTACACTCCTGGACTCCGGGTCCTTAGCGGATTTCATGTCCGCTAAGTTCGCGCATCAGTTACACATTCACGCCCATGAGCTTGAGAAACCGTTACCAGTGCAGTTGGCGGTGCAGGGCTCGCGTGCGAAGGTGAATTGCGGTTGCAAAGCCGATATCACCTATCAAACTATTCGTGAGCGACGATACTTTGATATCATGAACATATTAAATTATGACCTCATACTCGGGACTCCGTTTCTCGCGCAACATAAAATGCTCCTGGGGTTCAACCCTTCCAAGGTTGTCGTGGGGAGTGTACAGCTGGCCGAGATTCCGGCGACACGGGTCCGCGTTATTGAATCCAGAGCGGCCGACGTTCTGGAGGGCGAGCTAGAGCGAATTCGTGTATCTCTGCGTGAGTACGCGGCGCCGATCTGTCGCGATGCGAGCGACGCACCGTTCCCGCCCCTCCGCGCGATTAACCACACTATTCCTTTGAAGGACCCAGCTAAGGTCTATCACTGGCGACCGTCTAAATGTGCGGACGCGTTACTACCGCTATGGGTCGAGAAACGCGACGCGTACCTCACGACGGGGCGTTGGCGCGCGTCTAGTGCGCGGAACACTTCGCCCATGCTTCTGTTGAAGAAGCCGGGCACCGGTATCAACGGTGTTCCTCCTCGTTTACGTGTTGTCTGTGACCTTCGTGAGCGTAATGCCAACACCGTAAAAGTGACATCTCCTTTACCGGACATGGAAGCTATCCTCCGGAGGGCGTCCCGCAAACCGTATCGCAGTCTCATCGACGGCAAAGATGCCTACGAGCAGATTCGTATTGACCCCGAGCATGTGGACCGTACCGCTATGACCACCCCGGACGGCAATATGGTCAGTCTCGTCCTCCAGCAGGGAGACTGTAACGCAGTGGCCACATACCAAACACTGATGAATCACATTTTCGGGCCCTTCATTGGCCGCTTCATGGATGTATATCTTGACGATATTATCATTTACTCCGATACAGCTGCGGAGCATGAGGCGCATGTCAGACAGATCATTGACATTTTGCGTCGCGAGGAACTTTACCTCAGTTCCACCAAACTACAGTTTCTGTGCGCGGAACTCAAAGTTCTTGGACGAGTGATTGATCGGGATGGTATCCGTATGGATCCCGACAAAGTCGACTCCGTCCTCAACTGGAAGGTGCCGACAACACGCGAATTGTTACGGGGGTTCCTGGGGTCAGTAGGATATTTGGCGGATGATATTGCCACTATCCGCATACCTATGGGGGTTCTCTCTGGCCTCACGGGCATGGAGCACAGTTTCCGGTGGGGTCCGACTGAACAACGTGCTTTCGATGAGGTAAAGCGACTTGTGCACGCCCATCGCACGCACCATCGTTGTCCCCTGGACTATGAGATGACTGCGCCCCGTATTTGGTTGGTCACAGACGGCTCCATGGGCGGCATCGCTGGGGTCGTATGCCAAGGGGACAGCTGGCGTAACGCCCGCGTTGCCGCTTTCTTCTCCGCTAAGCTCACGTCGGCCCAAGCCAACTATGCCGTCCATGAAATCGAGATGCTCGCGGGGGTTGAAGCCATGCTTCGTCACCGGGATATCTTGCTGGGCTGCCACTTCACGTGGATCACTGACCACAAGGGCTTGATTCACCTGCTCGCCCAGAGGAATTTGTCTGGACGGCAAGCTCGCTGGGTGGAGAAAATTAGCGAGTTCGACTTTGAAGTCGAGTACGTACCAGGGGTGGACAATGTCCTCGCCGATGCGCTCTCGCGGATCTACACAAGCGATGCGCCCGGCACCGTCCGCGCTGCTTCGGAGTACGTCGCACATGATGACACTGAGCCCGTCCTAACGGTGGCCTCCCATTCTGTTGTGCTCGCGGCGGCGGACGCGGCCACCTCGCCGACTTCCGCGCCAGCTCCTGTTCGTACTCGAGCTAGCTCGCGACTTGCGGCCTCTGCGCCCGCTGCCCCGCGGTCGGCTCCTGGCCGGACGATTCGTCCTCCTGCACCACGGTCCCTACGACCCGCTGCGCCTTCAGTACCAGCGGCGCCTGTAAAGACGGCCGTGCCACGTACCTCTCATTCACAGAAACGGGCACCACCGCGCGGGGGCCCTTCCTTGCCCGGGCGGCCGTCGCCTCCTGTTCCTTCAGTGGTTCCCGCTCCGCGACGACGTGTTGTAGTCGCTCCCGCAGAGTCGGGGCGCCCAGAGACTTCTCGAGAATTCGCGGCGCGCATCAAACGCGTAGTCCTGCACGGTCCCCGTGCGGAGAAGGGCGGGCAGTCAGTGGACGATCCAATCCCAGCGAGGAGTGAGGGGGACTCAACGACAATGCGGACGGACGAGGAGCCTGAAGATGGCCGCCTCAACACCGCGCGTGAGAACCTGTCTCGACAGATGACGTTTCTTACGTACCTCTCCGAGAACACCGAGGGCGTGGACCTCGCATCCACGCTCGCCGGTCGATACCCGGAAGACAAGTTCTTCGGCCGTATCATCGACGACGTGAAGTCGTTCAAGAACTTCCGTCTGGAAAATGGCCTGATCTCTTTGCATGAGAACGGCCGCGACGTCCTGTGTATCCCGGACATCCTATACAACGGAAGGAGTGTCAGGGAAGTTATCATCACCCACGCACATTCTCTCCTTGCTCACCTGGGGTCCTACAAGACTTTGAGTCTCCTGCGGGATCATGTATGGTGGAAGACTATGGCGGCTGACATCCGCAAATATTGTGACACCTGTCAAGTCTGCAAACGGAGTAAACCGAACAATCAGCGCTCATACGGCCTTCTGAATCCTCTCACCGTACCGAAGGTACCTTGGGAGGTCATCGGTATCGACTTTGTCGGTCCTATGCCCGATTCCCGCGACCGGAACGGTGTTTACGACTCTATCGCGGTCGTAATCGATTTGCTGAGCGGTATGGTTCATCTGGTACCTTGCCGCACGAACTACACCGCCAAGCAAGTGGCAGAACTCGTATTTACGGAAGTCTATAAGCATCACGGCATGCCGCGTGCTATTGTCAGTGACCGTGACTCTCTGTTTACAAGTTTATTCTGGACACACCTGCACCGCCTCATGGGCGTAGAACTACGAATGTCCAGTGCCTATCATCCAGAGTCAGATGGATCCACGGAGCGCGCGAACCGGACGGTTACGCAAATGCTGCGCCAATGTATTGGCCCTAATCAACGAGATTGGGTACTAAAACTGCCTGCGATCGAGTTCGCCATCAACACGGCTCGATCAGAGTCTACTGGCTATTCGCCATTCTTCCTTAACACTGGCCGCATGCCTCGTTCCATGATTTGGGACAACGCCCAGTCAGATGAATATCCTGGCGTCCGCGTTTATGCTCAGCGCGTAAAGCAGACCATCATGGCTGCCCATGATAGTATCCTGGCTGCCCGAGTTAAACAGACTCGAGACGCTAACAAAAAGCGGCGGCCCGTACCTTTTGCAACCGGAGACTTGGTGTACCTTTCCACCAAAAATATTTCTCTCCCGAAAGGTCTCGCGCGCAAGTTGACTCCGAAGTATATTGGGCCCTATCCCATACTTCGAGACTTTGGAAACAACTCGTATCAGCTTGGCTTACCTCGGAACCTTAAACAAAGAGGTGTCCACGACGTTTTTCACGCGTCTCTGCTCAGGATTCACGAGCCTAATGACGACCGTCTCTTTCCGGGACGGCTCGAGACACAGGTCGCGGACTTTGAGGAGCCAGATGACGAATGGGTGATCACCCGCATCCTGTCCCACAGCGGCGCGCGCGAGGATTCGATCTTCGAGGCCTTGTGGCGTTCTGGTGATCGGACGTGGGTCCCCTTCCGCGAAATCCGCAATACCCGCGCGGTTAGCGAGTATTTGGAAGCTCTAGGGGCGGAAAACATTAGCCAACTGCAGAACGGAACGGGTCAGCCTCCGAGTGATGACCCACAAGTTTTCTTAGGGGCCGTAGGGCCTAGGGCGAGCCGTCCGCGGCGCAAGACCTATAAAGGGGACCGCGCTGCGAGGGGGAGGCTGCATCAGCGGCAGCCTCTCCTCCCTGATCACGCTCCTTCAACTCACCGCTATCCCATCCCGATTCGACAACCCTCTCGTCTGCCTCGGGTCGCCCCCTTCCATTTGCTCGTCGTACTCCTGCTCATACTCGTCATGGTCGCCTTCGACGGCAACTCGGCTCTCGACCGCCTGGCCAACGGGAACATCATCCTACGGCGGGCTCCGACCGGCACCAAGCACCTGTACGCAATCGACCAGCTCCGCCTGTACTCGCGCTTCGACTTCGCTCTACGCAGCGACCGGCTCTCTGGTCCGGGACTTACCGTGCCTGCGGGCTACGTGGAGTTCTGTGAGCTGTGGGCCCAGGACACCGAATGCCGCTATCAATTCGTTCAGTACGATCATGCCTCTGGAGCCGTCGACCTCGTCGGGATTCACCTACCTGCCGACCAGCTCGCCCCGACGCGCGAGCTGCACCCCGCTCCGAACCACGTCCTCATCCCTGCACCCGCCGCCGCTCCTGTCGCCGCGCCCGCTGCTCGCGCGGACACGCGCCGTCAACTCATCGTCGAAAACTTGATGCTGGATCAGCTCGAGCGTAACCAGCGTACGCAAGACGCCATCCGCGAACGTCGCGAACGTCGCGAGCGCGAGCGCGCCGAGCTGGCCCCCACCGCCAAACCACAAGTGTGGCGTGACCGCGCTGCCGCCGTCAAAGGCAAGCCCAAGGGCAAGGGCAAGGACAAGGGCAAGGCCCGCGCCCTTGCTCCGAAGACGTCCGCCGCTCTGGTCGTCGCTGCCACCAAAACCTCCGACGTGGACATGGACGTCGACGTGTCTGCGGAGCTCCCCTTCGCCACCCCCACTCCTCACGTTCCTGCCGTCCGCGTCGCGTCGCAGGCTGAGAACGCTGCTGCTAGCGGATCGGGTGCGAACCAGCCGAAGAAGATATCCAACGGAGGCGTCGACGAGGAGCTCGTCGACTACCCCTCGGACGAAGATCCGACGAAGCAGTGAACCTCGTCGCGGGACTTGGTTGCACTGGGAGGGCGGATGTAACGCCCAGGCGCCGGCCGAGCACTCCGGCGCTGGACCTACCGTATACGTTACTCCTTCCTTTCTCAGCTTACCCGCGTACTGCTTACTGTACGCTCTCTCATCCTGCCTTGGCTTCGCCTTGGCACCCAAAACTTCCTCTTTTCCTCTCGCCTCTCCGATACGTATAAAAACCCTTTGTATTCACGTACGGCGAGGCATCGTTCATTCCTCAATCGAACAGACCGTATCCCTGTCTTTCAGCGTCTGAGCGTTCCCTGTGACGACCTCCTTCCCTCTTCGGTTGCCGGCGTCACACTCGGGTCCGCTCGAGTCGGAGTTGGTCGTGCGCCGTCCTCCTGCGTCTGCGCCGTCCTCCACGCGTCCCAAAGAGTGTCTGCAGACTCCCTTTAACGCCTTCCGCAGGACTTGCTCACATCAGGCTGTGCTCGCACTCGAGCCACTATTGAACCTGTTACTGCTGCACCCATCCCGCCTTCCCTTGGAGTTCTCCTTTCCTCTGGCTCGACGTGTCCATCGCCCGTTCTCTGCCTCTCTCTACAGCCACGTATCCCGCCGTCTCACCCTCCTCGGCCTCTCCTGGCACGGCAATCGAGACCTGCACTCTCTTCTTCAGCACGTCCTTGGGCATCCTCGTGCCTACACGCCAATCAGAGACCTGGAGCGCACGTCGAGGAGTCTCACAGGATGTTGGATACGACGACGTAGCGGACATCGCCATCTGGTACGCCGTCTATAAGTCAACGATCCCTGGACACACCGTCATACATGTGGGTGCAGTAGGCCGTCTGGATGGCGACTACGATGAGTATGAGTATTCCTAACACCACTTGCTACAGAAAGCGATACATCCGAGTACATAGTATCTACGTCGACCTCAGGGTGAGTGAATCGTCTCTCCGGTGCGTCTCTCGGATAGTCGAGCCAAGGCTTGCGCCTGCAAACAGCGTCAGGCGAGCACCAACCGCGCTGCGCTGGGTGACCGACCTCTACGCTCTGGGACCGGCCTCATGGTCTCGAAACTCAAATTTTACGCATATACGAACCGCAGATCATAGATGCGACAGGTATGCGTTCGTCCTGCTTTAAAAAAATCGTTAATATCTCGTTGCTGGTATATGCAGATTGAGCAACACCCGCGCTGCGGGTCGTCTTCGTCCATGCCCTTCGGCCCGCGCGCTATAATCGATGGCTAGCAATTTCCCCTCGCACAGCTTAGCGTCGTACGAGTCCGCCGATGACCCCATCGACAAGCCCGTATTGAACAATACGCAGAGGTGTGCGCTGCGCGTCTCAACCCCGTCTCCGCCTTCGCGAGTGCACCACGTATGTCCCCCGCGTCACACATCTCCTCCCCGGTGTTCCGCGGCCCAACAAGAGACCATCGCTCTACGATGATGCGGAACCCGGCGATGCCGCCAGCACGACGGGAGACTCGGCCGCACCGGGGTACGTGCATCGTCTGCGCTGGACAGAATAATACCGGATTCGATTGTCGCTGCTTGCACGAGCAGACTCGGAGATCGACGTCGCGATCAGGACGCCTCTATCACGAGCGGTGTCAGCGCGCCTTCAGGTGTGGGGACGTCCACTAGAGATGTACCATCGTTGAGAACCGGCAGCGGCTCACCCTACCTCACAGAACGAGGACACACAGTCTTCCATGGAGGCATTGCAAGCGTTCAGCATCGTTGTCTACACCACGCGGGTAGTACGTGCATGTGCTGACTACTTACACACGGCGTGCTCTGTCACTCGTTTTCTCCGACGCCGCTCAGTGCAGCGCTCATTTGTTGCTTCTAGGCTTCCACTCCACCCCAGGAACGACCGACGCCCCTCGCGTACCCAAACACGGTCCTAGTAGGGCGTGTCTGTGCCCGCATAGGAAGGGCCATGGCGCAGAGGACAAAACTCGAGGCGGTACTAGGAACAAACACGCGGACCTCCCAATGCGGCGGGGTCGCACAGACTACAGCGCTAGCTGTCTGTGGTCCACCGACGACCCGAGATCGCAACCCAGCACTCCAACCCCAAACACTGCGCGACGCAAGCGCTGCCATGCATCTCAGCAGAACACGGATCCGGCACGGCCGGATCCCGTCCTATGCGCGTCGCGCCAACAGCTAGCCCTTCGCGCTCGTCTGCGTGCTCGTCTACCCGCCCGTGGCCCCGCGCGGGCGTTCGCATGTGCCTGGAAGCCTGCTTTGGCGGCAGCACGCGTCCATAGCGACCTCGTCACCGGATTCCTGGCGCGCGACACTCCGTGCTCCGACTCGTCGCTCGCTGCTCAAGCACTCAAGACCCGCTGGGGCTGCTGCGAAGGAGACATGGGGGCGTGCGTGTAGGCGTCGATGGCATGCGGAGCCGCGTCCAACACATCCCTGCTCGCACCTCGCCTCGCTCTCCGGCCGCACGCTCCCACGTTTCGGAGCAGGACGCGCGCTCCTCGCGGGGATGCGCGATACATGTAGACATTCGTTCATATTGTAGGTGTTGTGCCCGGGCTCCCTGCTGGGCAATCTTACTACTTCCGTATCCTCCGTTCAAGACGGATTATGCATAAGGGACGTGCGAGGCAGCGCGTGAGAGCGTTACTTTGAATGCTTACCGGGCGTGGACGTGAGTACTCTACACGGGCATCGTCAGAGTGCGTCCATGTACTACTCGCATGTAGCGGGAGGATGGCTGTGGCACGGCGATATGATCTGCTTTGACGATCGACACGCCATGGGGAACGCGGTCCACTCGCAGGCACTGTCGCGTCCATAGTGAGAGCTCGCCGCCCCAAACTTGCTGCCGCGCGTGCATTCAGCAGTCGCTACGACCTCATCCGAGGGTGTATATGCGACGAGAAGTAGTGCCGCAGGGGCGACAGCTTCTTCGCCGCCGAAGGAGCGCGAGAGGTTCAACCACGTCTACGGTGCGGGCTCGGCTTCGAGCGCCAGCCCTTCCTATGAGCGCCCCACCAAAAGATTCATACACATAATACTTGCGAAAGGTTCGAAGCATGCTATCGATAAACATGGCGGCAGTACTGAGCATTCGAGTGGGGTTACAGTGTGGAAACGAAGCGAGTGCGCAAGGCGAGTCGGGGGCGAGATGGACAAGGGTGGAAGAGATACGTTGAGCGGAATCTTCGAGCATGAGATACACGGCCGCACCGGCTGCAGGGTGAGCAGGATGAGTACGAGTAGCCGCAACAGGGGGCGGAAGCGGTACATACTTCTGCGACGTCAAGACGGACACTCGCCACATGCAAGTCCCGTGGCTTCGTCCTCTTCTGCACTGTAATATTCTTCCGCGCTATCGTCTCCCACGTCGGTCGCGTTCTCATAGTCCGACTCCGGAGACTCGTGGTTCACCCCGAGGACGTGATCTTCGTTGCTGGAGCTCCATGCGAGGGATTTGGCGTCAGAGTCTTCGGTGTCATCCTCATCGCTGTCGTCCGTTGCGACTCTATCTCCAGCGGAGTCGTCCGAGTCGCTAGCAGAGGTGTCGCTAGTCGAATGATGGCTCTCTTGGAACTCTCTGAATGCAAAGAGCTCGTCTTCACCGAGCTGCAGAACATCGGTGGCCATCCTACCAGAATGTGCAGAATCAGTACAATACCCAACATATGTAAATCGACACCGGTGCGTACTTTGTCCGTGTGGTGAATACGAGGTCTCCAAGCACTTGCGTCCAGGTGAATAGTGGAGCTTTCACACCCTCAATGTGCTCAAACTGCGATGTCGAATCGAAAATGATACCCGCCGGCACGGAGGTTGGATACTTCTCCGACGACCAGAATCCGCTTGGAATATTGCAGTCGTGAGCGGAACCGTTGTTGCCATCGAATTGCAACAGGAAGAACCAAAGCGGTGGGTATACCTGCTCAGTGGCATGCACACTCATCGTGATGGTCGTCTCAGTGAAATATGTTCGGTACCGGGCTAGACATCCATATCAGCGACCGAAACACACACAGGTAGAACGGACGCACCTATATCGATGTACCGGTATTGTCCTTGAAGGACAGATATATCCGGTAGTGCACGCATCATCCTCGAGGCAGCATGGAGTTCGTCCAGCACACCTACACGTTGCTGAAACAGAAGTGTCGTATTCACGGGAATGCAGGAAGATTGGTATCTGAGTGGTTGATTCAGATGAACTAGATCGGGGTACAAGCAGCTCGGATATTGCTCTCACCTCTTCCATCTTGTCTGGCCCCCGCCCGTGCCTAGCTCGAATTCGATGCACATCTCGTCAAGGTCCGATTCCGGGATATCGAGCCATTTAACCATGCTCAACCTCTGGTAAAAATCATGGCCTTCTGCCCTTGTGAGCTGACCGGCGAGACCGCTCGATTGGTGTACTTTGCGGCGACTCACCTTGCCTGGGACTGGGAAGTGCAAGTGGTACACTCTGCACTCTTACAGCGACCTCGAACCCGGGATCTTGTGCAGATAGACAGGTCCAATCTTCGTGAAAGTTGTTGCGTCCCAGCCACACTCCGAGTGGATACCGTGAATAGTCAGCAATATGCTCCCAACTACACCACCATGAGCGACCTGGGAGGAGGAAGGACATGTATGACGGAGAGGGTCTCAGGATGGATGAGAACCAATGCTGCACCACAGTGTCGACGTGTGCACATGCAATGGCACGAAGACCTGACAACGTAGTCAGTAATCACACTTCCAGGGATCGGTTTGCATGCCGTACCTTCTATCGTGTGCATCCTATCTTTTTGTGCAGCCGGGACATCTATCATCTGGGTATAGGTATAGTGAGAGTGGGAGCATGATGAGGGTCATGATTCCTACCTGAAGATCGTCTGGCTTCTCAAGTGCGAGGAGATCCCGAGCCCATTTGATACGGCCTCCACGGCGGTGATCAACTACAACCTCGTCTGATCTGATGGTATGGATATCTTCATTTGTATCCTGCATGGACATGACATATGGGCGGTAAGTCAGTAGACCTGGTGGTTTTGTAGCAGGTACATCGTACCCAATATGAACGCATGGGCAACAGTCGACGCAGATTCACCTGAGTTTCAACATGGTTGATGGCCATCTGCCTCCGATACATTCAGAACTTAACCACATCCACCGGATCACTGGTTGAGTTGAGGTATACGTACACAAATCGCTGCCGCCTTTATAGATCTCATCAGCATTGTAGCAGTATCAGGGACATCGATGCTACGCGCCATTTGCAGGTGCATTCGTAACTTCCTGGCTCCACGCAAGGAGCTTAGATGTTCCGTAAAGGGAATGTAGTCTTTCGAAGAATAGTTCAGCCGCGGAGACAGACATTGAATATTGGCCGTTGTGAGTGATATGGATATGTCGCCATACCTTCCGTCACAATGTACGCGGCCTGGCCTAGACTTCCCCGACGGGAGTATCCCATGACACTTAGAATACTGGGGTGGCTGCATATATCATAATGAGGCACGGCCCCAGATAGAGCGATATTGACATACAAGGTTCGCCGGGCGAGTTTGAGGGTCTCTACAAACTGCTGTTCGTCTTGATCAGGATACACGTGCACCACCACCTTCATTCCGGTCAGGTCACCCGCGGCCTCTACGACACCACGGTAGCGGGATACACGTCCGGTCCGTGGCCGAGGACTCGCCTGAACGAGCGTATTTTCGTCTCTGCGCTGTGTAATCGTGGTGTCCCATGGCTTGTGCAAGTCGACGATGGGCTCCAGTAAGGCGATGTTTTCACGGGCGAAGATGCGGAACTGACACCACCGAGTATCAGCATGACACCGAGTAGAGATATGGACCTGAATCTTTACATCTCCGTCGAACGTCACATTCCCCCCCACACGATGTGCAAGGTCCGAGATGTCGGTGCGGATGACCCTGGTCTCTCCTAGTACAGCGTCTCCGACACGTGCTGAGTCGTCGATGTGCTGCATGATGCGGATGTTTCCGCTCATCAGCGTGTTCATGCTTTGGTCGATTGAGAGTGCAGACTGGATCTAGCGATGGTCGCGATATTAGTGGGCTTGAGCACGATGGGAGTCGCTAGGTCCACACCATAAAATTGCGATAGGACTCTTCGAGCTTCGCGGTTAGCGTCTTGACCTCCTTCGCGATTTTCCCGCACTTGAGGGCAAGCAGGATGCGCTCTCGCTTTCCAATTCGCAGGCGGCGGGCCATAAGACTCTCAATATCTAGTAGGTTGCTTGTGTCCGATCGAGTCAGATCCAATCGACGTACAGAGGTCTAATGCGCAAATACATACCCCAGAAACATGGTGACATGCTCTTTCGCCGCCGTTTCGCCGTTTACGTTCTTGAGCTGCTGGTATATTGCCATCATACGGCTTGCGGCGCGTTCGGCGAGGGCTCGGCAGTCATCTCGGGTTTCTTCTATCTCCTGAACGATCTCGGGCTCACTACACAGAAGAAAGAGCGGGGACTGAGCGTGCTCACCTTGGCTTTCTTCGCAATTCTCAGCGCGCTATCGAGAACGACGCTCAGCCCCGGGAAGGGAAGGCCCGTCGCTGCAAGCACCGCTAATTCCAGCGCCGCGATCGATCCCTCGAGGATTTGCATGATAGACAAACGATGAGCAGGATGGGAGAGCCAGATGGGAGCGCTAGCTTGGCGGCGAGCCTGCAGATGATGGTACGGGGTTGCAGCGATGACAGCGATGTGCTATGAACTGTCGGGAGGCGGAGTTAATGTAGGGCACATGTCACGTTCGAAGACCTTGCCTCGAGTTCCCAGAGGCTGTACGAGAACCCACAGACATGTGACAGAGTTCTTCCAGGTGCGATTGAAAGCCGCCGAAGCGACGACACGCCATGGCTATGCACAAGTATGCGGTTGACGCTGAGTTGGCGTCCTCGAGCTTTTCTGCCAGCCAGTGCGAGCATATCCGGTGCGTATCATAGGTACCGCTCCCCGTGAAACGGCCATGTGAGCCTCGATCTGTGGGAATCAGTTTGAGAACTGCTTTCAAGGCTTGTTACTGATAGCGTGGGAGACGACGACAAAAAATCAAATTTGTTCCGAGACTGTGCTCGTCGCTACTACCAAAATTGACACGGTTGGGAAAGGCGCGGAGCATGTTGTTTGGTTAATTCAACATCACAGTGCTTATAGACGACGCCTTCGTCGCGGATCCTCGTGCGCCCTCATACACAGGAGTGTGATGCTGCCAGAGACTCCTCTGCTCATCTTAGACCCAAAACACAACACCCAATCGAGCGCGTACTCATCTGCATGACTTGGAAGACCATGTAGTCCGAGCGGTTGCTCGAGCTTGGCGAACGCCTGCTGCTGTCTGTCTAATGCAACGCCGGACCAAAAGTCTCACCGGCGTACACTTTGAGGCGCGTACTTACTTGATGTAGAAAGCCCAATATTTCGTGAACAGGACGAGTCCAGACGGATTCATAAAGCCACCCATGCTCGAGACTTATGTTGCGGTGGGCAGCCGTTTATGTCTGCACGATACCCGGGTGGACGCTCCCCGAACATGCTCCACGCAAACTCGCACGGCGACGCGAGATTGTTTATAACACTTGCAGGATCTATCAGCAGTCACGCCGGATTCAGCTAACACATATGTGAAGTAAGTGCGGCGAGGCGCACCTGGAAGCACTGGCAATAAAAGGTCATGCTGTTGAATGCCGCGGAGGAGCCGCCACGGGCGAGCACAGCGCTTGAAGAGTAGCTGGAGTTTGAGGAGAGGTTTGGACCACCTGGTATACCCAGAAGGATTTTCATGGCTCTCTGACTCACGATCAATCAAGGAAAGGAGGAGAGTCGAGCAGTGCTACCGGCGGCGGGAGGGACGCGACGGTACTCGGATATTCTCGCATAGGCACCTCCCACGACGTTGTTTATGAGCCAAACAAAGCCATGCGAGCGCTTTAGTCCGCTCTAGTCGGAGTCGCAAGCCGCGACGCTCTGCCACGGCCGTGCTCGTACGTTCTGTCTTCCCTTGCATCGCGGGTCTTGCTGTAGATTGCGTCTATCACTCTCCTAGGGCCTCTGCTTGCATGACGGAATGCGCTTCTTCCGATCTTCGCAGCGATCTCTGTGCACTGCAGTTCACTTGGCACAACGACCATCCAACCGTCCCTCACTCTCTCGTCTACGCCCAGGGCTCTCATCTATAATGACAAATGCCGACGTCCACCCCATCTGCTAAGCTTTGTCGACACAAAAAACGATGCTAGCGTTGTCTACGCGCGAAAAAATCTCAACGCTCGAGTCTGTACGCCTAGTTGAGGACGCTAGACACGACAATGCCGCGGCCGTCCTGCGCCAAGAGCGCTGACTATCCGACCACGGTCTCTTGCCACCTCAGATCGGCGTTCGCGTCATACGACAGCATCGGACAAGTACACGGTGGTCGACCCCATGTCCGGCGACCACCCTCGTGCCCTAGCAGATGAAACGATACGCGTATATGCACCACGGAACGTAGATCTAGTAAGTGCCATCTAGCTGCATAAAAGGCTCGTCGGAAGCTCGTTGCTTGCATGTGCAGATTGAACAGCACACGCGTATCAGGCCGCCCGTGTCAATGCCCAACCGCACGCGCACTATACTCGACGCCCAACAATGTGTCTGTGACAACCTCGGGGCGGCGTTACTCACCGCGTAGGGCCCATCATGCACACGCTGCGCTTCCCGGCCCCACCTTCGCACTCATTAGTATCCCGCGCGCAATACCGCATCACACGTGTCCGCGCAGTACCACGACCCGCAAATATCTCCGTGCCCTATCGCGGCACCGAGCGGTCATGCTAGCATGATGGAAAAATTTAGCTGCACTGTGGTGAGTGTGCCTAACAAACTTTCGGTACGATCTGAGCTGAAATGGGAAAAAAAACAAGGTGTCAGACTCTGGCGTTGCGTGGGCAGAGAACCGTAGTCGCAACACTGTATGATGAGCAGCAGCAGGGCGGCAGCGGACGTGGAGACGTCCACTCGAAAGGTATCGACATCCGAAGTATCGCCGGACGAAGACATATACTGTGTCCGGAACGGCTCGGTCTGCACCAAACGTACCGCAAGGATACGTACACCCGTACAACGGCGTTGGGAGAGCACGCGCCGGCGCGCGCGGGAAGGCTGCTCTGCTAGGCACGTTATCGCCCCCCCCCCCTTGCGCCGTCGCCGTCCTCGCAATCTGGCGAATGACACGACGCGCATATAAGAACCGCTCGGCGTATATCCTGCAGGTCTCAGCATGCCGATGCTAAGAAGATAGCTCGCTGATTCGTCGTCACCTCTACGTGTAGATATAGCCGCACGCGCGCCGCGGACGACTCGCGTTGAAGCCCTTTGGTCTACGCACTCTACTCAACGCTCCCAAATGCTTCCTGCATCCTTTGCGTGCACACAGAAGACTCCAAACATCGAGTCGTTTTGCACCACATATAGCTAGGGTACGTCCAGAATGGCACTCTGCACCGTGTCGGAACTGGTCACACATACGACACGTTCCTCCGACCTGGTCTCTGCGTTCACGAGCGCGCGACAAACGTACCCACGTCCCCGCGCCAGTACCTCGACCTCGAAATTCCCAGCGCATGCGTTGCGTTCAAGTTGCAGTTCACAGCTTCGTCTCCGCGCCCATGAGCACACCACGCACGTCCCGTACATCGCACATTTCCGAGTAAGTACGTCACAGCCCGCAAGACCCGACAAGAGCACCAATGTTCTACCGTCTCGCGTCATCGGGCGGTACGGATAGAACGATGTGAGACTCGGCCACACCGTGGTGCGCTTAGCAAGCATCAGCGCCAGGAGGACAGCAAGACTCACGTCGGCTTCGGGTGCTGCAAGGGCAGAGACTAAAACCATCTTCTGGACATGTATCGAGGCCGGGAGTCACCTCCGGTGGCAGAGACGTCCATATCGACCACTGGATTGCTAGCGCAGGTGTCCACGCGCAGTGCTTCGCGCTCGTCACTCGCCGCTCGCCCTTCAAGCGCTCAAAAGTTCTGCAATGTTAAGACGGACGTTTTCCACCCGTGCCAGCCTCGTCCTACTCCGTACGACGATATCGCCCCGTTCCACCGCATTCCGGGTCCATCGTTCCCTGATAGTCTGCGTCCGTAGCTATAGACACAATACGTGCAGTCTGGGTGACATCGCTGCTACTTGACTCGAGAGAGCGGGTATCGGAACTTTCCCCAGTGATATCCTCGTGTCCGTTGTCGTGCGTTGTGGGAACCCCTGTGCCGGAGGCGTCCAAGTGGCTAGCATCGACATCACTTGTCCTGTAAAGGCTCTCTTGTACCTCTCTGAATGCTAGCAGCTCGTCCTCGTTGAGCTGTAGGATTGAGGTGCGCATCCTATCACAGGATGCAGTGTTAGTACAATGCCATGCAGATCGATCGACACCGGTGCCACCATACTTACTTTGTTCGTGTGGTGAAGATAAGGTCTCCGAGTACTTGCGTCGAAGTGAACGGCGGAGATTGTGTACCCTTCTCGCCGGGCTCAGACCGTTGGAGCAATGCATCCAAGAGAATGTCTGCCGGGATGGAGGTAGGGTGCTTGTCCAGCGACCAGAAGCCGCATGGCACAGTGCGGTCGTGAGAATAGTTGTCACCGCCGTCGAACTGCAACACAAAGAACCAAAGCGGTGGGGGTGCCTTCTCAGCGGCGCGCGGGGTCATTGTAATGGTGGTCTCAGTGTAATAGACTCTGTGCGTTGCTAAATGTACGCATCAGCATCAAAAATATAAATCAGAGGCAGAATGGACACACCTATGCCGATGCACGTATGACGTCCTATGACGGATGGATCGAGCAGCAAGCGCACCATCCACGCAGTAGCATCGGGCGCGTCCGGCACGTGCCCGAGTTGCTGGAACAGAAGTGTCGTGTTGATGGGAATGCAGGAGAATTGGTATCTGAACGAATAGTGATCAATCTGGCAGGTTTCAGGGAGCGAAGACATCACTCTTACCTCTTCCATCTTGTTCCATCCTCGCCTGTACCTAACTCGAATTCGTGACACATCTCGTCATCGTCCGATTTCGGGACATCAAACCATGGAACCAGGCTGGTTCGGGACTGTTCGGAATTACGGTATTCTTCAACTCGGTAAGCTGACTACTCACTCCGTTTTATAAGTGTACTTGGGGACGGCTCACCTTGCCTCGTAGCGGGACGTACGCCTGGTACCCTCTGCATGACTGTGGCAACCTCGAACCCGGGAGTTCGTGGAGATAGAACAGTCCAGGGATCGGAACAGTGGGCACGTCCCAGCCATGCGCCAAGTGGATACCGTGGATACGCATTGATCTGTTCCCAATATGGCCACTGCAAGCGGCCTGGGGCGAGATCATGGTACAGTCCTATCGTGCTCATGGTCTGCCATAACCAACACTGCACTACGATGTTCAAGTTTCCGTATGCGATGGCACGAACATCTAATTAAGTGATTAACGATCGCAATTGTGAGTTATAGTGTACGCGGGGTACCTTCTATCATACGCATCCTGGTTGTCTGCACAGTTGGAATGTTCATTAACTGTGCTGGGCTGTATTGAGAGTGTGAGCTTGTTGAGAGTGGTGGTACTCACGTTGAGAGGATCCCGAGCCGTCTCAAGCACGACGAGATTCCCCGCCCATTTGATACGGCCTCCGCGGCGGTGATCAAAAACGAGTTCATCTAATCTGAAAGGATGATATGTACTGTGATCCTGTATGAGCGTGGTCGGTATATTAGCAGACCAGGTAATAGTGTAGCAATGCTTCCGTACCCAATACTCAATTTTGGGCAGTCGTTGATACAGTTCCATCGCTTCCAGATGGTCGACGGCCATCTACCCACGGAATATTCAGTATAAGACGGCATCCACTAGATCGGTAGCTTAGTGAGATGTCCGTACACAAGTCGCCGCCCTCTGCATAGGGCCCATCAGCACGGTAGCAGTAAAGGGGTGTCAAGACTACACACCATTTCCAGATACGCTCGCAACTTGCTGATCCCACCCAAGGAGCCGAGATATTCCGCAAAGGGAAGGTAATCTGTGGACAAATGGTTCAGTAGCGACGACCTAAGACGTCGACTCGAACAGTTTTACATGATAGTATGTGCACGTACCTTCTGTCACGATGTATGCGGCCTCGCCTGGATCTCCCGGATGAGAATATCCCAGCATAGTCAAAACGTATGAATGGCTGTAGGTAAAGAAGTTGTAGCGAGATGCACAACCCCAACTAAAGGAATCTCGACTAACCAGGTTCGTTTGGCGAACTTAACGGCCTCCACGAACCGCTGATCATCGCGATTGGGGTACGTGTGTACTACTACCTGCGTCCCGGTCAATCCACCCGCAGCCTCCACAACAGCGCGGTAGCGGGAGACGCATCCGGTCCGTGCTTGAGTGGCTGAATGGACCAGGGTGTATTCGTCTCTGTGCTTCTTAGTCGTATGATACTGCTTGCACGAGTCGACTATGGGCTCCAATAGTGCGAGATTTTCGCGAGCGAAGAGCCGAAACTGCCGTGCCTGTTATTAGCTAGGCACTGAAGCGGCATATAGATTTAAATACTTACATTTCCGTCGAACGTCGCGCTCCCTCCGATACGAAGTGCGAGATCCGAGAGGCCGCGGCGGATCACTCCGGTCTCCCCGAGGACAACTTCCCCAACACGTGCTGCGTCGTCGATATGCTGCAACATGCGGATGTTCCCGCTTGTCAGGGTGTTCATGCTCTGATCGATGGTGAGCGCAGTCTGGATCTAACGACAATCACATCATCAGTGGGCACATTTACGAGACGGACCGCTCGGTCTCTACCATGAACGCGCGAAAGGAGTCCTCGAGCTTCGTTGTAAGCGTCTTGACCTCCTTGGCAATCTTCCCGTGCTTGAGTGCAAACAGAATGCGTTCGCGCTTTCTGGCTCGCAGGCGGCGGTCCATCAAGTTCTCGATGTGTTGCAAGTTCCTTGTGTCAGATGAAGCTAGATGAAAATAGTATACAGAGGTCGAGTAGTACAGAATTACTCACTGCAACAACGTCGCTACATGCTCCCTAATCTCGGTGTCGCTACTACCGTTGTTGAGCTGCTGGTATACTGCTAATACAAGAGTTGTGGCACGTTCGGCGAGTGCTCGGCAGTCATCGCGAGTGTCTTCAATCTCCTAAGGGAGCTGCAGGTTACCACACCGCGAGACTGTGAGCATAGACGGAATATGCTTACCTTAGCTTTCTTCGCAATATTGAGGGCGCATTCGACGACGATGTTAAGTCCCGGGATGGGAACGTTCGCTCCAAGCTTTGCTATTTCCAAAGCCTTAATTGATACCTCAAGGAGGTTCATGACGAGCAAAAGTGGCGGGCACTCGTAGGGCGAGAGAGACGGATGTGTTAGCACAGAGCCGGTGAGTCTACGAGTGGGGCGTACGGGGTCAAGAGGTTACCAGCGATCTGCTATCGGTGCGCAGGATTAATATAGGGCACACATTAGGTTTGGAAGACGTTACCTCAGGTTCCGCGGGTGTACTACGAGAACCCAAGCTGTAAGCGGGTTCCGTTAGGTATATTTGAGGGGCGCAGAAGCCGTGCCGACTGAAGCAACTTGTGCCTTGCGTGCGTCGGCGGAGGTCAAGCCATATCCTACGAGACACGGCTACTATTTGTGAGCCAACCTATCCTGACATGCCGCTGAAGGCACTCCTTGGCGTAGAACGGCGGCAGTGTCCTACGCCTGTAAGCATCACCCGTGGACCGCTCTTGTTGGTTACTGACAGCGTGGAAACTTGGCGGCAGGTACCAGCCAATTCTTACCTCTGCAAAATCTCACGACCGCCGTGTGAGCCGCAAGTCGTCTATGTTGCCACGATAAACCAAGATTTATCACTGCTTGGGTGACGTGCAGTGGGACGGGGACGGGAGCAACTGCCAGGTTCGCTACCTGTAACGCCGTGATCATATTCTCCGTGATATCCATTTGAATCTGATGATGAAGAGGGCGACGAAGAAGAACCAGGACGGGGGATCCTAGGCGATATCCGCGAAGGCAGTCGTCGGAAGTGTCGCTGGCACTTCGTCTAGTACTGAATGAGTTATAAAGTTCGTGTGAGATGACACAAGAGATCCGAGGAGTAAAGTTAGAACGTAGAGGATAAACTTGAAAGACATCGCAGAGAATTCCTAGTCTCCCAGAGGCAGACCTTTCACACTCTATTGAGGCGGGGAGGACGAGGCCCTGTGTAAAGGCGAACTCCAGTGCGAGTTGGTCTACGACGGGGGCCTATTTTGCTAGCCAATCGTGAGCGCGAGTTGGCACTGCCATCGGAGCGAACCGGCGTCTGCATGCGCGAGGGTGTGTTCACGAACGAGGCGGACGCGAGGGGCGCGAACGTTGGGCGCATGTCGCGGTGGCTCGGGAGCACGCCCGCGCGCCAAAACATGATCGAGCGCTTCGCCCCGAGGCCGAGGAGCATGTTGAGGCAGCCGCGCGCGAAGAGGGAGAAGGCGGCGACGAGCGTGAAGTTGTCGACGTGGTGCGAGAGCACGAGGCACTGGAAGATTCCGAGCGCGCCGAGGCTGGAGGTGGGCCCGAGCACGGGGAAGAAGCGGTCGAAGAAGGCGGCGGGCCAACCGATCTCAGAGAGGACGAGCACGACGACTTGGAAGATGATGAACAAGCGGTTGACGACCGCCCAGAAGACGCGCGCGGGTTGGTTTGGGACCGTGCTCCCTCTGTGGCGGCAGGTCAGAACGGTGAGTGGAAGGGGGCGAGAGAGGTACCGAACTGACGCAGCACTGCGAGCATGTCCACATCCCTAGAGATAGCGACAACCACCTCAGCATTTGTGGCCAATTCAGTCGTAACAAGAGTGATTGCATACCAAAAATGCCCATTCCAGGGACGTCTGAGGCGGTGATGCATAACTGTCAGCTTGCCCAAAAGACTAGACTCGGCACATCCGAGACCGGGAAATCTGTACTGTATGTTTGATTTGTGTTCATCCGCGGACAAAAGTCTTGTAGAGACAAGGTAGGGCCTTTCTCAAGGAGCTCGTCGCATTTTTTGAACACAGTTTCGAGAGCGGGTGGTGAGAACAGGAAGGACGCGCCAGTAGACGCCAGTACGAAAGGTCGCGTAGGCGCGCAGAGACGCGTTGTTGATGGACCAAATAAAGCCATGCGAGTCCTCCCATCGGAGTCGGCGCGGCTTGCCCGAACCTCTCTCTCCCGAATCCCGGCTGCACATCGTTCCTCCCTGCCTCCTCCACGCAGTACTTGTTCGTCTCAGGCTGTGCTCTTCGGTTATCCTCAGCTATTTCCTACAGGCTTTGTACCCGTACTCGTTCCGTTCTTCCTTGGTGCAGATCTCTTGTCCGCCGTCTTCCGAACATCGCTGCTCTTTCTCTGTTCCACTCGCCTTGTACACCGCAACGCGCATGCAACGATCGTACACGCGTCCCTTTCTCTGTCGTTTGCTGATGTGCCTCCCGCTATCCTACCTTCCCTAGCCCCTCCACGACTTGCCCACTGCACTGGAGGGCTGAGGCTCTCGGCAAACGACCCCAGCACCATCTGCGCGCGCACGGCTTTGGGCACTCTTCTGCAGGGTGCACGCCCGCAGATTTCGCGACACGCACAAGGAAAATCATCATGGTGCGACTGATATGACACAGCAGAGAATTATCATGTCACCATTTGGCATCCAGGGCGCCAACGACCACTCGAAAATGTCCCGGCCTCCTTCCGCAATCCCGCTTGCTCGCTCCGGTGAGCTCTTTCTGGTGATGCAGGTGCCATAGCGTCAACTTGATGGGTAAGTTTTTAGGCCGTCTGGATTCCAAGCGCAATGAACATAGAATTTTCTAACATCGTTCTTGCGCTGACCTCAGTGTTCAACATTTAAACCGCCTCTAATGGAATCCCTTAATTGGCTAAGACGACTCCTGCGCTGTACAACGTCGCGCTACTCCACACGTCGCGCCGCGCCGGGCGAGTGGTGGCCGTCCCCCTGGACATGTCATCGAGACTCTGCTGCTGCCCCATGCCAATGAAACTATGCACATCTACGAACCAGGGATCGTTTATCTGGTGAGTACAGGCCCGCTACGAACATAGGAAACCCTTGATTTTTCGCATTTATGTATAGACTCGTCAAAACACGCATCGCCAGCGGCGCTCGTATACCCCCCTGCGCCCTCTAATCAACCCCAGGCGACGCCCCTCTCAGCATTTGTGTGCGCACGGCCGTTGCGAATGTCTATGCCGCCGTGTGGGTCTGCTTGGGAACCAATCTGGGAGCGCGTCCGAGACCGAGACCGAGACCCTGCGCTGCACTGCGTGGAGGCCTACCACACGTGCGTTACGATGTCTTAACACCCACGAGCGCACCTTGTACATATCGCGTGGCAGAAGTCTCCGCACCGCCACCCCGAGGGACGGCGTCCCATGCTGTACCAGGCGACGCAACAGACATATCGCCGCACTACTGTCTGTGCGGTCAGCGTATCTCACAAATCTCAGCATGAGCCCCGTCTGCGCCCGGGGTGAATGCGTCGCGTTCAAGCGTTGCGTGGGGTGGGCAGAGAGGTCACGGTCAAGAACAATGTATGAGCGGGCTGCAGCGTCAGGATGACACCGGGAGCGGAGACGTTCTCAAGGCATACTGTTGTCGTGAACGGTCGCCAGCGGCTGAAGCCTACTATGTATCGCTAGGCAAGGATCTCCGCTATAACCGGGACTGTACAGTGCGCACCGGACGTACCGCGAGTCAGTATGCTCGTCTGCAATCTCGAGTAGTACGTGTCCATGTACTGCCAGACTCCGCGTGACACGGTCTGCTCGGCCCGGCTCCAAGGGGAGTAAATACAGCGGGAGGCAGCAACAGAAACGCCGGACGCATCATGATATGATACATACTTCTACAACGTCAAGACGTGCCCACTCCACCCGTGACCTCGTACTTTTCTGCGGTGTGATATTATTCCGTACCCTCATACTCCGTGCCGTCCGTCGTGTCCTGATAGTCCGAATTCACAGAATCAACGTTTTGTGACCGGGCGTTGTTGCTGGCATTTGTTTCGAGCTTGAGATAGCCGGTGTCAGACCTTCCGATGTTTTCCTCATCCCGATTGCCGTACGTTGCAAAGATGTCTGCGCGGGCATCCCCTAAGTCGCTAGTATCGTCTTCGGTAGGTGAGGGTAAGCTGTCTTGGAAAGCCCTGAATACTGATAGCTCGTCCTCGGGGAGCTCCAGAATCTCGGTGACCATTCTGGTATGATAAGCAGTGTTAGCACGATACCCGACAAATAGACTCCAAATCGACAGCGATGCGTACTTCGTTTGTGTGGTGAAGACAAGGTCCTTAAGTATTTGTCTCGAAGTGAACAGCGGGGCTTCAGCGCCTGCTCGAATGAACTCAAACTGTGGCGCAGTGGGATTGAAGACAATATCCGCCGGAACGGAGGTGGGGTACTTCTCGGATGACCAGAAGCCACATGGAATAGTGTAGCCCCGAGCAGAGCTGTCGCCGTTGTCGAATTGCGACACGAAGAACCAAAGTGCCGGGGCTGCCTTGCCAACTGCGTGTGGGGTCATTGCGATGGTAGTCTCAGTGTAATAGGTCCGGTGTGTGGCTAGACGTCGCTATCAGCCGCAGAAATACAGACAGGCGAAGTGGGGTCACCTATGCCGATGTGCGTGTAGTGTCCTACTATAGATCGCTCGGGCAGCGAACGCATCATCCACGAGGCTGCGTCTAGCCCGTCCAACGCGTGTACATGCTGTAGAAAAAGCAGCGTCGTGTTCGCGGGAATGCAGGAGAACTGGTATCTGAGGAGTAAGTTCAGATGATTGTGATCTGTGTTCGACCCGCTCATATTGAGCATCTCACCTCTTCCATCTTGTCCGATCCCAGCCCGTGCCTATGTCTACGTCTACTCGCATTTCACCATGGTCCGATTGCGGGATGTTGAACCATTGAGCCATGCTCAACCTCTGCTCGAAATCACGGTAATCTTCGCCCCGGTGAGATGGCTGCTTGAATAGATCTAAGGGTGTATGTGGAAGTAACTCACCTTTCTTAGGAGCGGGGAGTACCATCGGTACTCTTTGCACTGTTGTAGCAACCCCAAATCCACGATTCGACGCAGATAGAGACACCCAACGTTCGAAACAGGCGTCATGTCCCATCCACACCCCAAGTGAATACCGTGGACCATCCACGACCTGTTCCCAATATCGCCGCCATAGACTGCTTGGGATGAAGCCATGATACGGTCCCACGAAGCTCAGAGCCTGCGATAACCAACACTGCACCATAACGTCTAGGCGTCCACATTCGATGGCACGAAGATCTCAAGCGGAAGTCAATAATCACACTTCCAAGTTATGAGTTACGGGGAGTACCGTCTTCTATGCGCATCCTACTGGTGTACGCAGCTGAAACGTCTATTTTCTGGTTATAGGTATACTGAGGGTAAGATCAGGCAATAGGTATTGGCACTCACCAGAGCGATCGTGCTCCCAACTGCGAAGGGATTTCGTGCCCATTTGATACGGCCTCCATGGTAGTGGTCAATCACGAGGTCGTCCACTCCGAAGGCATGATCTGTACTGATATCCTGAAGAAGCACACATGTAGGTAATAAGTCAGTCGACGAAACAAACTTGGCCGCGGATCCATCGTACCCGATGTCGGTATGTTGGACTTGATTGACGATGTTCCATCGTTTCTAAGCGATCAACAGCCATCTGGCAAGGAAACATGAGCATCTGACTGCGTCCACTGATCAGTGGCTCAATCAATATGGACGCACACATATCTCCACCCTCTATATGAAGTCCGTCAACGTGATAGAAGTATGAGGGATGTCGAGACTGCGCACCATCTTCAGGAACGCTCGCAACTTGTCGGTTCCACGCAAGGCATCTATATATTCCGTGCACGGAAGATAGTCTATTCAGGAGTTGTTTATTCGGGCCCGGGGAAGCAGAAAGCAGAGCGTGTGCAAGATCCGCTTGCGTACCTTCTGTCACGATGTATGCAGCCTCGCCTGGACTACCTGGACGGGAGTATCCTAATACAGTCAAAACGTACGGATGGCTATGGGCACGGTAGTAAGAGATGCACAGCCCAGCCTGCCATGTCAGGCGACCACAACGTACCATATTTGCTTAGCGGATTTGAGAGCTACCACGAATCGCTGGTCGTCGTGGCTGGGATATGTGTATACCACAACCTGCGTTCCGGACATTTCGCCGGCGGCTTTCAACATCGCGCGGTACCTGAAGACACGTCCGATCCGTGGCTGAGCAGTTGCTTGAACGAGGACGGGTTCGCCTCCGTGCTGCGTAGCCATATGACGTAGCTTGTCCGGGTCGACGATGGGCTGCAGAAATGCGAGATTTTCGCGAGCAAAGAGCCGGAACTACCACGCCAGTTACTAACAGGCGCAGCAATAGTACGTGGAATCGAATGCTTACATTTCCATCGAATGACGCGTTCCCTTCGACACGATACGCAAGGTTTGAAAGGCCAGTGCGGATCGCTCTGGTATCTCCAAGGACAACTTCTCCAACACGTGCCGAGTCGTCGATGTGTTGCAGCATCCGGAGGTTCCCGCTCGTCAGTGTGTCCATGCTCTGGTCAATGGAGAGCGCAGCCTGGATCTAACAGCAATATTGACATCAGTGAGATTGAGCGCAAGGGGGCCGCTCGATTTGTACCATGAAAGTGCGGAAGGAGTCCTCAAGTTTCATGGTCAGTGTCTTAACCTCGTCGGCGATCTTCCTGTGCTTGACCATGAGTAGAAGACGCTTCCGCTTTCCTCTTCGTAGGCAGCGGTCGATCAAGTTCTCGATATCTTGCAAGTGCCTTGCGTCGGATCCATTATGCTAACATCCAGAGCTCGATTCCGACCTCACTCACTGAAGCAAAGCCGTGACATGCTCTTTTACCCCTGTGTCCGAGCCACTACCGGTCTGGAGCTGTTGGTATGTCGCCAGAATGATAGTTGCGGCACGCTCGGCGAGAGCTCGGCAGTCATCTTGAGTGTCTTCGATCTCCTGGATGAACTGCAGGTTACTACACAGCGATAATCAGAGGCTCCCAAAACATGCTGACCTTCGCCTTTTTCGCGATACTGAGTGCGCATTCGAGGGCGGAGCTGAGCCCCGGGATGGGAATTTCGGCTGTTGCGAGCTTTGCTATTTCAAGCGCCTTGATCGATGCGTCGAGGAGCTTCATGACGGACAAACGGATCCGGGATTCAGAGTCCGAGCGAGATGGGGATGCTAGTTCAGTAGCGGCGAGAGGAGGATACCTGCTACCTGCCGGCGCGCAGAATCAATGTAGGGCATAAGAGAAATGGAAGACACTGCTTCGTGTGCACAGTGGCTGTTTAACAATTCAAACCGGGGCAAGGTTCTCAGGCTGTCAGCTATGCCTAGACAACGCGGCAGTGCTGAAAGCTAAAGCACCATCAGGCTTGGACTTCTCCGTCAGATTCGCGCTTTCTTTCTTGCTGAAGGCTTGGCTGTCAACAGCGGTAGCGCCGTAGGTTTGTATACGTCAGTCTGATGCCCGCTCTTGCTGGTCATGATGGCGTAAAGTTCTAGCGAGTACTCACCGCCACTGGCAGCTGCCACTACAGGCTGTGCGAGTCGCAAACCGTCCACATTGCTGAAACAACCCAAGGTCAACACATGGCCCTCCTTACTATTGTGTTCGCCCTGCGCCATCGTGATATTCCGTCAGATTTCAAGTTCGTTGAGAGCTATTTAGGCAGACCGCAGTTGCACATCACGTTCGGCATGATGTCAGCGGGAGCATTACATCTCTAAACGCCACACAATGTGAGATTAGTAACGCGGATGTGGACTGTTGACAGTACAAACTCACTAGGGCGCTGGACACCAAGAATACCCTGTCCAGCGGCACATACAACAGTTCGAATCTCAAGATACTCAATCCTCCCGCATTGGGGCCAGATTGCGCAGGTACTGACCGAACACGCCCTACTGCGACTCCAGGCCGAAGCTCTCGCCGTATGTGTCAAGCACATGGTTGACGAACACGGTCCAGCGGCGCTCAAGCGCGGCGAAAGCGTACTGCTTTTCCGTATCATCTAAGCTCGAAAACTGTATCATCGTCGGTAGTAGCGAACATGTCAGTCCACAGATAGTGGCATGCGCGCGAGGCCGCATAGAGGCAGACGTACCCTGATACTGTCCCACACGAACTCGCGCAGCGTCGCGATCGTGTTCACCTCGCTCGCGACGAAGACCTGTCATGAGGCGCTCCTGAGTCAGCTAGCGTACCGGCGAGCTGGACATGGCCGAGCGTACTTGGAAGAAATCAAACGAGAGGCCCATATTGCCGAACACGGAAGGGTCGTCAGAGCACAGTGCGACATGAACGCCGTGGTTGAGGATCGCGGGCAGCGGATGCATGGGCATAGACCCGGTGAGACGCTATGGCACGACCAGGGTTAGCCGGAATATCCACGTTTACATAAGATTCGTAGGCGTACTAGAACTTCGTTCCTGTTGCCGAGTGGCAGTCAGCGCGTTACACTCGGACGAGTGTGGAGATACATACGAAATGGGACATATCTCGATGCAGATACCCTTCTCCCTACAAATCTCCATCAACCGGGGGTGCTTCGCAATCGAGAACCTAGCGAGCGGCTTCAGCAACGGCTCCTCGTCGCAGTCCATGTACGCTTACCCGTGTCCGATGCGCTGCGTGCCCATCAGAATCGCATCATACAGGTTCATGTCCGCCACGCCGCCATCCCCGATCGTCTCTCCCGCGTGGAAGATGAAGGGGATGTGCACGCCGAGCTCTTTTTGCCGTTCCACAAACTTCAGGAGCGGCTCCGCGTAGTAGATGAGCGGCTTGAGCGAGTCCTCATGCCCGACGAGGTCGAAGCCTGCGACCAGGTGCGGGAACTCCTGCTTGAGAGCGAGACAGTCTTCGAGATACCACTCGAGCTCTTCGCAGGTGACATTGCGCAGGGTCGAGTAAATGATCTAAAATACAGGCAACTGGTAAGTGTGCTGCGACATATCGGTACTTGCGGAAAGAATGACAAGATAAACACCTTAGAACCGATGACCTCATCATCACGGCCTTGCTTTTCCAACTCTTCCTTGACTTCGTTGAGGACGCGGTCATAGATTTGAAACCAGACCCGATGTGGCACATTTTCTTCACCATCTTCGCCGACCATATACCTACAGATACGGGTCAAGGATATGAATGATATCAATCCGATGTCTGCATAGCATGCAAATCCACCTACTTGAACCAAAATAGGATACGTGGTTCTACGTAAGAAATGCCGTCCTCGACAGAGGAGAGCAGGAACTCGCGAACGTATTGCGTCCAGATTGGCACGAAACGAATTAGACCCTACATACATCAGTTGGCCTTTATCCACAGAATGAGGAAGGAAAGGGCCCAACATCGGACACAGAGAACGTGCTCTGGAACTTCTCCCAGATCTGCGCGTAGAGTGTCGTCAGAACAGTGAAGCTTCGTACGGACAACTCCTTATCTCTCACCTTCGCAGTCGTGTTATGGGTACCGTATGCTTCGGATGGATCGATCATTAGAGCGTCGATGACCCATCGGTCGAAGCCGCTAGACCCTCCCAGCTCCGCGCCAAAGTTGCTACGCGCATTCTGGATCGGCACCCACGTATTCGGCGTGTATGCAGCATCAGTGATACTCCCAGTCGTAGTCCACTGATTTTTGGGCAGCGCTCGGAACTCAGGTAGCACTGTTTTCAAAGTGCTTGCGTTGAGCGAAGCAGACGGCATGCGAACGTGCATGGCAGGCTGTTCGAGGGCAAGACGGAGAAGGACGTCGGCACGGACGGTGGCATCGAGGTGTGCATGCAGAAGGCCACCTTTCGGCATCTGTGAAAGATGAGCGTCGTGCGGTGAAGTTCGATCGATGATCTTGCCTTGCTGAGGATGTCAAAGAGCTTGGTGTTGACAATCGAATCGCGAGCTATAGTAAAGAAATTTAGCTGTTGCGCGATGCATTTTTGCGAGACAAGAAACTCACCTGTGAGGAACTCCATCCCGGGGAACATCTGCTGCGGTCCGTGTATATGCTTCACTGGAAGCTTGCCATTCCAAACAGTGCGGTCCTCAGAAGCGCGTATGCTGCGCAAAATTTCGCTCGCTTTTTGCTCATCTGCGGATAGGGCCTTTGCGATGGCATGGTCAGGCCGTAGGGCTCTGTCCTGTGCGATCAGCTCGCTGCGCCTCTTCAAATAAGTCTCCATAGCAGTTACGCAGATGAGCGAGCCAACTCCGATGCTGAGGCCTGAAAGTTACAAAACGCCAGTCAGGGTGTGGTAGGAGGTGGTGGTGAGAGGCAGCATGCGACGAGCCGAGTACGTGCTGCCATGTGGGCGATGATAGCAGACGCTGTCGCATGAGGTACGATCGGACGTGTATCTCGTATAGGCGCCCGTACACAACGCGTTGTTTTACCAAGCCAAACAAAGCCACGCGGCGAACGTTCCGATACGCACCGAAATTGTATGCAGATATTGTTCGGTAATCGCTCGCGAATATATCCATCGGTCTACTGTACCGGTGTTGAGCTCCTTGACTGTTTGATACAGTTTATAATGTACTACAATACTGATATACAAGCGAGAATACAAACGTGCCCTGGATAGCAATGCAGCGAAGAAAGCTCGGAATAGATAAACCCCTCTAGTCAGATTCGTCCGCGACGTTGCGTGCGGCGGGCTTCTTGCGAGCAGCTACCGATGAAAGTCAGAACGCGATCTGCAGGTGACGACGAACAGATGAAGACTTACTTCTGCGAGTAGCCCGCTTCTTAGCGATCGCCTTCCTGCCCTCAACGCGCTTCTCAAAGTCCTGGTCCTCCGCGCCCTGGCGGCGGTTCTCATCCAAGATCTGTGCTAGTGTGTTAGTCACCGGAGGGGCACCGTATCAAAAGAGGACTCACGGATTCGAACTCATTTAGCTCCGCGTCGGGCTTGTTCGCGGACTTGTTCGAACGCGCCTTGGTCAGGATCTCCTGGAAGCGCGCGTACACGGTCTCTTCGTGCAGCTTATCGCGATAGAACTGGAGGCCCTCGATGAGCTTCTTGACCGACCGCTCCGACTTGAACGGCAGCAGCGAGAGGCAGAACGCGATGTCGCGCCACTGGCGCGGCTCGTCCGACAGCCGGAACCGCTGGCACAGCTTCTCGACGATGTTCTCCGCTTGCTTCTCCTGCGGAGGTAGACAGGGTTAGGGTGGTGCTGGTAGGAGAGCTCGGGGACACGCACCTTCTCGATGAAGGTGAAGATGTACTTCATCGTGCTCTGGAACGTGTCTTCGTCGATAGCATGAGCCCCTACCGACAAGTGACTGATCACTGTAATGCCAGAGCATCAGCGGGCGAACTTAGATTCCGTCACCTCCATGAACGTACCGTCGGGCAAGTTGTTGTAGATCGCGTTGTCCTTCGTCGAAAGCTCCGCGAAGAACAGCTTCGCAAGATCTGAGATCCGCTCATCCTCGTCCTCGACACATTTCGCCATCTCGCCCATCTGTCCCTTCACCTTCACCATGCCGTTGAGGATGAGATGCGTGAGCACCATCAGCGTGTTCTTCTTCACGACCATGTCCGGGTCGCGCAGGCCCGTGTAGAGCTCGTCGTTGCTCTCGTCGATGATGCTGCTGAATGAGACCGCGACGTCTCCGAGCGCGATGACGATATTGCTCCGGATGCTTGGGTCCTTCGACGTCTCCAGGATCTTGAACAGCAACCGGTGGTGCTGCTCGCAGAACTGCGAGCTCACGCACAGGAACTTGCTGAACGCCAGTGTCGCGGCCATCCGCAGCGTTCGGTTCTGCGCGGGCGCCGTATCAGCGGCCAAGCTTGAAGGGGGCGAAGGAGGCACGCTCACCTTGAACTTGTGCGGACTGCCACAAATATGGACGAGCATAGGTCCGAACGTCGCGAGGAGAGACTGGGAGCCGTAAAGAAGCTCATGCTCGCGCATGGCCGCGATCCGCTCACCGATCTCATCCTCCGCATTGCCCGCGACCTGATCAAGCTCTTCTTGCTCCTTCTTGTCTTGAGCGCTCGTACCGCCAAGCTTCGCAGCTGTGATTGGCCCATGAGACGGAGGATGCAGAGAGCGAAACACGGTACTCACCTAGCTCCTTCTCGTGCTTCTGTCGCTTCCACTCTCGTTCCACAAGCTCAAGGAAGACAATCTGCTTGATCGCGACGTGGCCAACGATAAAAAGAAGCTGGCTGAGCTCGAAGGCGTCGCCCGTGTCCTTGCTCGCGCTGGTCTGCGAAGCTGCAGACTTCGTCGGCGACGACGGCTGCGTCGCGTCCGGATCAACGTTCTCGCGTTCCTCGTCCTCATCCATAGCGTCGGGATCCTTGTCGATTGAAGATCCCTGCGACTGCGAGCTCGCGAGGGGCTTCTTGTTGAAGATACGTCGGGACAAATTCTTGATGAGGTTGCTGCAGAGCACGTCGGGGCGTTCACCGAGCGCGTAGACGGTGTTGATCGCTTGTTCGGCCATAGGGAACCACTCCTTGGTGCGACAGGGGCGTTCAACAGCTTCTTGCAGCTTGCGGAAGAGCGGGTTGTCCATATCGATTCGGAGTGACTTGTCAAGCAGTGAACCTTTAACCTTCTTGGCGCTGCCGTTGAGTCGCTGCAGCGCAACACACGTATATCTGGCTAAAGTCAAGTCGCTCTAAGGTTGAATGTCAGCGAAGGCAACGGGAGGACAGGTGGAGAACGAACCTTGCCGCGCTCGCCAAGTCCGACCTTCACCAGCGTTTCAACACGGTCAGCGACCACGCTTCGCTTTGCGAGTGCCAGCATCCCGAGGATGATGACCCCGCCACGTCGTTGTGCTCGAGGGAGCGGCCGCTCGGAACCTACGATCCACGCCGTCAATTTTGTGCCTTGTTCGCACATTATGATACTTACTGTACACCTGCCAGAGCTTCGCGACGACATCTTCGTGGATGTGGCCTTCCTCCATGAGCTGCCGCAACATCTCCTCGAGACTGGTCAGCTCCGCAAGAGTGGCATCGTACGTCATTCTATATACGCGTTAGGCATTGCGTGGTAAGAATGGTCGTAGATAACACGTACTCGATCATGTTCTTTGCGATGCGATTGATTTGCGCCTTGGGTTCCAGGTTCTGGATAGGCTCAAAGTACATGGTGCGGTAGCACTCGAGCAGGCGCGATCGGACGCTCTTGAGCTCACGACCATCTTCGGACGTCGCGTTGTTGTCCTTGCTCCAAATGAGATGAAGCATCTTCTTGATCCCAGCCTACAATTTTGATTAGCACTTGTGCTTTACACAAGGAAACAGGCAGAGAAACTCACCTCGGCGGCATCGAACTTGTACTCGTACGTGACGCGGAAGAACTCCATCGCCTCGAGCACCTCGAGCTTGTTCGTCGACGCGAGCAGCTTCTGCACAGTCTTCATGCCCTCTTCGACAGTGCGAATGAACTCCAGAGCATCGAGACAGAACCTCTTCGTGAGTTTTGCTTGAAGGTGCTGGTTCTCGTTCAACTCGCCGAGCGCAGCTGCCTCGTTAGCCAACGCGGTGAGGTCCAGTTCGGACTTGCGCTTCTTCTTCTTCCGCTTCTTTGGCGCGTCGTCAGACATAGGCTCGTCCTCATCGTCTTCTTCACCATCGACTTCCATCTCGTCGTCGTTGCGTCGCTTCCTGCACAGTTTGTCAGTTGATGCGCAGGTCATACTTCATCCTACTCACTTTCTACGTTTCTTCTTCTCGCCTTCCTCGTCCTCTTCACCCTCCTCTTCATCGCCCAAGCCCTCATCCTCATCATCCTCATCGGCCTGGCTCCCATCTTCGCCCTCCTCCCTATCGACAGCCTTGCCTACCTCGCCCTCCATCTTTGCGAGGACCCCAGCCTCCTGCTCGTACCGCTCCTTCCACTCCATCTCGCTCAGGAACCCACCGTACATTCCATACGGGTGCGTGAGGATGAGACGAACGAGCAAGCTCACCGCCGCCTTCCGTACGCCGGACGCCTTGTCCTCAAGTGCATCCACCGCCGCGCGTGACATCGCGAGCCGTTGCTGCGGGAACTTGTTGCCGCTGCTATCGCACAAGCGGGCCAGCGTCGAGAGCACCTTGACGCGCACGTATGACGAGAGGTCAAGCGTGCGCTCGAGCAGCAGGTCGTACAAGCCGTTGATCTGCTTCAGCTGTTTCGCGCGGTCGCCTCCCGCGAGACCAATACCCGCGGCGGCAGCCGCACCAATCGCGCCGAGCCCTTCGTTCTCGGGGCTGTCGGACAGCTCGCGGATGATTCCACCGATGACCTCCACGAGGGCCATACGCATGGGATAGGACTCCGAGTCGAGGTGGGCGATCAGGAGCGAGAGTTGCTTGAGCACCTGCCGGGGCGCGAGCTCGGCGTAGCGCACGAGGAACCGGGAGAACGCACGCGGGCCCTTGGTATCCTGCGCGGAAAACGACTTGCCGGCGATCTCGCGCAGGATGTCGTCTCCGAGCTGCGGGTGGTCGAAGTCGCGCGCGAGGATGTTCAGACACTCCGCCATGGGCTCGGACAAGTGCTCGTAGTACTGCAAGGATTGCATTATGCTGATCTGAGCCGCGAGAGCGTGGCCTTGGTGCTTGACGGCGAGGCATATCGCTTTGTACACGCCGCGGCGGATTTCGACGGACTTCATATATTGCTCGTTCTCGGTGATGTGGTATACGGGGCGGACTACGCAGCTAGATACAGTGTGATGTCAACATTGAACCAGCGCAACTACTCCTGCTACGCCGGTGGCAATGTGCCCGCGTCATGGGCGCCGGTAGGAGGTCTGAAGGCGAATGAAGACTCACTTGATGAACGTCTCCCTCTCCGCACTAGTCTGCCATATGCGCTGGGTCTTCATGCGCAACAGCTTCGATATCAAGTTGAGGGTGGCGGGGATCTGGTCCTGCCAGGACCACTCCTCCGGTGGTTTCCGCGCGGTCGACCTTGATGCCGCGGCCTTTCCTCCGCGGCCGCGCCTCGCTTTCGGAGCAGGTGCAGGCGCGTCGTCCTCGCCCGAGGTCTTGACCTTCTCCGCGGCGGAAACGAACCAGTGGAGGAGAAACGCGTAGATCTCGAGGGGCATCTTGTGCGCGGAGACCGTCTGCTGGTCCTCCTCGTCGATGTCGCGAACAGTGGCCTCGATCTGTGCATGGTACGCCGAAGATATGGAGTCAAGAATCTTGATCATATGGGAGCCCTGTAGAGCGGCGGCATGTTTGAGGAGAGAGCGGTAGGCATCGAAGACGGCGGGGTCGGTGATTGCTTCAGGGTTGTGCGCCAGGGCGTCGACGGCGGAGCTGAGGAGGTCGGCGACAGAGCCGGGGTCAAGGGAGGAGACATCGGACTCGTTGTCGATGTTGTAGGAGTCGATGTCCTGCAGAGCCTGGAGCTCGTCCTGGAGCTCGAAGTGGTCCATCGCGGGCGTCGGTGCGGTGAAAGGAGAGAACGGACGTGACGGCCAAGGCGCGTTCAAGGCGCGTTCAACCGCGTCAGTCACACCGCGACCGTCACGTTCACGCTGATCACGGTGTGGCGGAAATTTGGAGGCGCCGGTGCTCCTTGTCTCTTACGCCGACGATGGTACCCGCTCCTGCTCGCTGCTGCTGTCCTTGCGTGTGCTGAACTTCTGGCCAGATCATCCCCGTGCGATGCTTTTCCTGCGGAAAGGTGGTGGGCGATAAATGGAATGCGTACTTGGAGCTGCTCGCCAACGACATACCTGAAGGGTGAGTTATGCCTCCTCTCACTCTGTAACATGCTGACTGTCCTACAGAGATGCGCTGGACCAGCTACAGCTGAAGCGCTACTGTTGTCGCCGCATGGTGCTCACTCACGTCGACCTCATTGAGAAACTTCTGCACTATAACCGTACGTCTACTTCCCTTCCTTCTCTTCGCCCGTCTCATCTATCCCACAGCGAACGAGCGTGTGCGCGACAAGCCCCGAGCATAGACGTTCTTCTCTGTATCACCTCCTGTATTTGCTCTCGCTCTCGCCCTTTCCATCTCGCTCAGAATCGTCGCAGTTTGTTCACGTCTCTTCTCCCCGTCCTCTCCGCTACACAAACGCCCCAAGATATATGGGCGATATTCATAAGCCTTGATCTGTAAATGTGGTGTTTCCTACATAGGTGAGCGTTGTGCGGTCGCTATAAAGTGCGCGTCCTTTGACAATGCTCTGAGAGACCCCTTCGAAGAGGGATTGAATCTTGCCCCGCGGTTCGGGACAAATCTCGATCTCAGAACTCAGATTTCCACGACTATTAGGAGTCCTGCTTCGCATCGCGAATATATAGCATCATCTCGGAGGGGTTATCATCGCTTGTGTGCTCTGGTGCCCTCTGGCGAATCGCAAGCGCTACCAACATGTACAGCCCGAGCCGCACACCACATTCTACTCGTTCCTCATGAATCGTGCTACGCATGGTTTCCTTCAAAGAAAACTCCCGCTGGACCGGATAAAGAGATGCGTTCAGGCTGTGAAGGAGGCATAGGGCGAGGAGAGTGCGCTCGAGGCGATGTGGTACTACGATGGCGATCACTACTGTGAGTGCGGTTGACTCGACCGTGACGCTGGCATGAGGGAGTATGAATCGCTGACGTCGGTTGACAGACAAACGCACAAGTGACAATGATCAGTAGAGGTGGACTGGGCATCCCAGCCCACCCGCTATGCCCTTGAGGCCTTCGAGCAACACGCCGACGAGGCTCCGTTTGTTGGAAATATATTCCACCTTCGACGATTCCATCTGCCCCCATTGGATAGATTACATGTGAAGGAGCCATAAGTATGAGGTCGCTGATGAGACACACATATTTGATTTGAAATTTTCATATAAAGGGTACAAATTCAAGGCTGGGTGGATGGAGTACGCGTCCAATGCATCCTTCGGGCGGTTCAACAATACCTGCAGGTTCAGTTCTCGTTACGCTGCGCCGCCGTAGGTATCCAAGATATAGCGAACGAAAATGTTCCACCGTCTCTCTAGCTTCTCAAACGCACACTCCTTTTCCTCGTGGCTGAGAGCAGAGTACTGTAAATACCGAGTCAGCCTAGCATCCAAGCTGTGAATCGAGCGAATCCTACTCTGATGCTGTCCCACACGAGTTCGTGAAGAGTTGTGAGGTTGTTGACCTCGCTCGCCACGAAGACCTGCACGATGATCGCGTGAGAGTCCGCGCTACACGTATGTCGGCGTTGGGCTGACCTGGTAGAAGTCGAAGGTGAGACCCATATTCCCGAAGACGGCCGGGTCGTCCGAGCAGAGAGCGACGTGCACGCCTTGGTTCATGACCGCAGGGAGGGGATGCATCGGCATAGAGCCGGTTAGGCGCTGTGCGGAAGATGAGCCTCGCATGATACATTTCAACGCTGATAGACGCATTACCAAGATTTCGTTCCTAGCAGGGGAGAAGTCAGGTATCAGCGCATACCCCGGCTGGAGCGATCACCGTCCACCTACGATATAGGACACACTTCGACGCAAATGTCTCTTTCTCGACATATCTGCATGAGCTTGGGGTGCTTGATCAGCGAGAACCTGCGCTGTCGTCAGGACACCTGCATATATACTGTAGATGTCGGCACTTACCCATGTCCGATCCGCTTTGTACCCAGGAGTATAGCGTCGTAAAGGTTCATGTCCGCCACGGTGCCGTCTCCGAGCGTCTCGCCAGCATGGAACATGAAGGGGATCTCGATGCCTAACTCTTTCTGACGCTCCACGAAGCGCAAGAGCGACTCGGCATAGTAGATGAGTGGCAGGAGCGTGTCCTCGTGCCCGATGAGATCGAAGCCCGAGATGAGGTGCGGGAACTCTTGCTTCATCGCGATGCAGTCCTCCAGATACCATTCGATTTCCTCGGGTGTGATGATCCGTAGGATGGAGTATATGATCTACGTCCGTACGACGATGAGCATGGTCGTGTATAGAACATTGCGGTGAAGATGGTCACCTTGGACCCGACGAATTCATCCTCGCGCCCCTGCTGTTTCATGTCCGCCTTCACTTCCTTGAGTATGTGGTCGTACAGCTGAAGCCACACACGATGGGGAACGTTGCGCTCGCCATCGGCACCAGTCATGTACCTGCTCGAGTATATGAATATCGACGGCTGAAGGGCTTATTCAGAGAGGACTTACTTCTGATGGAACGCCATCCTGACTTCCACATAAGAGATGCCGTCCTCGATCGACGAGTAAAAGAATTCACGTATGTATTCGGTCGATATGGGTTCAAAGAATATCAAACCCTATACATAGACCGAAGGCGCCTGAGCACGGTATTGTGAGGACCTCAACGCTACTGCCGACTGACCTGGGCAGCTATGAATGTGCTTTGGAACTTCTTCCAAATCTGTCGGAATAGGTCACTGATGCGACAGGAGCCTCGTATGCGCACGGTATACCCACTTCACCCGTGGTGTTGTGTGTGCCATATGCCTCAGACGGGTTGATTGTCATGATATTGGTGAACCAGCGGTCAAAACCTTCAGGACCGCCGAGAGCATGGCTGAAATTGCTTCGTGCGTTCTGTATGGGCACCCACGTATCGGGCGCATATCGCTGATCCGTGATGCTAGGATGCGTCGTCCACTCAGCACGGGAAAGACCACGGAATTCTGGCAGCGCTGTTCCGATGGTGGCGGAACAAAGGACGGCGGGAACTCGGATATGGATGGCGGGTTGCGACAGCGCGAGCTTAAGAAGCACATCCACCCGCACCATCGCAGCGTGATGAGCGTGAAGAAGGCCGCCTTTCGGCATCTAAAATTCCAGATGCTTAGTATTTGCGGGATACGGCGTGATCAGGATAGGCACCTTGCTGAGGATGTCAAAAAGCTTGGTGCCGACGATGGTCTCTCTGGCTGGATCCAAGAATGTCGTCACATATTCGGGAGATTTTTATCCATCCACGGCGCTTACCTGTCAAAAATGCCATACCAGGGAATAGCTGTTGCGATCCGTGTAGATGTTTCAATGGCTGGGTGGCAGACCATACCGATACCGCCTCCGAGGAACGAATGTGCCTGAGCATCTTGTCGGCTCTGCGCTCCTCCTCGGAAATTTCCTTCTGTGCGGCATGGTCAATCCGCAGAGCCCTGTCGTCTGCAATAAGTTGCTTCCGTTGTGCATGATAGTCGTCCATGTCTGCGGTAATGGTGGGTGGATAGATGGTCTCCACGGGAGCTCTGCACGCAGCACAGCGATTATATGAGCATTATCATGGGCGCGCGGGCTGCGAGTCATGATCAGTGTGTGTTCGGCTCGGTTCAAGTTTGAAATATGTACACATGACCTGGTGTAGCCTGCTCAGCATGTCAAGCATAACTAGTTTGTCTACCATGCGATTTCATCGCGGCTGAAGCCGTTTGGTCCATCGACTTGAGTATTTGGGTCATCTCACGCCTGAAGAATGTGAGGACAGGAACGCGGCATCGCGGGAGCAACGATCGAGCAAGCGCCTCCACCCAAGCGCCCATGGTGTCGCACACGTGGCTTTTGACTCGATAGATCTGATCTGTCCGATCGCGAGGACTGGAACGCGTTCGGCGCTAACCTTCCTCAAGCATTTCCTCCACACTCCCCTGCATACTCTTCTTCTCCTGCTCCGCAACAGCTAGACAACTCTCGCCAAAGACAACCCGACGAAATCTGCTGCACATTACAACCGGACAACGTTCGAATACATGGCACCCGAACCCCAGAACATTCCCGGCCATAGAGCAGTTGAGACTTTAGTGGCCAAACTTCGAAGAAGGTCAGTATGATCGCGCATCCACTGTGCATTATCTGACGGCTGGTCCGTATCCTAGACAGGTTGTAGGATCTCGAGAAGCAGCCCTCGAAACTGCCATAGTACTCCGCCAAGTCGTGTCAAAGGCGCGCTTCACCAATATCCAACAACTGATCACGATCATTCGTGAAGTCGGGAGGAGGTTAGCGGAAGCTCAGCCCAAAGGTGCGTCCTCAATCAGAGCCATACTGCACTCAAGACTGATTGCATCCGCCACATGTGCAGAACATTCTGTCGGAAACACTGTCCGCCGAGTCTTGCATAATGTCCGCGAAGAATACAACTCCGCCACAAAGGGCTCTGCGGCGTCCCGCAATGTCTACTCCATCGGCAAGTTTGTCCTCCAAGGACAGCCGCGCAAGCAGAGTGGCGGCGCGGCGAAGTCAGACGGCAGGATAACGCTGAAGGAAAACGACCCCGATGATCCGGATTCTTTCGCGCGAGCGCTGAAGCCCGTGCTCATGGAGGCGATCCAAGATGTGCTTGACGAGCTCGAAACCGTGTACGACAACGTATCGAAGAACGCAAAAGACCACGTTCACTCTGAGTACGTGAATCAAACCTGGGGTCTCCTCGGATCTAACGTCAATTCTGCTCAGCGAGATCATTTTGACCATCGGGCACTCCAAGACTGTGGAGGCGTTCCTTAAGTCCGCGGGGCACTACCGCAACTACACGGTGATCGTTGCCGAGACAGCACCATCCTACCAAGGACACGAGATGGCGCGCTCACTATCCGCCGCCGGCATCTCAACGTTCCTCGTCCCGGACTCGTCCATCTTCGCGATCATGTCGCGCGTGAACAAGGTCATCCTCGGCGCGCACGCGATCCTCGCGAACGGCGGGCTTTTCGCGATCTCGGGGGCACTGCTCGCGGCGACCGCGGCGCGCGCGCACTCGACGCCGGTCGTCGTCTGCGCGGGACAGTTCAAACTCACCCCGCTCTGGAACCTCTATCACGAGTACGGCGCGCTCGACTTCGCGGACCCGAGCAGCGTACTCGGCTTCGAGGAGGGCAAGCTCGTCGAGCGTGTCGACGTTGTGAACCCGTACTATGACTACGTTGGCCCCGAGCTCGTCGACGTCTTTATCACAAACGACGGGGATCACCCACCGTCGTCGGTGTACCGGTGCGTCTCGGTGGTTCGCGCGCTTATTCTTCGCATGCTAATATAACACTGTCTTCCGTGCAGACTGATCAAGGAGACCTACGATGACGACGACCACGAGCTCTAAACCTCACGAGCTCAGTCCCCGTCACCCCCGCCACTCGCACTCCGCGCTTCACACCCACCCCTGCGGCCCGCTCATCCATCTCCTCTCCATATCGATCCTGACGCCCCTCTACACAATACGCGCCACCTGCACACGCGTAAGTCGCCTCCCACCTCCTCGGGGCTCAGGTACTCGACCACACGCGAGGCTGTGCCCTGAGAGCGTCCGTCGAGCCGTGGGACACTGGCCTCGGGACAAGCGAGGGCACGAGGGGTGGGAAGCGGGGACGCGTGCTCGCACTGCCGAACAGGCGCAGCCCGAGACACGCGGGGGAGGCTTCGCCGGGGGCTCCGCGCGCGGGCGGAGGGCGTGCTGGGTACGCGGTTCGGCGACCTCGGGGGATGGGGCAGCGTGCGCGGTGGTCTGAGCGTGTGGGGGGTGGACGAGCGGTCGTCGCGGGTGGGGTGGGGCGTTAGAGTGGATGGGGAGTGTATCGGTATTGTTAGACTTAGACTACGGCCGGGGGTGTGTCGTGTACGCTCAGCGCAGCGAAAGCAGTCGTAATACATGTACTTCTACTGTAGCAGATCGCATCCGTCATGTTCACGTAACCGACGGTCTTCTTTCTGTGCACTCACGCCTCGAGCCTCGGACGCGAGCCCGGGCGGGGGCCCTGACTTCCATGCACACGCACGAGGCAGGGCCGTACTCGGTATGCACGCACCTACGACGCCCGGCGGCGCTCCGAGCGCGGAGGCCACCTGAGCCTGTATGATCGCCGAGGGCGCCCGGAGCCGGGCGGGTCGCTGTATGCATGCAGCAGCGGGCCAGAGACGTACTTCTAGAGCTTACGCGTATCCGCGTCTGCCACGGAGGCGCATACATACACACACGATGTCATAAGCAGCGCACCTACTCCGCAGCGCGGGGGGATGGGAGGCGGGGTGGGGTGGGGGTGGGTGCATAGCGAGGGGAGGCGGTAGCAGCAGCGTCCTTCATAGCCTCGTCTCTCTCCGGCACATTTCTCCTGCAATCCGCGACTCCGTTTTTCCTTCCGTCCGGGCCCTACAGCCCCGCTCGCCCTCCTGCGCGCCCATCCTATCCCCCGCGTCTCGCTCGGTATCCGTCTAGCTGCGATACGCTCGGCGGGGGCTCTTGAGACCGGCCGTGTCTTCGCCCTCTGTGACCCGGGCTTGTGTTTGAGGCGAGCGGCATGTCATGGCGACATCTGGCATGCGAACCGTGACCGCGGGCCGCGCGGGGAAGGGGAACAGCGAGGGAAGCTCCGAGTTGACCATATGTTACGTGACGACGATGTGGGACGACGGCGACAGCGGTGGGGATGAGGATATGAATATAACGAGCGATGGTATAAATGGACCACAGAGGAATGAGATAAACAAACAGACGCGAAATGAGGCCGAGGCGGGGGAAGAAGAAGACGGAGAGCAGAAAGCGGGGGTGGAGGGGTGGGGTGGGTGAGATCAAACAGCGAGGGATACAGAGGGCGGAAAGTGGGTGCGTGCGCGAAAGTGCCTGGGAGACCGGAAGAGAGCAGGAGGAGAGACAGAAGAGAGAGGGCCCGGCGGGAGCGGTAGAAGGGGAGGCGGCGAGGCGGTCACTGGATTGTACAACAGCCCTTGCCTCCCGCACTCTGGTTCTGGTAGGGATCGTCTGCACGGGGTACGGGACCCCATACTGATGGTACCTGCAAAATGAAAGTCAGCATGGATGGGCGACGGTGCGCGGATCGTAGTGAAATGCATCATCAGCTGAGAGCCGTATGCGGATGGAATCCCGCTGGTACTTAATCACATTCTTGTTGAACAACTCCAGCAGAAGCAGAAGCCCGTGGGTCCCGCAGAACATCTCCTACGAGAGAACGCAGCGTGACTCCAGCAGCTGCAATTCCTGGACGGCTCTCACACGCGGAGCACATGCTTGATGGGCCAACACAAGAGGGGTGAAGGATACGCACAAGGGGGTCTTTTGTCGTTTTGCAATACCGAATCAGACTGCATAATAGATCAGAATTAACATCACTCTGTACGTCCGGTAGCAAGGGACGCACCTGGCAGATGCCTCGCTGACTCTTATCCGTGGCCGAGCAAGGTCCTCCCTGAGGCGCTGGTTGTGCTCGGTGAGACGACGGAGCTTAAGCTCCGACATGGACTGCTTGTGCGGACGCGAGTTCATGGCTGGCAACGGTGCGCGGGAAGATGGTTGCCTCGATGCTTTCGTGCGAAGGAGAAGGGGGGAAAGAGGTGACAAAGGCGACCGAAAGCGGTGCGAACGGCGGAAGGTGCGCTGGCGGGCGGAAGGAGCTGGACGCTGCAAGCGTCGAGGACGAGGATGAGGACGACGGCGAGGATGGAGCAGAAGAGAGCGAGGGGACACTCACAGGCCAGTGGAGGATCAAAGGAGAGATGGCGAAGAGAGAGACGGAGTCTGACACGCTCAGCCTCGCACGAGCGCGCGACCTCCCGTCCTGTCCGCCGGCGCCTCTCTCCTGATCCAGGCACTCCGGCCGTTGCCCTGGGCGCCCCTGCGCCGGCCGACCCATCACTCTACCTCAGCTCCCGCTGGTCCCTTCTCCCCGTCCGAAACTCACACAACAGCTCATTCTTTTTGTTCGCAGCAGCAGCTTCGTGCTGGATGCTCACCTGGTCTTTCTCAGATTGTTCCCGCCCCCGCCCAGCCACGTGCTATCACTACGCCTTCTTCCTGATCTACAAGTTCCCGCTTTCGGCCCCCACATGTGCCGGCCCGTCCGACATGACCCTTGCCGTGCCAACGTTCCAGCGACAGCCATCGACAGGCCCAGCACCGACGATATCACTGTGGCGTACACCAGACTACTCTCCCCGACCACTGGACCAGCCGAGGTCCCCGAGTTAAATATCTGCGCTCTTGATATCCCTGACCGCTTTGGATATCTTCCGAAGTCACGGTCCAGCATACCTTAAATCTTAGCGTAAGTGACACACCATGCGTGTGATGTACCGATTTTCTGAATCTGAATGTTAATGTACTACGCGCGCAGTTAGTATATCAGCGTACGCCCATTCACTTACTTCATTGTAGGAAAGAAGGCCCCTGGGGACATGAGGGTGTCGACCGTCGCAGCAGCTCGCTCCTCTTTCCCGGAGTCACAGAGGAAATCATAGCATCTCGCAATAGGTATGTCTTCTCACTCCTTCCGCTATCCTTGGCGATCACGATTATCCACCTGTCACGTTGAGCCAAACGAAAGGTGGTCTTCTACTTCAATCTTCAAACGTTCACCGACTCACACTTAAGATATATAGTGGAGACTATACAGGAGTATGATGTATTATCATGGTGAGCTCGCGGCAATATGTCCGAGTGCACAATGAGATATTAGGCAATAAGCTAATGCGAAAGTACAGTAATCACATATCTACAACAAAGTCCATCGCTCTTGGTTTCGCTACCAAGCCACCCCACCAAAATAGTCTCCAGACGGAAAGTCCGCCTGCGAACAAAACCCCGTTGGGCCATCCCAATCTGCATAGGGATCCGAATCCCGCCCATACTCCTCACTCCGGACGACCCCGTTCGCGTGGTCCACCTTCGCCCGGACGACCTCCGCCCACGCGTCCATCGCGTGCTCCATATGTTCAAACCACACCTCCGCCTCCCCTTTCTTGTCTGCCTCCCTTCCCGTCTCGCCCCCAGCAGCACTATTGCGCTCTGGGCGCTCGCTCCCGCGGTGCCGGTCCGCCGCCGCCCTGGCCTGCGCGGCCGCCTGCGTGTGTGCGCGCTGCTCGAGCGCGTCGAGCTCGCGGAGGTGCTCCTCCGAGAGCCACGCCACGTAGTCCTCGACCACCTCCGGCTCCTCTCCACACCGGTGCTCCTCCGCGGCCGCCGCGAGGAGTTCCTCTACCCACCAGCGGGTGCTACAGGCCACGAAAAAGCGGACAATGAGTACAAAGGCGAATCACGACGGAAAGAGTGGCCACGTACCATGGGCTGCTGCTCTCTTCTGGGCCCATCAACGTGCGGAGCAGCATCTCGCACTGGTCTCTCCTGCAGATGCGTAGCCAGGTGAGTATAAAGGATTCGACCGGGTTCGGGATGGTGTGCACTTACTGCAGGCTTCCATCGTCGTAAGCGGCGGCTGCGACTCCGTTGGCATTCATGTTCAAGCAACAACGTACACGACGCTGCGTGTGGGATAGTATGTGGAGTGAGGACGTGACAAACACGGATAACGATATTCAAACAGCCAAAAGACGAGGAGGGGAGGGGGCGAATTCGCGTCGGCGTCGGTACAAAGACGATGAGTCGGAAGAAAGGGGGTGGATGAGTACGCTTTGACTGAGGCGCGACGCCTTATATAGTGCGCGCGCGGGGGAAGAGGAGATCTCGCGGGCACAAAGCGCATTCGCCGGGACGTCACGCCGCATGGTTCGAGTCCGCGAAAGACATTGTCACGACGTCCGACGGGTGATCGACGCGCGCGGCGCCCCTCCAGGGTGCCCCCGAGCCCGGCACCGATCTCGATCCCCTTTTGAGGAGTGGGGAGCGAGGAACGGGGGCGCACGAGACGGAGGCGGGAGGCTTCCCAACGCTGCCGGGGACTATTGTGCGCCTGTTGTGGCCAAATTGCGATGGACACTGGGTAGGTGGGGGGAAGGGACGGGTGCGCGGGACGAATCGTAGCTCGGGGTGCGGAATGCAGCGCGTCGATCGTGATCGAGCAGCGGGCGCGCGCAGTGCTCGTGGCGCGGGTCGGTGCATGTACCAGTCTACCAGACGCGTCGTCGAGTGCGAGTTGTGCTTGCCCTCACCTTGCTTTGGGGTTCGTTGTGCGAGGTACTCACACCGTCATCTTACTCGGTTTCATTTCCGTGGGGGTGAGGCTGATGGACGAGAACACAGGCAACATACAGAATCTGATGCGGATGCCGGCGACGACGACGAGGCTTGCGCATGTTCAGACCTACATCAAGGCGATTGTTCTCTCGTCCACGCATGCGCACCAACGGCTTGCAGCGAATGAGGCATATTTGCCGGAGAGCATTGGGGCCTAGACCATGCATCCTGGAGTACTTGTCCACCGCTGACGGTCGTGCATTCATACTTCAGCGCACGGCGGCCCTAGTCTACATATAGCTGTTATACGCTTCTCCTGTTCCATCGCTCGCACCTAATCACACAACATTTCCCCTGGTTCATGATGCCAGCTGATGCCGGGCCGCTCGCACGCTCATTGGTTGGGCGCTACCGGGGCCGAGGTGATGTGCCAATTGAGCTTCTCCTCCCACTTGCCTGGGAGGAGCTCCGAGATCTGTTCCACATCCTTGTCTCCACGGCCGGACAGACACTAAATATTTGGAAATGACCGTCAGTTCGTCTGTCACGTAGACAACAAAGCCCGATAGGGGCCCGTGACAGGTCAAACACGCACAATGACCACGTTGGCGTCCTTCGGCAACGTCTTTGCGAGCGCCATGCCGCCCCACACAGCATGGGACGACTCGAGAGCTGTCGGCGACAGATTGGAACTGGTCAGTCTCGCGCGGACAAAGATGATTTTGAACACCCACCAGGGATGATACCCTCAAGCTGGGTGAGCATCCGGAACCCGCGCAGCGCCTCCTCGTCTGTTGCGACAGTGTACTCGGCGCGGCCGGTGTCCTTCAGCCAGGCGTGCTCGGGGCCAACACCGGGGTAGTCGAGCCCGGCGCTGATCGAATGCGTCTCGACGATCTGCCCGGTTGCTGACTGCAGGACGTAGGTGCGCACACCGTGGAACACGCCGGCATGGCCCTTGCTCAGCGTCGCGCTGTGCTTGTCGCCGCTGAGGCCCTCTCCGCCAGCCTCGACACCGATGAGCCTGACGTCCTTCTCGTTGATGAAGTCGTAGAACGTCCCTATCGCGTTGCTGCCGCCGCCGACGCACGCCACGACCGCGTCGGGGAGCTTGCCGACCTCCTCCCGGAGCTGCTCCTTGATCTCCTGCCCGATCACCCGCTGGAAGTCGCGCACGATGGTGGGGAACGGGTGCGGGCCGATGGCGGAGCCGATGAGGTAGTGCGTGTTCGAGAGGTTCGTCACCCAATCGCGCATCGCCTCGTTCACCGCGTCTTTGAGCGTGCAGGAGCCGGAGTGTACGGGGATGACCTGCGCGCCGAGCATGCGAATGCGGAAGACGTTGAGGGCCTGGCGCCGGACGTCCTCTGCGCCCATGTAGATGATGCACTCGAGGCCGAACCGGGCACATGCAGTCGCGGTGGCAACACCATGCTGGCCCGCGCCGGTCTCTGCGATGATGCGAGTCTTGCCTAACCTCTTCGCAAGAAGAATCTATGGACGGGGTCAGCAACAGTCAGTAGAGTGAATTCGCAAAAGCTACCTGTCCAATGGCGTTGTTGATTTTGTGTGAGCCCGTGTGGTTCCTGGTTGAAAATTAGGGATACAATTGAAGTAGGTGGTGCGTTATGACTCACAAATCTTCACGCTTCAACCAGATGGTCGCTCCGCCAGATGCCTCGGTCAGCTTCTCGGCTTTGTAGAGCCTTGAAGGCCTGTTCATGTAACCATACAGACTCTTCCATTCCTCCTGGAACTTGGGGTCGTTCATTGCAGCGTTGTGCACCTCCTCGAGCTCCACCAAGCAATCCCAGAGTGACTCGGGAACATACTGGCCACCAAACTGACCGAATCGTGGCGGCAGAATCGACTTCTGCGCGGACTCCGTTGACTCATTGTGACTCACGCTCGCCCGCGACGGCGTCCCGGACGGGCGCGGAGTGAAGTTCGGCCGCCTGGGTGGCTGGCCCTTCAGACTGATCTCGCGGCAGTACTCTTCAACTTTCTGTGCGACCTCCGCCGGTGGTGCTGCCTTGATGACAGAGATGATGCGGCTGCCGATGACAACACCGTCCGCACCGGCGTCCGCAACGAGGTCAAAGTGGGCACGGGTCGCGACACCGAAGCCGACAGCGAGGGGGAGGTCGGTGTAGTCTCGGACACGTGCAACGAGGTCGGGAAGGGCACTGTTCATGGTACCTGATGCTGAAGAACCAGTCGTGCCCATCTAAAACGAGAATGAGGACCGTGACACTACCCGTGTGAGCACGGAGAAATTGTGGAAGTACCTTGGAGACGATGTAGATGAATGAGTCAGCAATCGAGGTGAGGAACTCGATGCGATGTAGGGATGTAGAAGGGGCGATGAGGGGAACGTAGGAAAGCCTGGCGAAATGAGTTAATGGACCAGAGCGGGAAAGGCAGGGACTCACTTGGCGGCACGGCATTTGTCACGGAAGGCGACAGCCTCCTCTGGCGGAAGATCGACGACAATGAAACCATTCGCGCCAGCTTCTGCCGCGTCCTGGATAGCCTTCTCCTCTCCGTATGCAAGAAGAGGATTATAGTAACCTGAAAACGTTAAGATTATCTGAAAGAAAGATCGGGAGAACGGATGCGGACGCACCCATCAGCAGCACCGGAGTGGTGAGACCCTTGTTCCGCGCCTCACGAACCATTCCAAGGCACTGAACGTAGTCGACGTCGTTCTTGAGTGCGACCTAGGCATCACGAAAGGCGGGTTCAATCTCGCGCGCGGGCTCATGAGATGCACGCGACGTACGACGTTGGTTTCTTGGATAGTGGGACCGTCGGCGATGGGGTCTGAGAACGGTACGCCAAGCTCGATGACTTCTGCGCCCCCCTCCTGCATTGCGAGCATTACGGGGACTGTGTCCTCGACCCGGGGGTACCCCGCGGTCACGAAAGTGACTAGCGCGGGGCTGGTCTGTGATCACGATGAGTGCCGCGCCTTTGAGCGAGACCGCACGACACGCACCGAGCTGTTCTTCGCTGCAAACACTTTTTGGAGGGCATCCATGGCGAATCGAGCACGGATGGGTGAGTGGAGGAGTCAAGGGAGGCGCACCAGTCATTTTATGAGAGTGGGACTGAAGAATCTCAGATCGAGATCTGGCAGCAATCTAATCTAAGCGAGTCGAAACGGCAGATGCGCTCGTCCCCTCCTCCATCTCGCTCGGAACGACCGTCTCGTCTCGCCTCCGCGGCATCGCTTCCACCGCCGTGGACGTCGGACGAGTGCAAGGTGCTCATTATGAACACCGGCGGCACCATCAACTGCGACAGGCCTCGGACGCAGATCATGTGACCGGCGCGTCATGTCCCTCGATGACGTCGTCTCTCACTCGCTGCCTCTGCTCTCGCCACGCTCTCGACGCCCGCGTTGACTAGGACTAATGCTAGCGACTCGTCTTCGTTCTTAGACGCTACCTACTACATGGCCACTGTTACCTACGCGCTCGCATCCGTCCCTTCCTCCCTTCTCTCCTCGCTCTCCTCGTCCTCCGTTCGCCGTACGCACCACTGCATGTTCCTCCATCAGCAATCCGACTGCCTCACTGCCAACCTCGCTTGCACGTACCGCAGCCGTCACCTATCCACTCTCCGCAGAACTTGGACGCGTCCGAGTCCGATCGGACGCACACCCAGAACCCGTCAGCTTCGCATCGTCCTTCCAGCCGACACGCAGTCTCACCTCGCCGCCTTCGCGCCTACTCTTTCGCCCCGCGCTCTTCGTCAGCACGCCCTCGAGCACCGTCGTAGCGCTCAGCTCCGAAGCAAACCCCCTCGACGGCGAAAGTCAAGGCTGTCGACATCGACCGCGACAAGACGTCGTCGCACGCCGACCACAGCAGCAACAACCAAACAGAGCAAGCGAGGGCAGAGACGAGGGCAGAGTGGAGGGCAGAGAGGAGGGCAGAGAGGAGGGCGGAGACGAGCACGGCTCGTTCATGCCCTTCGTCTCTCCTCCTCCGCTCTCCTTTTATACCTCCGTGTCCAGCAGGCACTCACCCCATTTCTCCAGCATATTGCACCTACCTGTGCTTGCCGAGAGGCCCGTCACCACGTCTCCCAGACTACCGCCCTCGCCGCGCCGCGCTCGTCCTCGGCCCACCGTCGCAGACCCACGCACGTACGTCCCTCCCGTCTCGCAACCCGCTTATTTCGACTTATGCCGTATAGACACGCTGTGCACGGCGCATGCCTATTGCCTACCCGCTGTCCGCGCTGCGGGACGACCGCTACGCGACCGGCGCTGTACCGTATCGGGCCATCGCGATCGCACCGTGCCCGCGTCAAGATCCGCACGTCCTAGTCCCAGACGCACACAGACGAGCACGGAGGACCGCGGCTCGTACGCCTCACCTTTGACGTCAGCAAGACCACGCCCCCGGTCGACAGAAACGGCTACCGCCCGCCCGCCGCCGCCGCCGCCGTACAAGCCGAGTGGATCGCGTCCGTCGCCAGGCCCATCCTCGCGCGTCCGGGCGCGGCGGAGAACCAGCCCAGATGCGGCCGCCGTCGACGCTGTGGAAACGAGGGCACCAGGCGCCCCAATTGCGACTCGCGAGAGGAGCGGACACCCCAGAGGCGGTGAGTGGCTGGAACTCGAGATCCCAGCCTGGAGATCCCCCATGCGCCCCACCCGCCGTGTGTGCGCGCGGGGCGTGTGCTGCGTCGCTCATAAACCTGCGCCCGCCGCCGCCGCCGCCGTCGTCGTGCGCGGACGCCGTTCGCGCGGTGTGCGGCGCCATGTATGCTTTGGGCGCGAAATATATCACTTGTCCGCTGTGTCGTCTGCACGAGCACCCCGGAGGGCGTCGACTGCGTCTGCAGGCGAACGTGTGCGTGGGCAGGCTGCGCCGTCGTGATCCTCGTCGGGAGCGCGCGCATGTCCCGCGCCCGCACTCGCCGGTACCCGCCCAGGAAGGCGAAATCCCGTCGTCCCCCACTCCACGCGCGCGAAATTGGCTCGATGCGGTGCAGGGAGCGCAACGCAGCGTGTACGCGCGCCCCGGCGCCGCCATGGCGGAGCAGGGGGCGCGGTTTGGGGCTTCCACGCAGCCGGCGCCCTCGCATTTCCGAACATAACAGGGCGTAGATGTGCACCACCCATGCTGAGGTTATTAGAGGCAGATACGCTGCGCCGCCCTGCACATCGTGGCGGTGGTTCCGCCTGCGTCGGGGACGATGCTGGGGCGGATGAGCCGATTTTCTGCGTGGGGGGATGCGGTCCCGCACATGGACGAAAACGTCGACCTCGTCAGATCCGCCCGAACCTTTGCGAGCCGGTGCAGCGGCGTCCGTATAGTGCGTGGAGGTACGGACGCCCCGGAATTCGTCGGCGCGGGGGCGCGGGGTGCGGTTCTGTGGCCCCGCGCGCCCCCCGCACGCACATGTTCGGACATGGCACGCAGGTACCTCCGCCCCCGGTGCACACAGCGTGAGGGGCTGACGCGCCGTGCCGCGCTGCACATCGTAGTCGTG